TCACCACTACGCACCCCAGATTCCAACACTGCCAGAATCCACAATCAACCCACACACCCCACACAAGAAACTAGACGACGACACATCCAATCTCATTCCACCATCTACGTGGTATCCTCCATCCCACCCCGCCCCCGTCAAGATGGCTCGTGCCGCATCGCGGGAAGGGAACAAAGCCACGGTCCATAGACATGGGCATCGGCGGACTCCGCAGACTCCGCACCCTCAGCCCGCACCCCGCGAATAAAAATAGGAAGACATCTGCAACACCCCAGTTTCCCTATCTATCCTGAAAGAGGATCGTGCCTGCCGACGTCATGCACCATGACACATTGTTTTTACTCGAGATCTTCATCACCCATCCGACCGTAGTTTCGCTCGGCCGAGTAGTGTGGCTGATCATCTTGATAGTATTGGCGGGTGTTAGGTTTGTTTACGTTGTTCTTGCCATGGGGGCCAGATGCAACACGACCTGGTGAAAACAGGATAGACCGGCATCTCAAGAGTGCATCACCGCAGTGGCGAGAGAAAAGGGCAGATGTACCTCACTCACACTATTCCGGTTTGCAGTTACGGGTGACAGCTCGCAACACACGGCACCGTCGGCACGTCTACAGGCGCTAAAAGCGCAGCGCGTGGAGGCGGTGTCGCGAAGTGATAGATCACTTTTTTGATATACCGCCATAGCTACTCACACGTGTGGCACTGTGCTGGTAGGTGGGTGTCTGGGAGCGTGTCTGCAAACTGCAGATAATGATATGAGGCATTTGAGTAGTCTTTGTAAGGGAGTACGTGGAGTGGGATACGAGAGCAAGATACTGATGTTTCTTGGGAAGGCATCCCTAATGACTGTGATAGATCGTTCGGTGTATGTTCAGCTGGATTCTATCTTGTTCAGCTTGGTTTATCTTCTTTCCGATGCAAGATGTCTGCGCCACAGGATACCTGAACCGGACAGACAGTGGCAATCAACTCCTCAGAAAAAGACGAGTGCTATTCCAAACCCGCATCTCAACCCGCATCTCAACCCGCGATCTGCAAGCCTGCAAACAACAACCAAGGACCTGGAATAATCACGAAGTAGATGCCAGTGCAATTGGATATTCAAGCCAAATGGCGGTGTCAACGTCTCAGAACTTGATCAGGCTCTAAAATGCGACCCAATGGCAAAGTAAACATGGACCTGCCCCTTTCAGTCTAGAGCTGGCCATATCAAGCACGCAGTACTTCATCGCGGTCTGACAGAAGTACGGCGACAAGCAAGCTGAACCCTTGCGCGTCTGGCGCCAAAAGATCAACCACGACCTCGGAAAGGCCGTCATGCATTTCCTGGAACACAGCCTACAGAGATACGTGCAGAGCGTATCGCCCCTATGCCCATGTGGACCTTGATCTTGAGATGACAGCGTGTGGCGATGTGAAATACAAGGAATTGCATTTGCCACGTCGTCGAGCCTTAGAGGCTGACTTCAGTGTGACACATAGCTTTTCCCGACCGCAACGACTTTGCATATGGAATCGATTGGCACGCATATCCCTCCCCGTCTCTGATCTTCGCAAGCTGGAGCCACACAGATTTTCCTGGGTTTTTATGTATCGGGAATTATTGAGCAAAGGAAAGTTGAATCTGGTCCCTAGGCATGAAGCTTGACTGGCCATCCACCTGCAATTAGGGAACCGAGTGAAACTTATCTGTGACCTGCACATAGAAGGAAGGGATAGTGGCAAGCTCTTCGTAGTTATCGAAAGGCAATCCAAAGCCGATTGTAATGGAATACTCCACTCAAACGCTGCCGTTAGCATTGTTCCATGCGCGCATGGTACATCAAAGAACAATCAAGCACCATGATCAATATTCAAGCAAGCTAATGGCACTGTCAGCACGTCCCTTCGTTCCCCTGACTTGTCTCTGAATTTCGTGCAGCTGACAGGGGGGCCCGCCTGTTCTTTGTCTCCAGAAAAGGGGGCCCCATCTTCCCCAATCCTAACGCCGATCTCACCAATTCCCGTATTTAGCTATGTATGCAAGTCGTCGACCGAAGCTTCCAAAGGTCTTCATTATAATTGCGAACACGAGTCCTGATGATTAGCTAAATAATTCCCTCGTGTGGAAGACGAAGACTTGGAGTACTCAGTTGGGCCGTAGCCGCAGCTTGGTCAGGCCGAAGTGGTCAAGGGGAAATGGGGAAGAACGAACTTAAAGAACACACGGCTCGAGGGGTGGCCCTTGCTTTTCGCGCCTTGGGCTTTTCGCGCCCGAAGATCCCAGATTGTGTGTCCACTGCCCTGGCTTGAGCTTCTTGCTTAGGATTAGTGACGCCATATTTAACATTTTTAGCATCAACTTGCTCGATGGCGTGGGGGATTATCATTTCGAGACTGCTAAGTGGTTCGGTCGGAGATCGTCCACTGCACTAGAGGTGTTGTGGGCTTAAGCTGGCGCAGTGCCTAACCACCTACAGTATAAGTGGCTAGGCCTAGCTGTCCTTGGTGTGATCCTAGCTCGTGTTTCGTTTGATTTTCTTTATATTTCTCTTTGTTGTCTCGGGCGGACGAGTCAATTTGGGGAAACACATTCCTTCACCCGTTCGTCAAATACCCGAGCACGTCGGTTTCGTTCGGTGCGACGCCACGATCGCAAACTAAGCTCTTCGCTTATGGGGTATCCATCGAGACTTCTTTATCCGTGTGAGGATCCTCTTGACCTGCCGTCTTGAGTCCTTGACAGCCTCCCCCTTTTGCCAATTCAGGGGTGGATAGGTAGAATTGGGCAGGCATCAGCAAAAACTTCCCGCCGGTCGGGTACGATCCGTTTCTACATATGTCGAAAGTCAATTCATTGACACTGCGCCAGCCACCGTCAGGGTATGCAGCATGATATTGATGTGTAGGGCAGGGCACGACCTCTGTAAATGGATGGGTGTATGTATATTAGAGTGTGGATGTGAGGACCACCTTTTGGACCAGTCATCTTTGCAGCTTACAGAGAATCGAGTAATGCGCCGGTCAATCCCAATTGTCCTCGTGGTCAATTGATTTCAATCATGACTAGGCGCCTTGCAGCAAGCAAGCTCGCTGGTGGGTAGATTAGCGCACTCATGGTCCTGGAAAGGTAGGATCCGGTTTTCTCAAGGGCAAGAAAGCCTCCCCCCTATTTTCACGCGCGGCACCTGTGGCTCGCTAGACTATTGTTGATCCGCGGAGAGGAGTTGGAAAGAAAATAAAAGAATGCAAATCCCGTAACGTCACAAAATAGGGAAAATAGGACAGAAAACCGGCACCTAGGCGTTAGGCGTCAGAGAAAAAGGAGAAAAAGCCACTGGATAAGAATGGTTATTAGAATCGACGCCGTCTCGATTACGCCAACCAATGGGGATGGATAAGTGGACGATGGGATCTCTCCATGTACTCCGTAACACATGCAGAGTTACCCGGCGCAAGGACGCATCCTTTTACCTCAATGGATGATCCAGGTACTGGGCGCTGCGGCAGGCTAAAAAAGGATCCTGAGCAAATCAGAAATCAGCAATGGCCAGCTAATAATAACATGTGAGAATAATCGACTTTTTTTTTTGGAAAGACCAGTATAGTACTACTACTAATAGTTTAGTTACTGGGTCTGAATCGGAAACCGGAAGTCAGCCTTCAAGCCTCCCATCGTCTAGCCGAACAAAACCGTGGATAAAGGAAGTCAGGGCCGGCGGATGTTCCTCGTTTTGAATGAGTTGCCGGTATGGGGGAGGCAAAGAGGCTGGGAGAGGGGCCGCTCACTGGCGGAATGGAAATGGATCTGACAAGTTTGAACCAAACCTTGCTCTTGCCAAGTTGGGGGATTATTATTACTGTACACGGTACCGCAGTATATTGCTTTCAATCTTTAATGCACCACTTTCTTTTCCATTCTCTTGTAGCTAATTATCGTGATTATACGCAGAAAGCGGGAGGAACAACCAACCTATACACTTTTCCCGCGGTCCAATGGCTGGCTAATTGTCCAATCGTCCCGAGAATCCTAGAATTCTCTCTCGTCCACCACCATCCCTTCATCTAGATCGATCCAGTATCCACCCGTGACCCGTGGGCAGCAAGATCTGAGGGACAAGGGCCTTGGTCATCATGATTGGCTTAACCGGATAGACCCGTTTTGATGGATCCGATTTCAAACCAAAAAAAAAATTACTCCAAAATCCTCCGTATACTTTGGAAATCCACTCTCCGCACGATTTCTCCCACCTCGCTCTTTTTCTATGAATGTTCCAGAACAAAGCCCCGATTTTCTTTTGACATCGTTCTTATCTTGGACTGTGATTCCGTTAGTTCCTTCTTTTCTTCTTTCTCCTCTTCTCTTTTTCCTTCTCTCTTCCCTCTTTTGTGCTATATTTCTTTTGACGCAGCCGTTGATTTCCCCTCCTCAACATGTATGTCCGCAATTCTTTTACTTCATAATCTGTTCCCTCCAGGGATTTTCTATTACCTCGAGTTCTCGACTCTATCCCACCCTATTTCACCCACCGATCGAACAATTCGTGTCATGAGCTGCCTCCTCCGATGATCCTTCCATGACAAATGTCCATGAATAAGCCCCAATCTGGCCGAGGACTCGGGGCCATCAGAGATCTGTTCCGCTCTGCTCCCCCGCCTTCCTCTTCTTCATCCTCCCCTTCCCCCCGACGCCGTGTCTCCCTCCTGGTTCGTCGAGGTAGGGATCTCTTTTCAAAGTAACCATTCCCCCTATCCAGTTGCTGCTGCATTGACCTTCCCGTTGTGGTTTTCATCCTTTGCGTCTTTGTGTTCCTCAACACCCCCAGACGCTGTTGGGGCAAGGCGAATTGAAATGCCCCGCTAAGCCAACCCCAACACGAAGGAGGCCGTCAGACAAATCCCAATGACATGATCCCCAAGCAAGAAAAACAAAGGACAAAGAACAAAGAACCCGGCTAAGACCAAGAATTGCCCGCAGATACACTGTAGAGCCGCCCAGATCAGCATCACCATCCCGCATGAACTCACAATCGCAATTCGACCCGGCGGTCATGATCGGGCTGGCTGGCGCCTCACCTGGGAGAACTGAGGACAACTTTGACATTTTCGAATGGTATCCACGCTATCAGAGTTGCCAACGCTATTTCCTCGACCATGCACAACACAGCGTGCCCGTCCAGGCACTATCCGCCTTTTTAAACATCAAATTACCCTTCCAACGACAACCACACCCGATCATGAATTCGAATCCCGTGGCCGCACCCTCTACAGCAACTCCTACAGGCCCAGCACCACCTGGCCTACCCGCCGTATCATTGATCCCGTATATTCGCCGGCTCGTTGCCACGGGCATGGATTTCCCAGGTGTGCTGCATGGATTCTTCGGAGACGACTGGAGCACAGGTGTTGGCCCATTGCACGAGCAAGAACGTCGCAACTATCTATTCGCCGCGAAGAGTGGCGGCTGGGCATCCGTGAAAAAGGACTACGATATTCCCCCGCTGGAAACAATCCCATTCCTGCGCCCGTTGCAGGGTCCCTTGGACGCGGAGATTGAAGCTGCCGAACGCAGCTGGAGCGAGTGGCTCGCCATGGAGGACTGGATGGTTGGCCCACGAGCGCCGGATATTCTCCACGATTCATCTTCACAGAACTCGCGGCCGCGAAGTTCTCGCTGATGAACCAGAGCACTTTTAGTCCCTTCTCGGTGTGCCATTTTTTTCTTTCTATGACATGTGTTCATCATCTTCTTTTACTCCTTCCATCACCTTATGGCGTGTCCATCCCCTTTTGTTATTCGGGGCATCGCACCCCACATTGGATTGGCGACATGGCGTCCATTGAGTCCTCCACGCCCATGGGGCTTGTCTAGCGATCGTGTACCTTTTCATTTCACGAAGGCTCTTCCAAGGGTCTTTTTGATACATCATTACATGAAGGCTCTGTGCCGGGTCGGACACCTACTACCCTTCTCAGACACCCTTGCATTCTACAGAACAGAGGATCAGCGAGTCCACTGGCTTGTCTCTGCGTCTCACACGCTAGAATTGTTGGATATGATTATACATACATTCTACATTCTCAAGCATGGGATAAATCACAAAACAGTATACTACACATTGCTATGATCTCCTCCTTTGATCACCATTCTGGAAATATACACTTCCACGGACATAACCTCGTGTGAACAAGGCGGCCTGAAACAATAAATTTCCCAGTTCATCTCAAATCAACTGGGTCGGAAACGCCCGACACCCGAAAGAAGCAGGCCAACTGCACCAAAATTCCACCGTACCCGCCTTTACCAACCCGTCGGATCGGAAGGGGGGTGTGCCCTAGAATTCGCATTCCCAAAAAGCAAAAGGGGAAAACAAAATAAAAGACCAAACGCAAGCTGAACATCATAACCGTCCAGGAACCCCTTGACAAAATGTCATTTCGGCCGGAAGACTCAAGTCACCAGGCCTACAAGCGCTAGCCTCGCACTTGACTCGTCCTTGGAGTGGAGGAAACAGAAAGAGGGTCAGTCCCAATCCGGGTGGAGGTTTGTCAATCATTGCCCCTGCCAGCCAGTGAACCGTGCCAGGAGTCAGAACCAGGATCAATTCCAGTGCCGGGAGAACCATTCTGGCTTTTCCTTTTCTCCTTTTTGGCTTTGCAGAAGGGGGCACGGCGGAAGAGGGAACGCGATCGGTGAGCCATGAAACTAAATCAAAGCCACTTCTGTTCTCCCCCATTATTCTCTTTTCTCTCTGTATCTCTCTTTCGTTCAACCCCACTAGTTTGCGCTTTTCCGCTGTGGACACCCCAGATCCAATCTGGACAAAGGTGCCTCTCCCTTGGACACGGCGGGGCTTGATACTGTTTGGTCTTTTCTCTCGTGGAAACTGTACAGTGGTAGCGTAGTGGAATTGGAATTGCTTGGTACAGGATGTTGTTGGCCCGTGAAGTGGTTCACGAAATCGAGATGCGTTTCGAACCAGGATAGAGGTATCCGTGGTTCTACACTTACTTCTCCGACCGGGTCCGTGAACGCTTCACTTGGCATCTGCCCCTCTGGCATGAATCATTTGTCTTTAAGTTGTGAGGGCAGACTTGGTGTCCATACCAGAGAAAGATAGGGACACGGGAGCTTGCACGTATCCAGTATCATAGGGAAACGACTGCGACTACGCCAACTCTCTCTCCTTAAGAGTACAAACTGCAAATCTTCCCCCTATCAACGGCCTACTAGCTCATCCTCAAAGATACCAAATATCCTCAAAATAAAGACACAACAAGGACCAATCAACACCTTTCCTCCCAACAAATTCAATTGGGCATAGTCTTTCTTCGAAGCATGAAAACCTGCTATTCTAGCGTCTGTGGCACGCTCGAGGGTAAGGTGGCGCGGCTGAAATGGGGGCCTAGCTCGCTCTTAGTCTGCCACTAACGAGGGCCCGGCGGAGTCTCCTGAGCTCCCAAGACTTGCATAACGAATCGTAATTGGGTGATTACTAGAAATTCTCCGAGATCATCCTGGCTTTAAGTTCCGGGATACGATGTCCGGCGTGAGCTTTGGAATATTGATTTATCGTGATGTTGGCGCGATCGTCATTGACTCGTCGAGGCTCAGGGGAGGGCGAGTAGGGGGCTGTTCCATTTTGCTGAGTGGTTCTTAAGAGTGGACTTGCATTTCCGCTGTCTTCAGCACGGGGTAACCGGACTAAAGCCCCTGTACTCTTGGAAATAGTCCATGAGCCGTCTCGTTTTCTCTGTATTCTTTGACGAAATATTGTGCTGCTGCAAGTTCCAGAGCTATACTTTTGACTCCGTCTCCCAACTTTTAACAATACTTGGCAAGAGATGAATAGGCAATGCAGTATTTTGTTCCAGGAATAGCACGAACTACGAATTCCCGAAGATAAAGCCTCAACTTTACCTATGTACATATGAAACCCTAGCGTCACCACAAGATCGATCGCGATCGATTCTGCAGAAATAATTGCACCCGATAAGGGGCAGGATGCAGCCACTAATCACTTACTACTGCATCTAGTTTTTGACGGGTATGAATAACAAATTCCCCTATCCACTGTATCCAGGTCATCTCGAGTCATGCCCTCGACCTCCCTCCGCAGATCTGCCAGTCAATTCATGGCACGCCGGTATCTGTCAGTGGGAAAAAGGCAAAACGACGCGCAAACCGTTTCTCCCAAGTGGAACGCGGACCCAACATTTGAATGCCCCTCTCTTCGGCACAAGATCAAAATCTTGGATTGTGTTCACCATCAACTCTATCCAGTGTCTAGGGCGTGCCTTCGCGAGCGAATTACCCGGAGATGGCTCGGTAACGGCACTACGTAGCCCTAAGTGGGGATTCTGGCCGTCTTGGCTGCATCTTGAACATTGCATTACAGGATGTATGTGTCTATAGGGCCTTGGGTGAAGCCTCGGTGAAGGGCTTGGTGGACTTGTTGCATTCGGGTTCCGTGGTTCGGCTTGTGGGCTCGGGATGTGGAGGTTTTGAGTATCGTCGCCGTGTTTCACATGCACGCTTGATTGTAGTTTGGATTCTAGAATGAATGTCATATTCTCATATAAGGAGAAGCGAAAAATGATAAAATTGTCAGTTGATGCGAGGCCTGCCTCACGTAGCGTCATGTGTGCTCCCTATCTTACAGGACACCAGGCGGCAGAGGGTATCAGACAGAGAGAAAAGTTACGACAATTCAATTTGAAAGAGAGAGACGATAAGATTTGCATCGGTGAGGGGGAGCTCTCATGATCGTACAAGGACATGATTTGTGTTCTTCACTTCCGTCTGTTGGATTGGCACGGGAATTGTGGCCAGGTGATTTTGATACTGTCCGGAGACACGAGCGAAAAATTTAAACCTTCGAGGTTTCAACGGCCCACCAAAAACAACAGCACCGTTGACATGGTCATGAATGGAAAACTCAATGCTCTTTCCAGTCAGTCGAGCAGGTATAATTCGTTGTAAAAAATCAGGTTGATTCCAGCATGATCCGTGTCTGTCATGCTTGCACGCCAGGAATGGTGAACTTGTCGGTTGCCAGGCACTATCATTCAATAACCGACGTATATGTCCCTCATGACAACCACCCCGTGTCTCGGACAAGTAGTCGATACTTCTGATCAATGCGGCCAACAGATCGTATCCATTTGGTAACATATTGCAAGGCGAAGAAATCTCTGTTGTGCGTTTACCAACGATTGCATCTCCAAGGTTCGAGCAGAATAGACAATTGATCTCATTTAATAGCGGCGACCATGCTAGACCGTCTTTTTCTAGAGTTGTCTTTCTCAAAGTGGTTGTCTGAGGTTCACAAGCAATGTCCATGAACTCGTATCCATAGATGTTCTTTCCTTTCGGTTTCTGGAGCAAAATCCTGCCCAAATTGATCGAAAATCCGATGATGAGTTTCCGAACTGTCAGAGAGTTTCGGCTTCTCCGCGATCCTTGAATCACCATTTCTTCCTTGTCTATCAACGCCTCGTACGATGCATCCGGGTGCCGAGACGGATTGTCGGCTATAGGCACCTCCCCCCTCGGAATCGCTCCGGTATCCTGTTCCAATAAGCCAGCAACATGTGGTGGAACACTGAGATCAAAGGAACCAGCCAAGCTCTCATGGTACTAACATCATAGAGAACAAGCTGCTCCAACCTACTGCGGTTCAGGCACTTCAGGTACTCACCAGACGGAGTAAGCCTAATCGTGTTGTTCACACGCTGCCAAGACGCGCCCCCTTGTATTCCAATTTGAGCTGGTGCTGCAGACTGCGCAAGACCTTGAAGGTTGATATTCGCTAGCTCCAACGAAAAGGGCTTCTGTTTTGCACTAGACCATGACACAGTGAGGTCGTGTGTGCTGGCGCCCAAGCGAAGTTCCGCTCGGGAGCACCATCCCAGGAGCGCTCTCTTTGAGAGTAGGTAATTTAGATCCTTTTTCCGTAGCCAGTCTGATCGAGTTGTGTGCAATTCGGAAGCTTTGATCTGGCGACCATAGCTCGCGATTTCCAGATGCCACATAATCATCCCATCGTCGGTCTCCTGGATTGGAATAAGAGCAGTTGAGTAGCCTAAGAACACTAGGCCCGAGGGGGTGTCAGGGCCGGATTCAATAAGAACCGGGTATTCGACCACCGCCAGTTGAATCATCGTATTGCAATCGAGTTCCAACCCTCGAGATGGTGCTCGTATCCGGACCCCTGGTCCCAGGGTAATTACAACGCCGTCGAATAATTCTGCCCAGCAACCATGCAGCAAATCATCGGCAGGCAAAGGCTGTAATGGCCGTAGATACAGGTAAAGCGTTCCAGCTTTAACCTTTTCGTAAGCGGTAGATAGACGAGTGACACCCATCACTTGCTTTCTGATAGTGCGACAGACCCATTCGAACATGCTCGGCAGCTTCCTGCTGAGGCTGCAACACTTTAAGCGAATTGAATTGGAGGAGAACTCGAGAAATGTTGTTCCATCAACTAAAAGCAAACATAAGAATCAGAAGAAGGCTGGTCATTATATGTGCTCACCGTATAAACCCTCTTTGCTCTTGAGCGCTCTGGTCAAATTATTCATGAATTGTATTGCCAAAGAACCATAGGTCTTCAAAAGAAATTGATGCACGGTTGAATATTCAATTGTGTCTTCCTTTCTGACCAAGACTGTTACATTGGATAACCACAACGATATATCCTGACAGTCCTTGACCAATTCAGGGAGTTCACAGGTGAAGTGAGTTGAGGACGGGTCACAGCTTGATGAAGAATCCCCATGCACGTCCATATGGTGGTGGGTAAGCATACCAACGAGATTCCCTGTGCATATCATGTCTGACGCTAGGGGACCCACATGAGCCCCGGCAGCGATCAGATAACTGATTGCCACTTTTTTCTTCAGGTGAATTGCTAAGGAAAGAGCATCTTCAAAGCTTCCTGATGGGAACAATATGTTTGGATCAGCACCCATGTCGAGAAGCACTTTTACATTCCCACTGTTCTCGCCGCAAATAGCAGCCGCAAGTGCACTTGGAAAGTCTCCATACGGCAAATATTTGTTGATATTAGCCCCTTGATTGATCAGGAACTGGATCATTTCCATGCCACTTCCGTGACAGGCTGCGGCTAAAGCACTGCCATAGCGGCCGGAGGTGACAGGCATATTGATCGATGCTCCAGCATGAAGAAGGTCGTCAGCAATGGTCAAGTCTCCCTGAGCGGAGATTGCTGTGAGTGCGGTGCCGTGTTCTCCACGGACAAGAGGCATATTGATGTCTGCCCCTTTCTGAATCAGAAATTGTACGTTCGCTTCTTGCTTTCCCAGACAAGCAGCAACAAGGGCGCTTCCGATGTTTCCAGTTCTCATGACTTGGTTCACTTTAGCCCCTGATTCCAACAAGGCCTCTATTGTGTCTGGGGTGCCTTTCTCGGCAGCGAGACAGAGAGCACGTCCATCCTCGATGGCTTCTGTGTCAAGTTTCAACTCTCCATTAGCAATCGCTTGTATAACATTGATCTTTCGGCTGATCAGGTCCTCCAAAATATCCAGTGACTATTAGACAAAATGATGCAATAGCTAGGTCAGCATTTCCTACATAGCCTATAAGCTATGGAAATCTGTCCACTGACCGAGGAATGAACTGGCTGAGTTTCGTCGACTGACCAAGTATTGGTACCATGGGTCTGTATCTTTTTGGGAGATCTCGATTCATCATACGATGGAAGAACTGATCCAGCTCGCAAGCCGTCACGGTAAGTAGACTCTGTAGACGTTGTTCGTTGATGTGAAACCGAGGTACTCGGATCAGCAATTGTAATCTTCCAGTCCCTATCTGACAAGGGGCTCTTCCTATGGTGGATACGCATAGTAGGAGTAGGATCATATAGAGTCGATATGGTATCGGAGGGAAGACCCGGCAACCGGGCGGCCGAAACTGGCAGGAGGGGAGGGTGAGGAGTGACATTTTTAGTATCTGAAAACGCTTTCCCTTTGCCCTTTTCCCCTTTTGTTCGCCGAGGGCGTTCTCGTAGAAGGTTCCGCATTTTCACGTCGCCCTGTTTCTCATTGGGAGGACTATAGGATTGAGGAGGAACCTGCAAGGACATGGTGTGTGGATTCGGTCCCGTGGATTTTTCCCTGGATCTCCAAGGCAGGAGCAATTTCAATGTTTGTGAATCCATGGCTATGGGTGCGCAATGTTTGGCATGGAAAACAGAACCGCAACAGAGTCATGGATGGCGTGGAGCTCGGAAAATAGCATAGGACGGACTCGTATCGTCAGTTTTTCCCCAACCCGAGGGCACTTTGTTAAATAGAACTCGATGCGGGGTCCAACTCAACTTCTCAGCCTCATTGGGGCAATCAGCAAGCGCTGAGCTGGCAATCTGTTTGTTCAAAGCCGTCGGCTAGCGCGTGATCTGCATCTTTCATTGGCGAAGACCCTGTACGCTTCTGCACACTGCCCACGAGGCGGTGTAAATCACGAATTATATCACCTGCTTCCTGTGACAATAAACTTGCCCAACATTGAAAGCCCAGTGTATAGATGGACTAGAGTCAGAGTCAAATCTACAAGCCTAGATCAACTCATGAATCAACTCATATCCGAGGTATTTCCCAGATGTTCGTGAATTAGAAAACTATGTACACCGAAAAACAAACCCCCAAAGGTTTCCCCACCCAAACGCCATCGCTAAATGCAAAACCAATACCCAAAGATCCCAAGAATTTGCATCAAAATAGCCACCCAGGTATGTACAACAACCCATAGTAATTTCAAATATCCTGATAGCACCACCAGCCAACCAACGGGTGAGCCATAGAATAGAAAAGAGAAATGAGGGGGTATCTTCAAAATAGCCACCAAACAAACAAACCAGCCAAACCCCGAAAAAAAAGAACAATATACAACCACAACTCACAACTCAAGAATCCTCCCCTATCCTCACCCTCTTAACACCCTCATGCCCGGAAGACTGGGACCCAATATTCGAACTCTCATTCGAACTAGCCTTAGCCCCCCTCCCAGCACGCATCCTCGGACTCCCACTCAAACTCTGGTGCGTCTCACCAGGCATCGGCAAATCGGGCAACAAATCCGGATCCGAGACCAGACTACTCGGCCACGAGAGCACGTCGCCAACAGCATGGCTATGTTTCTCGCGCTGCATATGGCCAGCCTCAGAGCCAGAGCCGGCCGGTTTACTTCTCCTCCGGTGGTGACGACGCAGAGACTCGTTCGGCACGGGGTCGACCTGTCTTTTCACGGCGGGGACGAGGTTCAGGTACAGCGGGAAAATAGCGCCAGCCGCGAAGAGGGCGACTAGCACGGCGTAGGAATATCTGCCGTGGGCGAGGTAGGCCGCGTATTCTGCGAAGGAGAAGAAAGTTCCGCCACTGACGGCCATTGTAAGCAGGACAGCAGCTGTTTTGGTATGTCGTCCTGTACCGCGCAATGACAGCGCGAAGATAATACTGAACGCGCCGCTTTCGAAGAGGTAGACTAACATGACCATTACGATCGCTGCGTCGCCGGTTGTTTTCATGGCCAGGATTGAGAAGACGATCATGCCGATGTAGGAGACCATTAGGATCCAGCGGGGTTTGAAGAACCACTGCGTGAAGGCGGCGATGAAGCGGCCCAGAGCGAAGACGCTGTGGCCTATTGTGAGGAAAGAAAAGGGTGTGAGGGATGCGTTTGGGTTGGCGGTTTGGACGAAGCGTTCCAGCGAGTCGGAGAGGACTTCTTGGCCGGCTACGTAGAAGAATTGGGACCAGACGCCGAGGGCGAGGGTGAGCCAGACGACGGGGACGCCGATGACTTTGGTCATGTTGTCTTCTCGGCGTCGGTTGGCGAGTTCTTCGAGGTCTTTGTCGGAGGCTTCTGGGATGGGGAGGTAGTAGAAGGCGACTGCTAGGAGGACGTCGAAGAAGGCGATTCCGAGGTATGCCCATTGCACGTCTACGAGGGATGCGGTATCTTGAACGTCCTTGAAAAGGACCTTCTTTGCCAGGAGGGGGATACCACGCTGCCGATCGCTTGTACACCTTGCGAGATGTTCAGACGGATTTCTGAATTTTCCAATGGACCACAGAGCGCGATGAAGGGATTGGCTGCAGTTTCCAGGACAGCAAGACCGCAGCCGACGATGAAGTTTGAGACGGTGAATGCAGCTGTCGAGGCGAGAACAGCGGAGGGCCAGAAGACGAGCGTTCCACAAGCATATATGCACAGCCCGGTGACGAAAGTTGATTTAAACCCCCATGTTTTTAGGACTGGGCGACCGATCAGCAGTGGACCAACACCGTAGCCGCCAAAGTAGGCACCATGGAGGCCAAGCGTGTGCCACGTATCCAATCGAACGATGGTCTGAAACTGCGTGTTCAGCGTATCAAGCAACCCATATGCAAATCCCCACAGGAAAAACAAAAGTGTCGTCAACGCGATGGGGGTAATTGACTCTCGATTATTCAATTTGAGCATACTCTCGGGATTCTTCATATTGACAAAGTCAAAAAATGTAATATTAGGCGGATGGGACGTGCTCGTATGTGTATTTGCTTCCGTATCGGTGGGAGCATTTCCAGGTTGGCCAAGGATGTCGAGGATACCCATCTGGGCATTTGAACTTTGCCCGCGGGCAGTTGAGCGAACACTCCTTGTTTGAGAAGGTTTACTTCCATTGCTGTCGGATGGTGATGCCGCGGGAGATGCGGTGAGGGAGTTTGGTAGCACGGCAGGAGAGGGGACCGCGATCGGATTTTCGCCCGTTGCGTAGTTATTGCTGGGACTGGTATATGGATCGTTGGTGTCTCTGATCAATTTCGGCATCAGACGGGAGACGAGTGGCTTGAGGCTTGGGACACAGCCACAAATGACCGAGACGTTGACTTCGACGACGGACCACATGAACGAGAGCGAGGCGTACCCTATGGCGACGGGCATCAATTAGTTAAATATCCAGAATAGTATCATCACAGGAAGACCAAGTCATACAGCTAAAGTCAGCAGCGGTATTATTCTGCAAATGAATCGATTTCACAGCCAGAGAACGCGAGATGGCTGCTTGTTGAAGGAAAGCGATTCGAATCACATCGACCACCGCCACGAAGAAACCAATGCCGAACGTAATCACCAGAATCACCTTCTGCTTATATGGCAGACGCATCTGCGTCAGGATTGGGATCGGGAGGAACAGAATAGCCAGATCGGTGATGATATTGACCGGGGACGAAGAAAGGTAGAGCGTAACGATATCGATGCACGTGGCGCCATGAGGAACGGTCGAGTGAAACGCAGCAGAGACCGGGTGACATTGAAATACGTTGATCAGTGTCAAGGCCAAGCCTGCGACATTGACTACCGCCAGTGTTACATAGTTGGCCCATCGGAAGACGTTGTTATTGCGTGTCAAGGTCAGGTAGAATACGAGGATGGAGGTTTTGACAACCATGAGGGCCGGGTTCTAGGATCACCATATCAGCATGATATATGGATAGGCACGAGATGGAGGAGCTTACGTATAGCACGGTGAATGCATAGTTGGCCTTGTTCAGCGCCTCTCGATTCTCGGGAGGAATGTCGCTCGAGTGTAGGCCGAATCCGTGCGCCGTCGCGATAAACAGTGAGAAGGAAAAGGCAATGTCAAGCAGCTAGAACCGGGATTAGCAATAGAATCATCAAGTAACTATTTCCGGGCAACTTGTATGCGATCGAGGCAGAACCAGGATGCGCACTCGCACCACCCCGGGCGCAGGCAGGGACCCCAGGAAGCAACCACGTACCCACGCGACCAGCATCAAATAATCGTGTAACCCGACCTTCCGCACGACAAAGATGCGCGAGACAAACCGCAGCGCAACAAAGAGAGTCGCGATCACGAAAAAGGTGATCGAGACACCGAGTGTGGCATGTTGTCGGGCGTGCATGACGACGGCACCGCGTACCGCAAGCGCGGTCGGCTTTTCACAATCACAAAACCGTCAGTCAAGTGTCGATTGCAATGAGCATGCGCGTCAATGCATAGTCGTGATCGAAGGAGGAGGGTGGTGATGACAGGGCCAGCTTCGGCTCCATGGTCTCTGGGGGAGACCGTTGAGAGATGTATCGGGGTGTCGACGAATCCGAATCCGGGGTAAGACGAAGGGCTGGGGCAGACCCGCCGGAGGCGAGGAGGAGAAAATAATGGGATGCGAAGATATTAACGGGGCGCAAGAACCAACGAGGCTGGCGAGAGGTAGATTCGCAGTTGAAGAGAGATGATCAGCACGGTCTTTGAAGTACGTGACAGTCGGAGTCGTGCTTTGGGGGAAGTTTCCGAGTGGGAGAGAAAGCGACAAAGCGTGATCCTCTTCTCTTGTTTTTCTCGTGGCTCCCAATTGGTTCCCACCTGCTGGACCGGCGACTCCCCCGCCGCGATCGGATCCAAGGCTCCGGCTTTTTGCGCGATTATCTCTGACGCACGCCAGTAACCGTCATAATCGGGGAGAGTCATATTATTCTTGGGGGAAACGGTTGAACCGAATCATAATAGTAATTGACGCTCGCCAGGACTCGACCCGAATGTGACTATCATAGTCCATCTTGTCTCGGATGTCCACCGCTCGTCTCTACCAGCAATGCGATTGTTGAACTTGTTTGCAACAGACTAGGACAGATAGGGCTACGTCATAGGCAATACTAACAGTTGAATAATTCCCAGCGAGACGATGCTCCTAACTTGTTAACTACGGTACGGTACATCCACTCCCGACTCGCCAATGACCATCCATTCGCTCCTACGCTCGTTCTCGGAACGGAGACCCAGCGCCACTCAATCGCCATCTCAAGATACTCGAGGGCAACACCACCCAGTCTCACGAATATGTGCAAACCTTTGAGTCCAGGATCTTAGAGAGTCCAAGATCTGCTATTACTGACGAAATGCCATTCAATGAGGAGGACGGAATAATCTATTCGTAAAAGGAACATGGACAAGTTCTCGACTGCCCAGTTGGTCGTTGTTCGTCTGGGCCAAAGCCCGCATCAGTGGCTGACATCCATGGCACCACGCTTGACTGTTTCTTGTCTAGTGCTTGTCCAGTGCTCGTGTGCCTGATCCTGGGCGTGACCAACTCTGTCTTTTACTTAAGGTCGCGGCCCAATTCTTGGCGAGCAAGATGGTGAATACTGCACGTTGGTCTGGAAATTTCTTGGGGTTGTGCATTCTGAACATATATATTGCGAGCTAAATGTAGCTGGGGGCCTTTTTCCAAAAAAATATGAAAACCGATTGAGGCGATATATTTTTGAATGTGTATTTTTTTCCAAGGATAGTAATTAGAGCAACTACCACAGACGCGAGGTCTAGGGTCGGCTTCGTTGTGTGAATATATATCCCACTCCGAAGCTATCCTAAATTAATCAAGGTTATCTTGCAGCTCCAATTGAAACGGCTAGTGCATGCGTCCGTCAAAATGCACACCTTACGCACGAAAGATGACCCCACAGGATCTCACTGCTAGCGCTGACTACTGGAGGTAGCTCCACGACGCTGACAGCTGATCGTGGCGCCGGGTGTTTACTCGTCAGGGGCAAGTCCATCCTAATCTTCATGTGAAGACCAGATCTCCACGACCGAGGCCATTATGATTCCCAGCCAAGATACCTCTCCAATTTCCTCACGGCTGATAATCAATACCCGAAACGAGACAAATTCAATAGTTCTATCCGACCGCACCGTGCAATGTTACAACGCCTACCCATTAGCTGCTTGGCTGCATCACTTGGTCAACAATGTAGCAATTCCACACCTACACGCGCCTTCCTCTCGGTGCCCCGATCGGCCTCGATTAAACTCCGACGGGGCATACCGGTCGATAACCATTCCGACTGGCCACGTGCGGAGCGCAAACCCCAGAGTAGTACGAACTAGCGCTTCTGGAGCTTTCCCAGGAACATGCGTGCTTGCAATCCTGTCAGTTGCGATCAACACCCGTCAGCCTATCATCGTGGCATGGCTGCAGTCAATGCTCCGCTTGTGGGGATATCTGATCGGAAGGATTTCCTGATGATCGCTTCGCTTAATTCTGGTCCTACAGGAAGGGGATACGGTGCTAAGCGAATGGTAGGATCGTCTAGATGGCGGAAGTACGTGCAGAGGTTCTCGGCTGGAGAGAGGTATATTAGTACGAGCCATGCTTGTCTCCACGTTCATGGTCTTGGTATCTTCAGCAGGGGAATATAAAGCCAGCTGGATAACCCGTTTGATCTGCTTTGGTCAGTGATTTCAAGCGAGATTTTTCAGTCCGTCCAGATGAAGCAGGCAGTTCTATTTGCAGTGCTTGCGCCTCTGGCATCGCTGCCGGGGGTTCAGGCTGGGGCTACAGAAAGTTGGATTAGCACTATCTGGAACGACTTTAAAGAAGCGGTGGACTGTGGAAGTTGCCAGGTAAGTCCATCTCTACTCCAATTATCTCTTCCAATCATTTCAATAACCAATTGGTTGGTGATTAGGTTCTCTTGGGTGGTCTCAAGCTCGTGGCCGACTTTGGTGAAGGCTTCCTGGGGGATGTATTGACCGGCGTCTGTGATATTAGCCGCGTAAGTCACCACATTGTTTATCCCTGACAGTAGTTTTATGTCGTGAATGTACTCTGATCTCATATAAAGGCAGAGGATCGCGATGTCTGCGCCGGTGTCGTCGCCAGCGAGGTTCCAGCGTTGCACTACGCCCTCAAGAACATGCACGTCGGTTCCCACACAGCCAAAACCCTCTGCTCGGCTCTGGTCGGTCTCTGCGATTTCCCAGACGTCCGTCCATTCGACTTGACATTCCCTTCGCCCAAGCCAGCGAAAAGCCGGCCGCCGCCTAGCGGCAAATCTCCCATCAAGGTGGTTCACTTTACCGATACCCACGTTGATCTATCCTACGAAACCGGCTCCAACTATGACTGCTCCAAGCCCATCTGCTGCCGCGTATACAGCGACAAAGATGCCCCAGGAACCACAGACAAGCCATGCGGCCCATTCGGCAATACCAAATGTGATCCTCCCCATCAATTGCAAGAAAGCATGATGACCGCCATCGCAGCGCTCAGCCCAGCATTTTCGATCTACACTGGCGACGTCGCCGCCCACGACGTCTGGCTCGTGACCAAAGACGAAGTCCTCCAAGATTTCAATGCCACCTATAGCGCGATAGAGAACCATCTTGGCCTCGTATACGCCGCACTGGGCAACCACGACGCCGCCCCACTAAACCTCTTCCCATCCAACAACGTCCCAAGCGAATACAACCCTCAATGGGCCTACGAAGCTCTCACAGCAGACTGGATGGCCCTCACTGGAATTGATAGCGTCCAAAACGCAAACGAATACGGCTCCTACTCAGCCATCCACCCAAACAGCAAACTCCGCATAATCTCCTACAACAGCATCTTCTACTACAAATACAACTTCTTCTCCTACACCGAACCAATGGAATACGATCCCAACGGCCAACTCACCTGGCTAATCGAAGAACTCCAAGCCGCCGAAACCGCCGGCCAACGCGTCTGGCTAATCTCACACATCCCATCCGGAGACGGAGACCATTTCCGCGACCACTCGCACTACTTCGACCAAATCATCCAGCGATACGAAGCCACAATCGCAGGTCTCTTCTTCGGACACACGCACACAGATCAGTTCCAAATCTCATACTCAGACTATAACAATCGATCCTGGGATACGGCCACGGCAATGGGCTACGTCGCACCATCAATGACACCAACATCCGGCCCGCCCTCCTTCCGCGTCTACGACATCGATCCCGAGACATTCGGCGTGATAGATTTCACCCAATACATCGCCAACATCAGCGATCCAACCTTCCAACAAAAACCAAACTGGACCCCGTACTACACCGCAAAGAAAGACTACGGTGCAAAACTCTCTTCTGTCCCCGCTGACACCGCCGAACTCACCCCGGCCTTCTGGCACAACGTCACCGTCGCCATGGAAAACGACACCTCAGTATTCAACGAATTTTGGGCTCGACGCACGCGCGGATTCAATGTGCCCGCTTGCACGGGTGACTGTGTCAAGAATGAGATTTGCGCGCTGCGCGGTGCGGACGCACAGTATAGCTGTGTGCAGCCGACGCCGGGAATTAGTTTCTCTAAGAGAGACGAAGAGAATATGGTGGAAGAAGTGGGTCCGTTGTTGAGTAAGAGGTTCCAGCCGGAGTGTAATCATGCTGGGATGGCGCCGTTGTTGGCGAAGATTGCGCATGAGGCTAGGCTGGCGAAGCAGCGTGGAGAGTGAGGGGGTTGAATGGGCCAGCGCTTTGAGTGGCATACCGCATTGGGTAGTGGAAGTTTTAAATAATTCATAATAATACACGTAGTTAATTGTGAAGTTCATGGATTGCGTGTCGTTTGCTAGATCTGAGCAGCGAAGATCGCATTAATTTGTATCTCACACATGGTATCCTGATCCCGAATCTTGCGGTAACAAGCCCTGTTTATCAATCATCGCAACGAGATCATCATCCATCATAAATTCCCCAAGTTCCATTCCAAATGGCGAGAGACTAAAATCAGCAGTCGGGTTGGAGCCACGCGTACTCGTCAGCGCCGGTAGTGTAGGCATCAAACCATCGAGGTCTGTTTCTAGAGATCAAGTCAATAATCAGGTGAAGAAACGTATAGTACAGCAGAACCTACCAGGATCAACCAAGATTTTATTGAACTGCTCAAGAGAATACCGGCACCGATCAATCAATCGATTTCCATCGTCCAACTTCGATAAAGCCATCACCGCGCGAGCAGGGTACTGCTGTACTTTCTTAGCTTGGGCAGTCATCGAAGCGCTGCAAAGGCTCGTATCCCGATACACCCAAACAGCACCGATAAGAACAACCGCCGCATTAAATGCTGGAATCGTGTTAGTGGTGACATTACCAGTGTGTCAAGTGTAAGCAGGACAATCTTACTGTAATATAACGAAAACCACCAAGCTCCAAGCAAACTCTGCTTCCACCCAGGCTCGGAAACAACCCTCAAAACAATATCAATGATCTCCATCGCCGACTCAGTAATAATCTGCATACTATTCATACCAATCTGCTGCAGGAGTTTCAAATCCTGCGGATCACGATCGGGACTTCGACTTGCAGCGATAAACTTCACCAACACAGGTCTATGCAGGAGGACCCTAAGATTGAGATATCGGAGTGTGAGAATGACGCGGAATTTCCAAGAGAAGTAGTTGAAGTTGGAGGAGGATTGGTCGGGTGGCATTTCGGTGAGGATACTTGTTGATACGAGTTGGAGGGATGCGGGGAGGGATCGTTCCCAGGAGAAGAGGTGTTGTTCCATGCTGAAGATGTGGGCGACTGTTTCGCTGACGGAGAGCGGGGTATCACAGCCTATGTTTTGGCCATAGAGGAGATCGAGAATGTTCCAGAGCTGTTTGTATAGGGTGCTGGAGATGCATGTCAAAAGACATATCGTGGTTGGGATGGGTATTGGGTCTTACATGGTAGAGTTGAAAAAGGAAACACTGAGATAAGAGGTTTCATCATCCACAAATGCAGATGACTTTTCAAAATCTCGTTTTGAGGGAAGTTCGAGTTTCACATAGTAATCTGGAATGGAGCTGGGCCTTCCAAACGTCATACTCAGTGTTCTAGAGTACTACCAATCAGCATCAATGGGATAAGATAATCGAGCTATTAGTCCTTACCTATCAAGCACCACGCAACCGTACCAAGTTCGCTTACGTGTCTCCTGATCGAGTGGTGAGAAGGACCTGGAGGCATTCCTCGAGTGTAATCCGAGTTGGAGAGCGGCTTTGACTGCGAGTCCATGCACAGTCCAAGCTTGGACAGACTTTTGAGTGCCTTGTAAATATTGGCCAATAAGCAGAAGGTATTGAACTAGTATTCAATTAGCAATGTAATCATATCAGCTATTAAGCTCCTTTTTCGGGGTCTCCTACCAACTTCCAGAGTAGTCCCTCGTAAGATCTCGCTTCCACACAACCCCAAACCACGTTGATAGAACACATCCGACTCGGAGATCCGGGCATCGGCTTTCGCACCACCAGGAGTCGCAGTAATGGTCGCCATTGCCAAAACCATATTCAACAAGCCAAGCCACGTCCTTCGCACTTTCGTAAAATTCTCTCTGGCCATTTGATGATATGTCTCCAAAAAGGCAGGCGGGTAAATGTACGGGAAGAGCAATCCAGTTTCGGAAAAGTACCTCTGGATAAGCGCCAATGTCTCTGCCTGAGGGGGTAGAGCGAACATGTTGACTTTTGATCGTTGATCCTGAGGTGTTTGGCGCGGTGGCGAGGGTGGTCGAGATGCATTGACGAATCCTCCCTCTGCGGCTCCAGGTGATAGAAGATACCCTTGTTGGACAACCGCTCTAGAGAGATGCCTCAAGAATGCAATATTAGACGAGGGTCCTGGGTAAGAATAATTAGCCATAGGTCCGTAAAGATACGACTTGAGGTCAATCAAACCGAAGAATCCCGAGTCTTCCTCATCAGCAAAGGTCACCGCACCCATCGCATCAACCGAATCCTCCGTCCCAGTAAGATCCGATCCAGACACAGAAACCACTCTCTGCCCATCATCCTCGACTCTCCTCACAGTTTGCAAATTGCTACTCGAGCCACCATCTCTACCGGCAATACTCTGCATCTGCACACCATCAACCCGTCCAGCCAATCCATCAATCTCCCCTCTAACCCCTAGCATCCCCTCCTCCAACCTCTTAACCCTCTCCTCAAGCCCATGCAGATAATCCTTCTGCACAATAACATTCGTCGCCGTCGGTGGCGGCGTATAGACACATTCAAACCCCAGATCGCGACAAAGCGAGCATCGCGGTCTCACGCCATCGCAACGAGACTTGCGCGTTCGACATGCATCGCAGGCAACCGCGACACGGCGCCGTTTCGATGCGGGTGCTTGGGTTACGTCGTTATCTGCTTCGTCAGATGGGGCCATTTGGAATGCGGGTAATGTAATTGAAAATCCGGGGTTGGCACGGAGAATGGGGTGCGTTGATGATGTGCGGGGAACGGTCGGGGTGTGCATCTTTGGCCGGGGAACGGTCGGAAGTCAGTTTGTGGGGGGAACTGGGGGATAATCACATGATTATGGTGTCTACACAGGTAAGAATGGAGGATTATATGGACTGGGCATCTTAACAATTATTGAAAGGTTCGGAACAGTAGATAGAAGTGTATTTCAAGAAGCTCTGGCGTGTATATCACCCCCCCTGCTTCTTGTTGAACTGGCTGTCTGTACACAGATTGATCCAGACAACGACAATTGGAGTCAGCCAATACAAAGTGCATCATTGTGCTTGCTGTATAGCAACATATTATTTGGTCCCATAAAGTGCCAATAAACTCAATAACTGCTGAAGGATTTCAATCTTTGTCTCGGCAACATTTGTCACAGGCAATAATGAACGTGCATGTAAGTTAGACATGATCTAAAGAATGACGCCCCAAATTCTGCATAGTTCTAACGGCAGAGACTAGCCGGGTGACGAAGTCGCACCCCCTCAAGAATCTAACTGCTAAACTTACCCGAGGACATCGATTACCTGACTACCGCAGTGGACTTGAAAGTACGGTAGGCAAATTTGAAATAGTGGCTCTCAACTGATCGACAATTACTACTAGGATGAAGTGGGGGTAAGCTCGATATCACCTTGAATACACGAAGTGAAAGGACATCCTTGAGACCATTTTGAATCCCCATAATTAATATAGGCTTGCAGATTGTCAAGAGTAACTATTAAATGGCTGTATTGCCAGCTGGCGCTTCTGCGCATAAGTACCGTACCCTGTATGGGGCTAAGCGCCGCCTAGCTGAAAATGAGGGGCTTGGGGGCCAAGTAGTCTTCATCTTCAACATATTTTCACTCTCGTTTCAGCGTCGCACTGATTCTCTATATCTATCGAAAGACTTCGACCGATCAATTGTTTTGAACAGATTCTGAGAATAATAATGGGTCTCAAACGCCTCGTGGCAAAGTTGAATCGACCGAAACAAGCACTAAAAGACCCCACCAGCAGCAACAGTTCGAGCCCGGCTCCGTCTTCAGGACCTGCCACTGACAATGGCACGGCGGTCTCTAGTGCAGCTGTACCCTCCGACATAGACAATGATCCTGGACCGCTCCAAGCTTCCGCAGCCGATGAGCGCAATCTATGGCTCGAGGCCTTTGGCAAGCTGTCACGAAAATCACAACTAGAGCTCGAGAGGCGAGGAATGAAAAGCTCAGAGCCGCTAATAGATCAGATTGAAGCATTTCAAAAGGAGGCTGAAAGAGTTCGGGATCAAAGCCTTGCCAGAGACTGGAAGATTCAAATCGGAGATCATGAGGTGTCAATCCGGCAAACAACTATTCAGGTTGTTCACTGGGCAACGAAGATTGGAGATCTGGCTATTCAATTTTCGCCGTCCACTGGGGCTGGAGTATGGGCAGTTGCGAGATCAATCTTGCAGGTTGGTTGTCGCGAGCTCTTCAGCTTGTACAACTGCTGACATGGTAATAAATCTAGGAAGTTGACACATTTGACAAAGAAAAAATCGCACTCATTTCTGTTGTCGATAAAGCGGCCGGTGCCCTCTTTTGCGGCCAAGTCTACTACGAAATATATACTCTCGACCGCACCGGAAGAACTGATGTAGTGGAGAAGCTTCACGATAAAATGGTGAAACTGTATGCATGCGTACTAGAGCTTCTAGCCAAATCGACCAATCTATCTTCCAACACTGCGGTGCAATTTTACTGTGCTGTTTTCGACCCCAAGAAGCCATCCGAGATGCTATCTGAATTGCAAAGCCTGGAACAGGACCTTGCGACAGCTGCCCAAAAGTGTGAGATCACAGCTCATGCTCGTCAGGAAGCCGAATTTAAGGAGTATCTACAAGAAGCCGAAGACTGTCTCCACATAATCAGTCGTAATCTGGAACAGGTGCTCCAGTGGGTCAGCGAGCAATAACGAAGAGATCTCCTCCAGTGGATCTCCACTATTCAATACGGCCGTCACCACGATGAGATCGAGGAGAGAAGACGTCCAGACACCGGAGACTGGGTTATTAAACATGAAAAATTTCGCGAATGGATAGATTCGCCTTCATCTAGTGTCTTGTGGCTTCAAGGATCCCGTGAGTTTTACTACCCGCACATTTAACGCCTGGCTCAACTGAGAGAATGCAGCTGCAGCTGGCACTGGGAAGACCTTTTTGACTTCAGCGGTAGTCACGCATATTGGGACCATGACGGGCTCTCAAATGGAAGGGTTTGCCTTTTTCTTCTGCAATCGGGACGAGAAGGATCGACGCGAGGCGCTGCCAGTGCTTCGATGCTTAGTTCGCCAGCTTGCCGCACCAAAACTCAACACACGCTCCGTTAGAAAAAGCCTTCAAGAAGCACGAGAAAAGGCCACGGATAGGGCTTCGCAGCTCGGACTGTCAGAGTGCCACGATCAGCTTCTCGAGTCCTTCATGCTGTTTTCAACAACATTCATCGTTCTGGACGCGATGGATGAAGTCCTGGATGAAGAGCTTGAGATTTTGATAGGGAGGCTTGATGAGCTTTTTCGCAAGACTGAAGCTGGAAATAGAGTGAAGCTTTTCGTTGCCAGCCAGCCGGAAAAAGAGATTACTCGAATGTACGGCTCGAGACCAACAGTGATCATCCAAGCTGGTGACAACAAGCCCGATATTGAGAGATTTGTAAAGCTTGAAATGGACACTTTTGAGAAGAGATATCCTAAATCGGATGTCACCCCCAAGAAAGATGAGAGTATAACTACCATTCTTGACAAATGCGACAACATGTAAGTCTTTATCCCGGGTTGGAGGGTTTTATACTGACGATGACATAAATTTCTGTGGGCGGCCCTCCAAATAAAACAAGTAATGCAGTGCAATTCGATTGACTCGATTGAGTTTGCACTGAAAACCCTCCCAAGAGGATTGAATGCGACATACGATCAAATTTACTTCAAAATCCAAGATCGTCTACGCCCCGAGAAAGAGCTGGCCGAAAGAACCATCAAATGGGTGATGTGTGCCCCATTGCCACTCTCTAGCGAGGTGCTTCTCGGGGCCGCCAGGGTCAGCCTTGAAAAAGATCAAATCAAAATTGTGAACCGTGTCCAGCAAGAATCGCTGCTATCAATTTGCGAAAATCTGCTGATGATTGATTCAGCGGGTTATTGGAGGTTCTTCCATCTCTCCGCCCGAGAGTATTTCGAGGCTACTCAGGACCCTAGTCAAAATAAGTTTTCCTTCTGTGCACAAGTGTGCTTTCAATCTCTTATCACAATGTTCACCCCGACCATATCTATATCTGCCTCGACGGATCCAGATATCGCTTCGACTCCATCCCATCCAGCCCATCCTTTCTCTCAACACGTTCGGTCCTTCTGGCCATTCTACGCTGCTCAACTGACCGAGAATGACAAGTCAATCATCTGGCTCAAGCGTTTCCTGGGATCGCTTGAGAGAAGCAGCCCTTTCTTTATTCAATGGGGTGCCCAAGTCTCCGATGGGGAGTTTGATTTCTCTGACCTATTTCAAGGGCAAAGACGCAATTTGGGCCCATTCAAGACGCCGATATTTGCTATCGCTTGGTTCTCACTATACAAGGTTTTGCAAGGGTGGTTTGATAACACGAAATTCGACCCCTTTCAGAAAAATGAGAAAGGAGACAGCCTGCTTACCATAGCCGCCCAGGCTGGCTGCGTGCCTTTATGCGCAGACCTTATCTCACGAGGAGTTTCTGTCAACCAGGACTGTGTCAGTGACATTTATGGCAGTTGTCTTGCCGCCGCTGCCTGGTGTAGGGAATTTGAAACGACCAAATTCCTCATAGAGGAAGGCAAGGCTGATGTGGATCTTCCCCTTTCATGTGGGATGTATGGTAATGCGCTTACTGCTGCTGCGTCTCGCGGTGATCTTGCTATAGTGAGATACCTCGTGGAGGATGCTAAAGCTGAGGTGAATGCCCGAATGGAGACAGGTTATTTTGGCAGTCCGCTTGCCGCTGCCGCTGCCGCTGCCGATCCGTCTTATAACGGGCTCAAAGTCGTGCGATACCTCGTTGAGAATGCCCAAGCAGAAGTGAACGTCCAACTCCAAGCTGGGGCTTTCGGAAGTCCACTTGCTGCTGCCACGGCATCTTTGACTGGACTAGAAACCGTGAAATATCTAGTCGAAGAAGCTCAAGCAGACGTGAATCTTCTACTCGAGAGCGGAAATTACGGCAGCGCGCTCGCTTCCGCTGTCGGTAGTAGCTACGGATTAGAAATTACGCGATACCTCATAGAGGAGGCCCATGCAGACGTTGATCTACAACTCAAGGCAGGCTTTTATGGCAGTGCACTTGCTGTTGCTACCTCCATGGGAAACATAGAGGTCGTGCGATACCTCGTGGAAGAAGCCTGTGGGGAAGTTAATCTTCTACTTGAGACAGGGATTCATGGCAGTGCGCTTGCTGCTGCCGCCCGTTCCGGAGACCTGGATACCGTGCAATACCTCGTGGAAGAAGCCTGTGCGGAAGTTAATCTTCTACTTGAGGCAGGGATTCATGGCAGTGCGCTTGCTGCTGCCGCCGGTTCCGGACACCTGGATACCGTGCAATACCTCGTGGAAGAAGCCAATGCCGACGTGAACCAGGTTCTACCCAAAGAAGGGCATTGTGGTAGTGCGCTTGCTGCTGCCGCCTACATGGGATACCTAGATACAGTGAGATACTTCGTAGAGGAAGCTCATGTGGATGTGAACATCCCACTTGATGGAGGAGATTTTAGCAGTGCTCTTGCGGCCGCTGCCGCTAGCTCCAACGGAGAAAGGTTGAAAACAGTGAGATATCTCGTGGAAGAAGCTGGGGCAAACGTGAATATCTTTCCAATCACCGAAGGAGAGTATGGTACTCCTCTCGTCCACGCTGTCGATGCGGGACACATGGACATAGTTCAGTACCTCGTGGAAGAGGGGAAAGCAGATGTCAACCTACAATGTAGAATTTGGCAGTATAGCACAGCACTCGAGGTCGCGTTGTCTTTCGATAATCAGGACATGGCTGAATATCTGGTTAGCCGGGGGGCAGTCACGAGTTGATGGATGAATAATGATGGAGATTTCCAGGCAGCGCCCTTTTGCCTATTTAGACTGGCTTCTTCCTCTGTCGATCCAGGGAATTTCCCACCGCTACGCTACTATATAGTATGGCACTTTATTATAATTACCGCATATCCTCATATATTTTTCTAGGGAGGCACTCCCCTAATCCCTTGACGCTCAAAGATAAACACGATACTTAACCTACGAACCGGATTTCTTATGCCAGGTCTTGGCTTTCCCTTTCCGTTTTAGTGCTCAGACCCTCGCCGCTTTTGCTCACTGAGTAGACCTGGGCACGCCTCTGAGCGCCCTGATCAAGTGACCATTACGTAAGCCCTCTGATCTGCTCACTCAGCTGGAAGTCTGATCCTCTCACCGATGCTTAGATAAGCACTGAGCTGAGCGCTCTGATTTACTAACTACAGGATTAAACAAACTATTAGTGAGCTGAAACAATATTATCTTGTCTGCATTTACGATGCTATTTGACCAAGGGAAATAATTCAATAGAATAAATATTGATTGATTAGAAATGACCAAAAGAGTGTATAAAACCGCGGGTACGTTAATCATTTGTATCTCCGATTCTGGCAGAGAAGAGAGAGGGAAGTGCTGTAATACTAGGAGTAAATAAGTGGAGCCTGTAACTCTGCACTATCACGGCAGTAGGAAAAGACTGATTCCTCAACAAAGGCAGAGGAAATTATCGCAAATTTTCCGTGGTACCATCAACACTATCGGAACACTTCAGCTCACTGCAAAACGACTTCGGGCGCGAAGCATCGAACCCCAATTCCAAAGACAGAAGAGAAGGACGCAGCAGATAAGGACAAGGAATCCCAGTAGACTTACCCCCCAGTGGATACCAAGATTGATGAACATGGGTCTAGAGAACATGATAGCTCCGGCTGCGAGACTCGACCGCGCAAAATCGTTTGCAGCAAACAAAGACGCTGCATACTTTGGATAGGTGAATGCCAAGTATAGGAGCATGCAGACTATGATTGTAAATGTCCCAACAATACTGAGAGATAGCCCTACGATAGTTGCAATCCAATGGATGCTGGGACGAGCTGTCCATCCTATGCAACAGTTAGCACTGTCTTCAGTTGGGGCAGGCATGCAATACCGAAGATGAATAGCCCGATTGGTAACCAAAAACAAGCGAATAAAGCAGGTACTAATCGCTTTTCAGGTTCCCCTAGCGCGGAAACCCCAAGGCGCATGACGGGCTTCACCACAAAAAAATGCCAGTGAAAGATCACAAGACCTCCTGCGGCGGCCAAGCCGGCAAGCACGCCAATAAATGGCAAGCTAGAAACCCTGAAACTGAATCCATAAATGCCTTGATATACAAGTGGGAATGATTCGAAGAATGAGTAAAAGATACCATAGACGAGACTCGTATAGATTGTTGAGTAGAGCACAGCTGGATCTAGAATGTTGATCTCGGTCGGCTTAATTAAAGCATTATAGACGATCTGGCGAGTAGTGAGTTCGGCTTGGTCGATTTCAGCTTGGGATTTGAATGCAGCATTTCCAGTCAGCTTTCGCAGCCGTCTTGCACGATAATAGAGGATCGTCGAGGATGATGTCTCTGGCAAGGAAAAAAGTAGAAGGCCAGAGATTGGCCCGCTGAGCCACAGCATAATCCATGAAACCCAACGCCAATTCTCAGCAGTAGCGCTGAAGTTCCCAATGATGGGGCCTAACGCAGGCGCGAGGACAGCTGTTATTTGCATCGATTAATCAATAAAACGTAGGGTACAAAAGTATACTGAGAATAAGGCTTACTAGCGCCTCCCCAGATGACAAGTAAATATGGGACTTGAATGAGTGGGAACTGTATGAATACGCGTTAGTCTCGGTTTCAGGGAAAGAATTTGTGTAGTAAAACCTACAATATCTCCAAATGTTGCTCCTCCAGTAGCAAGACATGGAGATCCTGTACAACGGGGATTAGCATCTGATATTTTCTCTTCAGGACATATACAAACCGAAGAAGCCAGTCAGGAATCGGAGGACTAGAAGGCCGCCGAAGTTATCTACTAGGGCGGTCGGTATCCATAGTACCGCAAATATGATGACCGTGATCACATAGGGCGGGTTTCGACCCACGGCTGGAATCCTAGTAATGATATCAGCCAAATCATACTGGGGGTTCAGAAGGACCCGCAGACGTACTCGCTGATGGGGGAGAAGACCATCGCACCGGCTCCATCTGCCATTCAATTAGACGTACTCGGCGCGATGGACGGATTACAGAATGATCTATCCATACTCACATGCAAGAACATATAGTGCGAGACCTAGAGAGGCTGCCTCAATGCTGACGCCAAATTTCTCAATGATCTGAGGGACTCCACCGATATAAATGGAAGAGCCAAGGTAGACGGCAAATGAATAAATGCTTTAGTCGTATAGTGTAAGTATCACGCATGACTGATGAACATTCTCGCAATGGAAGAGACAAACATACCAAATTAAAAATGCCACAAATGCTTTCTTTCCCCTGCCCCAGTTCTGAGGGTTGTCTGGATCGTCTGCAACAGACAGTATTTAGATCAGGCTATGGGATATCAAACTCTTCAGAAATTCTCACCTGTTGTGTACCAGTCTACTAGTATTACACCTTGTGCAGTTTTAATAGGCTCGATGACTAGAGTACGCTCCTTTTCCAGAGTGTGCAGACTTTGCTGAGTAACAAGTCGCTTGATTGGGTTCGTCTCCAATGCATCCTCCAAATCCTCACTTTCAGTATCTATCTCAGTTGGGCGCAGATGGTTGCAACCCCGATCGGCTTCGTTATTTGTGGTGGCGATGGTCGAAAGATGTTGAGGTGTGCCGCAATGGCCATCCACCTCTGGTGGAGAGGTTGGTAGACATCTTGTTTCTGGTTTCTCCGTCTCCTGGAAATAATGAGGATGTTGAAACCCTTCCTTCTCTTCACTATACTGTAGGTATTTATTTTTTGTCATATATCGGACAATCTGCCCGAAGCTGGAATCTCGTATGAGGTCGTACATTGCGATTTTCAGGTAGCTGATGCTCCCATTCCAGTTTCCTGAGCTAGCTAGACTTGAGGGCTTTATAGTTTCATATCTTTGCCACCGAAGAGTAGTAGTATGCTGGTGACGTCTTTATGTCGAGATAAAATTGTAAGCCAGTAATTTGTTTAGCAGCAACTCCAATAAACTCATTTACTAGGTAAGTAGGAATATCTATTGGGTCATTGGGAAATTAATCTGCAAGAATGATGACGAGTGTCCTAAGATGAAGATGAAATCCAAGTTAAAGCCACGATTCCGAAACGAACCCGGCTAATAATCAGAGATCGGCATTGGTCGGTGTTTGAGGGCGTTTCTTCCCAGCAACGTCTTGGGATCATCGACGCGTGGGTTCCAATAATGTCATGCGGCCGAAAAGCTAAACTGAAATCCGACCAGTAAAGTGAAAATTACCCAAATAGGACAATGATCTGCCCCACTTTCTAGTCTTGATGTTCCATCTCCACAAATATACACAATGAAGTGGAGAAGATCAAGGTAGCCTGGCCGGCACAGGCAGGTCGAGGCACGAGAGAGAAAGATAGAGTCGTAGGGCAGAGGCAGAACAAACCCCCAACAGCGAATCTCCCGTAAGAGACGCCACAAGAGAAAAGGATTTGACTGTCTGTAAACGCCCTACCAACAATAGATCCGACTGCCGTAGGGAGAGAATTGAAGGAACCCCATGCATTGTTAGAAAAGCTAGAAAAACGAGAAGGAAAGCTCCATTCAGAAGGCGTCCAAAACCACTTCACTCCTGTCGTGTGTTGTATATTTATCTCTACTTCCTTCGCTCTAAAACATACGATTTCCGCAGAAATCCCCCGAAACAAACCAGACAAACAGATTCAACCAGCGAATTCTCATATAATGGGTTAATTTATGGTTGTTTCCGCGTATACCAACGCGTGATGTTACTCCGTTGGAGCGATCCCTAAGCGTTGAAGGATAGATGCCGTATATAGTAGTCGCAGCAGCGCGAAGCGATTTAAATCGGCCATTTTTAATATACTGGAGGGCTAGCAGGATCTTTCCCTCGTGCTGTATCTGTATCGAATCTTATGAGGGTCGCGAGCTGTTTGGTGGCATAGTAGGTGGTTGAACAATGTAGGTGTGCGTAGATGCGTTTCTTTTTTGGTTGGGTGGGCAGCCCGCTTGTGCATTAAGTACGTTAGTTAACTAACGTAATGCACAGGCGACGGAACCACACGGGCGAGTGAACCACCCCAAAACACTATATTAAAAGCGATAAATTACAACATCATACCTCAACAATCAGAATTTATAATATAATCCTGTAGTAAGTAAATGATTATACGATAATTAAGAGGGCGTGTATAAATTTTTGAGTGCTCTCCATGAGTAGTAATTCGAGTATGTATATTTTAATCGATTCAGTCAAAAATAATGTAATTTACTATAATAGTATAACAGTCACCGGGGCTATTCTAAATTCTAGTATATAACTATTGGTATAGTTAATAATCGTCCGTCTGAATATCAAATAGAATAAAGTCGTCGTGGTTGAGATATAAAAGTACAAAAAATATCGCCTTTAATATGGTGTTTTAGTGTGGTTCACGCGCCCGTAGATTACGTTAGTTACTAACCCGGAAGGCGACGGGAGAATCCTGACCACCTCCTTCGAACCAACGCAGGAAGCAAGAAGCTTCAACTCAGATCGGGATGCAGTTCTTTTCAATCCGACCAATCAGAAGAATCCAACGTGGCGTCTAATATCTCTCGAACGGCCCCTCGGCTAGCGACTTCGCATTGATAAACCGTGCACAGTTTATCAATTTTGCGGGGCATCCAGTCACGGTCAGTCCCGGGGTTTGCTTCATGCGAAGTTCCCAAATGGAGGCTGCGAAGGAGAGCGATTCTCCGATTGAGGACCTACGGGAACAAGAGTTTATGGATGAAAGAACTTCCCTCCCATTCATTGTCCAGACTGGTCTTCAAGGGGCAGACAGTTTCGATGCGAGGTCACGGCGTCTTGTTCGCGCACAGGCCAGAAAATCAGCTCATCGATCTGGACAGTTAAACATTCTTCCCTCTTCCTCTGGCCCTCCTATAAGGGGATGGCAAAGCGCAAATACGGGTAGCGTTGTCAGCCAGCAATCTCTCAAGTCGAAGTTTAAACTCCTCTCATGGCAGCCGAGGAAGTCCAGAAAAAAAAACCGGGCCCCACATTCAGATTATACCAGCATTTCATCCCCTGTCGTGTATTCTGATGTACAAGGACGAAACGAAGTTCGTCAATTTGTGCCGGCTGGGCTCGGACCAATCAATGTTCTACCAGTTCCCTTTTCCCAGACAGCGCAACGCATATTGCACTTCTGTACGTCGAATGGAACCACACGCGCGATATGCTTCACATCTAATCACGACTCTAGGCTATGTTGACTTCAAAACCAACAAATTCTCGCTAAATCCTGAAGGGGATTGGTATTCTATTGCTAGAGCTGATGCTGGACTCTTGAACGCATTTCTATCGACTGCGGCTGTGTTTCGCAATCTCCATTTTGGACTCGGGGACTTGGAGACGGTAGTTCATCATCGCTATGAGGCTATACGATTGGTTAATCAGCAATTAACTAACAAACCGGGGAGCCTCTGCGAGGAATTAGTCACTGCTGTGGCCGTTCTCGTATCCGCTGAGGTAAGCCCGTTCTCACCAATAAAAAGTCAGCCATTCAACCATGCTGGTCAGGATGCGAGAGTTAAAACCGCCATACCCTAGTTTGCGCTTAATACATACTGACGACTTTTTACAGGCTTTAGAGGACAGGGCCGATGGCGCATCAGTTCATATGCGCGGTTTAGTTAACATGGTACGTATGCGTGGTGGTCTGGAAAGCTTTGATCATTCTCCAACTATCCAACGAGTAATAACGTGGTACGTAATTATTGCTTTTGGGAGGGTTTGTAGTTACCCTCATTAAACTCTTCCTAGGGCCGACTTTTCCTTTTCTGCAACACGCGGCGCTCCTCTATCCTTTCCACGTCTCCAGTCACTTTCGCACCCTCTACTTCTTTCTCCGCTCCCGATACAAGAGAGCCTTCAGCAACGTGTGGCTTTCGGTCTATTAAATAATCCAGAGCCAAAATTGTCCCCCTTTGATATACTCTGCATGCTCCAACACATCTCTCATCAAATCTCTAATTTTCCGGTAATTGGTGGCAATGCAACAGCTATTGGCAACACCATATATGTGGCTGAGCATCATCTTTTGACTCTACTGTTTTCAAATGGGGAATCGGAAAAGGAAGGTGACAGCGAAACATTATATTATGTCGCTGCTCTCCTGTATTCCCTTCTCGCCATACGCGGAGTACCTCTACAAGCGCCGAGACACCGCGAGCTGATCAGCCGGTTATCTGGATGCCTTTATCACTACCAAGAGTTATCCCTATCGTCAGATTCCACGTTCAACGAATGTATCCGTCTTTGGGTGTTGGTTGTTGGAGCTGTCGTATCAACGAAATCCTCAACTCGATCATACGCTCTGCAAGGTATTTCCAAAATCAATAACGCGATGGGGGTTACGAATTATGAAGCGTTTGTATCATATCTGAAGAGGGTCCTGTGGATGGATGGGTTCTGCCTCCCCAACTGCATTCTTTTGTGGGAAGAGATAAAATCTGGCACTCCTTGTAATACATAGCTCTATTAATCTCAATCCCGGTTGAAACTCTCATCTTTAATGACACAGCAAAGAAAATGCCGGATTTACCTCCACAGCAGCATCATGCTTTTATGATCTATAATATTACCTCAGTGTCTGGCCTTTATTACTTCAATTTGTGTTTACGTCACCGCCCCCGCCCGAAGACTGAAGACCACAACTTCCAATTCTGCATAAGTTCACTTCAACAAAATCTAGAAAATGGCTAATTGACTTAAATAGTTAAAGTCGTAACTGCGATAATAAATCTAAGCACAGTAAGTGTGTATCTGAACCGAATGAATCATGCTCATTCAGTGATAAACGCACACATACAGTACCTTCACCAGCAAGGACAGTATTCACCCACCCAGGATGCAAAGCAAGGAATATAAAGCCATTTACCTGAAGCCTGAGTTTAGTAGGAAATAGGGTAAGGATGGAGGACAGAGCATGGTCACAGGGTCCAGCAGGCTTATTCTTGATGGAAATTCCCAAGTAGCCATGTGACAGCAACTCTCGTCCCAAAATAAAAAGAGAAACTCGGATGTGGGTTTCCTGATGATCCCCTCAATTACCCCGTGTGTATTTGAACTGACTACTAGCTTCACCGCTCTTCTAAGAGTGAGAAAAGAGGGGCGGTAACGATGTTAAGGACAAGGAAGCTAGTTCTCCACTACCCTGTGCAATCAAAAGCAAAGAGAGAGATTAGTGTATAACTCTGAAATAATTGGAAGTATAGATGCGAAACATACTCTACTCGAGAATCCTATTCTCCGATTAACTTGATGGGCAGGCTACTAATTCCTCTGATCTCTTTCAAAATGGCCCCTCAGGCCCTTTTCAAAGGACTGGGAAACAATGTTAACGAGCTCTGGGCGTTTATCCCAGGGAGGGCCTGAATCAAGAATGCTGATGGCTCAGTTATTCAAAGTCGACACAGTCCACGCGCAGCTTTTGTTCACTTGGATTCGGAGTCTGTGTGGGATGACATGCATCTCCTCTACTTTGTTGGTTATGCTCTGTGGAATTATCTCACAGCTCACTTCCTCTTCAAATAGCCCGGATTTAAGACTCGAGAACTAGAAACCCACGTCGAGGATGGTGAGACGTGGTATGTTGGAAGTGGCTTTTCCCGACGATATTCTAACCTATACTAAAATCCAGCGATTTTATTATGATAATAAATTCATGCTGAGGAGACTGGACTATGCGCTAGAGGTCCTGGGCCGCCTAGGTGCGTCACAATATATGTTTGACCACCAAGATATTTGTGGTTTGGTATTTCTCACTCTTCGCCGAGTGGTTCCCAATTCCCCTAGTCGTGTTTTTGGACCAAGGCTTATGTTGGTGGACTTTTGTGATATAGTTATCAGGCACCGTCTCTGATACATAAATAAAACACAAGTCACATCTGATCAATGGTTAATAAGCTTCCAATTGAATATTGGCAAGTGGTACAAACTCACTTTTAGAATATTAAACTCCGATAGCCTGTATTTGCGTAAATCCCTTCAATACTAGATTTTCAGTACCCTAAGGTTAGTGGAACTACTAAAAGACTTGGAACGTTCATTTGAGGGCCTACCAAGCGGGCCTTCAACGTCATATCAAAAATTTCTTCCCAGTCTGCATAAACTTAAAAGATATACAAGTGAAACTATCTTGAACAATAGGCGAGCAGCAAGGAATTTGCGTATTGTCTCTAGGAAATAGTTGGGATCCACTGATGGGGTTTATAGACTGATGTCCAAAGCTCTGCTAGATCAAAAACTCATGTTTTGTTATTCATTAGCTGTTCCCATGTTAGGTCAATTGCACCACCACAACATAATCTAAGTTGCAGTAAATCCTAATTTTGAGCGCTCTTCTTAAGTTTCCAAGAACAAGTTATAGTTATCTATTATGTTTAGATCCTGCGTATTAGGAGGTTATTATTGTGGCTGGCTTAGAAAATATTTCTGACGGTCTTTTTTTTGTCCCCTTATTATGTCCTTTTATATCTATTTTTTATATAGTTTCCCCGATCCCCTAGCGCCTAGCCACTCGCGGTACTTTTTTAGTCATTTTTCTTATTTGCATCTTTTGATTTCAACACTTGTTTTGCTTTTTCCTTATGTCGTATTGCTGTTCATTGTTCCCGTTCTTAGTTACTTCTCGAGCTTTGTCTTCACAAAAATTACTATATGCCGTCGGCGGTCTTTGAACGCTCGCTGATTCTGCTTATCCGCCCGTTCTTGGTCTAATTTTTAAGACCTAAACTGCATAGAGAATATTCCTTAATCTTGTGAACGTTTCTATTGAAATCTATTCGCTTCGAAATGCTTTCAATAGCTGTTCGCTTCGACATGCAGTAATCAAATTTCATTTGTAAGTGCGGGATATCCGGAGCGCTTTTTGCGCGACGTTAGGGCACGATAGAAGGGATTCATAAGCAGCTGACAAGGTCGTCTTGAAAATCTATTACCTAAATCAATATTAAAATTGTCTCCGAATCAGACCGGACCCGAAGTAAGTGTTTATTTCATCTAAAAACAATAGGCTGACTACCGAGGTATGATTTATCAGCAAGATCTATGAAAGCGCCAGGGTCCAAGGTGCCTCTGTGAACACTTACGTCAGGGATAGGCCAGTAGAACATGTGTGTATTAGATATTGCACTGGTTTGGAGGTACGCTGCACCAAAGTCAGTACGCGGGTTCTAAGGTCATGACCAAAAAGCCAAACTGAAATCCGATCAGTAAAGTGAAAATTACCCAAATAGGACAATGATCTGCCCCACTTTCTAGTCTTGGTGTTCTATCGCCACAAATATACGTTAGTTAACTACATTAATTCAATTACCAACTCCTACACTAATCCTTATATTGACGTCATTGGCTAAGGTGGGATTATTCATCAGTAAGACGAGTAACTAGCGGATTCGGGTTTCGATAATCCATGCTTTGTGTGTTCGACATTTCAAGATGCGGTTGCGGGAAACATTTAAGACGGTGGACAATCCTCGCGTTCGATCTGCCCCGTACCATGCTACAAGCCACTTTCACGCGAACGTCTGCCTCCTAGCAAGCCATTACGTCTCGTTTGATCATGATTGTTCTTACAGGTATGACAATGTATGGAATGCTTCCTTTCGAACGTTGAGTGACCAGGGTCTCCAGGTTCTACTGGCGGTTTAGGCCGCGCCGCGCTCCAGACCCTCCTCTCAGAGAAGCTGGTCCAGACCTCAGAGCTGCGAATTTCGTCCTACAATACGGCCGCCATCCCGGCCGCCGTCCGTGAAACCGGGATTGAGATCCGCAAGGGCAACCTGTATGAGCCTGCGACACTGGTAGAGTCATACTCCGGTGCCGAGGTATTGTTCTTGGTGTCGTTCCCTTCTATGGGTGAGGAACGCTATGAGTTGCACCGCAACGCAATCGATGCCGCAAAGGCTACAGGCATTCGCCACATCATCTACACCTCGCTTTCATTCTGTGGTGGAGCGGAAGGCAACACCAGCGTCGCGCAGGTCGCGCAGGCTCACCTCCTGACCGAACGTTATCTGAAGGACAGCGGGCTTACCTACACGATCCTCCGTATGGCATCATACTCACACCTATGGAATAACTATGCCGGTTTTCTGAAGCTGGATGCCGCACCCAACGACTTCCAGGAGGCTGTACTCCCCAACGACGGCCCCGAGCACTGGGCAGATAGGGAGGAACTGGGCGAGGCCACCGCAAGGGTCATCGCGAACTGGGTATGTGCGGGTTTGCAGACACGGAAGAACCGGCAGTGGACTGACACTATTTTAGCAAAACTACATCAACAAGACCCTCAATTTTACTGGACCCGAGCTCTTGACTGGCGTCGATATAGTCAAGAAATATATGAAGCATACTGGCAGGAAGGTCAGCATTCGCGTCTTGCCTGTTGAAGAAGCCATCGCATGGCACGTCAAGAATGGCAGTGTGCCACCTGAGCAAGTCAGCTTCCTTGAGAACTGGGCGAGCTGGCACACTGCTATCTCGCTTGGCGAAAAGGCCTTCCTCGACCCTACCTTCGAGCAGCTGCTAGGCCGAAAGCCTAAGACGATCGATGACCAGGCTGATGACCTTTTCTCGGCATCAAACATTCTCGACACTAAGGACCTGGTGGGAATTTAACTAGTAGATATGAAGCTACCGCAGGTGAGAGCTAGCACTCACCCTCGGTGGAACCTTATGACCCACGTTCAGCGACATGGCTATTAGCAAAATACGAATCACAGTGAACAGGCGACCCGCCCGTATGCAATTTGAACGCGTAACATAACTAATTTTTCAAATACTTAAGTAACGTAACTGATAAGATCTATAAATAAGTGTAGCCTAGGCCCGAGGAGCATATCATCGAAACTTCGCAGCCGCGCATCTTTCGCAGCAGGAATCCGCAACCGGGATCCTGGAAACAGATTTGCTGTTCCCTGAAATTAGACTGGGTTCTTAGAAGTTGTATGTATATACGTTCTGACTGCGAGTAGTTTAATACTAGATTGATGGCATGCAACAGACAACAGTTGCAATGAAAGCTATAACTGATTCTATCAGGTCTGACCTTTGTACCGATAATATCAGGAGCTAGCTTTGTCCCCCCGGATCCGTCTATCAACGCCAACCATGCGAGGACGCTCCGTCATGAGGGAACAGGCGCGTGGCTCTTGGAAACCCCTATCTTCTAGTTATGGCAGGCAGGGCAGTGTCAAAATTTATTCGAATGGTGGGGGTTTTGACGGGGTCCCCACAGGGCTCTAGTAAAAGATCCTTTCAGAGAGAAAGTAATCTTGCCGGGAAGTTGCCTATCTTTTCCCTTCACAGTCTGCCTCCACGCTTTTGACTTACATGATTTCTTTAAACCCATTAAACAACCTTTCCGCACAATTAATAACTATTGTCATCACTGGTCGTCTATTTTTACTTGATTTCCCTCTGACGGGATAGCTGTACAAGCAAAGAAATTTCTTAATAAGTTTATAGTCCGGAATCGTGTAGTTAGGTCCCTTTGTGTAGCCCTTAATTCTATATTGTTCAACGAAGCTAAGAGCAAGTTAGTATTATACTTAGCGGTCACGGTTAATTGCGGGGCAACCAACCTCATCCAAAAGATTAACAGCTTAATAGTACATCTTCTTAGTCTTGACTATCCTTTTATCTTTCTGTCGGATGGAATCTTCATCCACATGAGCGCCGAAAACATACCCGTTCTTTTCCAATTACTTTCGGCTTCTCTTTAGCGACCTCATCTTTGTGAGTAAAGAAGAGTTTCTACCCATAACTAGACTATTCTAATAAAAAGCGAAGAAAGAAAATAGTAGTTAAGACTATACAGCAAATAGTAGGGGAAGATACATGAAAGGTTAGAAAGAGGGGGATATAGCTTTAATTTGTACCTTAATGTTCGGGCATAGATCACCCTTACTCAAAAACCAAGGAAGCTTTCTCTTTACGCTGCTGTATAGCAAGCAAATAGAATCCGTGGCCCTCAAAAAAAGGGCTATCTTGATAAATAAGGGCCATCAAAAAGTAATTCACGACATAAACAGTATTATGGGGCAAAGTGCTCCTTTGGGTAGGCTAGACACAGATTGGGTGTTCAATAGTTAAGATACCTCTGGTGAGTCTCTGACTAAGCGCTGCGTGACGCGATCACACTCACTGATCAGTCACGTGATCACTCTGAGCGGGTCACTGAGCCTGAGCCTGGACTGAAATTTACTCAGTGAGTCTGCCTCTGAACGCCCTCATAAAAGCGGCGGCAGCTCAGAAAGGAAAGCCCCACCCGGCAGAGGAAATATGGTACGTAGAGTATCCGAAGTAATTACTGACCAGCTCACTATCGTTACAGTACGTCGCGAAACCGGTGCAACAACTCCACTCTCCGATTAACTTTTCTGCCCCTTGTGCCAAGACACACTAGTCTGTATTTGGAGTCCTTCCGGGAGCTACGTATTTATTCCTTCGTACGTAGGTTACATGGTACTTTCAGGCTTGTATTAACTTGTAAATTCAATACATCTGATAAAGTACAGTATATTCTTCCTTGACGTTTAATAGATGTTAGAGATGGACAGAGTTATAAGATCAGTGATCAAAGCCCTGTTGCAGTACGTTAAACAAAGTTTGCCGTTCTTGATGATTTAGCAGGGTGTAGAGCGATCTCCCATTACTGACTGCAAGACACTTTGGTCAATGTTAAAGCTCAAAACTCGACCATTTCCAAATCCAATAGCCAATTGATCACCATACGCATCTTCACATACTGGGATAAAATCTGACGATATCCGAACGAGAGGCAAGTCCCTATAGCATATCCACTGATCTCTGACGTAGAGATCTTGTAATGACTCAACAGTAGCCGTCTGCCTATCTGCAGGGATCACGAGTTTGATTGTACCAGCGTTTGTTGTAAGATATCGGCTGTCCCCTGAGAATTTGATGGTGTGTATCGTCTCTGATGTCTTGATTTCCTGCCATGAACGGAACTTCATGCGACTGCCAAAAGTATGCCCAAGATATTTTGAGGCTTTCAGGGATTTAGCGATGTCCCAAAGCTTGATGGTGTGGTCGTTCGAGCCAGAGGCGATCTGCTTACCGTCTGGAGAGAACGCCACGGCGTTGACTGAGTGGGAGTGGCCAGCCAATGTCTGCACCAAAGATGCCCAAGTGTCTTCCATGGGCGGGGTATTTCTTAGCCATTCGGGGATTTTGTCCAAATTTTCCCTCTTCACGACGCTTGAATCAGGACTGAAAATGATGGCAGAGCTATAGATCTGTAATGGCCAATTCGTGATAATGTGGTAGTGTCGCAACAAAAATCGTGTAGCATCCTGCACAAGTGCTAGTGCCAGATGATTATCCTGTAACAAGCTATTCAGCCAAAAGTCTTGATAGCGAACCAATATTTAATACCGACATTTTCTAATTTTGCTAGTGCCTTTAATGCTTCGATAGCTCGTGGTAGCTTGTCCAGAAGGCTTAGGCATTCTAGCCATTCCAACAACTTTGTGCAGAGAAATGTACTAACTGCGCCTCTCTCCATGGTGCGCGCAGTATTCTCGAGGTGTTGCACCCAGAAAGTAGCTGCATAGTCCACACTAGTTAACAAAAGATTTCTTGTGTCGTCTTTCGGCATTATTAAAGATTCCCTGGTTGAATCAGGCCGCTGCAGTTCAAGGAGGTTGGGTTTTAATAATTCGGATAAATGCAACAGACAGCTCAGTACAATTTCACTATGTCCAAAGTGATCATACGAGTCGAGTATAGATTGTCCATTTTCCCCGGCCAAGTAGTCTCGAGCAGACTGATGAACAAATTGGATATTATTTTCTTGTATCTTGATGAATGAAGCACATCGATCGACTAACGCTCGATTACTATCCCCTTTATTAGTAAGACCACTTGCACTATTAACTTCCTCCACTTTCAGAGGTCGGTATACTAGTATTATCACCTTAAGCAGTCGTATATATCTTTGTACATCACCTCGCTCCCCTTGGGTGAGCTGACTGAATATCCGATCATAAAAAGGATAAAGACCCGGCGGCAAGGTTTGGATTGTGGTCAGGGCCTCCTCTCGATAGATACTCTCGAGTCTCTTGCAAGCTAAGCTTACCCACAAAAATGTCCCCTCAGCCTTTGCAGTTAGCTCAGCTTCTAACTCTCGCTTTAGCGTCGCTCTATATTGTTGACGACGATTAAGCTCTTCCACTTTAGAAGCGATGTAATTCTTTACGGCTTTAGAAACGTATTTCGAGTTGAGCTCTAGGCTGACTTGCAACTGGTTATGGCCAGTTAACAATTCCCGGTCTACGCTGTCTAATAGTCGACTTGTCAACATCCACTTGATTTTGGCCGGGCGATCTAGTCCATTTCGGACAATGAGTTTCAAGAAGTCGGCCATGTCATCACTTCGGCATTCGTCGAGAGCATCCACAATGATATATATTCTCTGGCACTTGCACCGCTCCAACATCTCTAAAAGGATGTTCCATAGAGTTCGCCACGAAGTAACATCCTCCTCAAAACGGCCGTTTATTGTGTCCCAACGGCGTCGTAGAGGTTGTCCTAGTGCGGTTTGCTGATTCACTAATTGGAAAATGAGACCCTTCATGATCGCTTCAAGGGTGTTGAGCTCATAGTTGGCGTTTTGACAGAAAAAGTAAGTCACCATAGTGGACTCATGTTGTAGTCGCAAGAGCTTCTCGATAATACCAATCGAAATCATAGTCTTCCCCTTGCCAGCGCCGCCCTTCACCCAAAGTAGACAGACTTCGTCTCCATTTTGCCAACTCCTATATTGCGGGTCTTGATGAATCCATTGGATCGACTGGGGAAGCAACTTGTCTTTATTTTCTTTCAACCGATTTTTGACAACTAGTGAGTCAGGGCATCGTAGAGCGCGGATACAAAGTCGGTCCGCTTCTTCGGCGGTGGACGACACTAGGGGCGGTTACACGGATTAGCCAGCCCGTCATATATATTTACATCATAATAAATGTCTCTCAACTTACAGAACTGTGCGGTGATATGACCGTGATTTTGTCCCACTTGCAAACCAGAGTTATTGTCGCCAAATGATGTTTCTGGTGTCATGATGGCCATAGCATGGTACTTCGAGAGCCTAGTCAGCATCTAATTGAGTTGTAAATCTACCCCGCTATCAGCTGACGCAGGGGAGACATTCTTTTGGGGTATTCGTACAGTACGTCCCGTAACTGGTGTCACCGCCTCCACTCTTCGATTGCTTCTTGAACCACCATGCCAAGATCCACTAGACTATATCAAGAATAGCTCCGGAATAGCAATGTTCCCGTATTGTCACACATACAATAAGTTACCATGCTTTATTACATGAACCACGTCTAGTGTTTGTTACCTACGAGATCCATGGTACAGCCGCCTGTACAATTTCTCCCTAGTAGCTAAATCGACCAGTACTCCTTGGACTGTATTTTAATCCTGTGCATCAGTTGGAACAATATCCATGGAATTCTTTGGCAATTTATGCATTGCTAGCGGAGGGAATCAGGTCATTCTGCTTCATTGCATTTCTTTTGGGCCCTTGGATTCGAGCATCCTGAGAAGGCGAGAGTGCGATAACGCCTGAGTGCCAGCCGCAGCTGCAAGCGTAAGCTGACAGAGGAGCATTTTGTCAGACTTTAGGAACTGAATTAATTCTATGTCATAGTCTGATAACTCTCGTTTGGTCAAAATGTCTATAGCGCTCCAGTTTATTAGGTCAGATGATGGTATTCCTATTAGCAAATCCTACCAAAGTGACTACATGATCATCTATCTAGAAACAAGAAAGTATATTATATTGTCCTCAAAGGCTGTGTAAATGTTATGTTACAGCACAGAAGAAAATAGAAGGCTGTGATCTACTGTCTACATAGGAGAATTCCTCCCAGGTTGACCAACTACTAAAATGAAAAGGTAGAAAGATACCGCTTAGAAGGCACACCGAGAAGGAGAAAAGTGCATCCCTGGATAATACTAATATCGTGGGTTCGTATCATCCTACAAACCCTCGCAGCATTCTTTTCTGACCTGCAACTTAGAACTCCAGTTTCTGATCGGCGCCGTTCAAGCTTGAGAGCCACGAAACACGGTGCTTTACAAATAATTCCTGCTCAGGTCTCGACTCTTCAAGGCCTTCTGGGTCATCTTGTGTTCCCGCAAGAAGAATGATACTCCCAGGAAAAGACTCGTGCGTTTTGTAGATAGTACATCCGCATTCACCACAGAATGTGATTTCGAGTTTCATGCCACTCTCATGGATTTGTGAGTACTGCTTAGCAGAGCCAGCAATAACACGGACCTTATCCTCTGGATAGAGTAAATTGACTGAGTTAGTTCCGCCACTGATTTTGCGGCATGATAGGCAGAAGCAAGTTGCCTGTAGTATACTTATATTAGTGTGAACACTGTGACTAGGAGTGCTAGTTCTTGCCTTGACTAGAGGGTCCCCCTGATACTCATATCTGAGACTGTGACATAGACAGGATCCTGTGGGCATTTTGCGTATTTGCTTGTGAATAGGGAAACCTTCGTAGGGATAGGTGCATTTAACTTGAGATAGGTGACGTGAGAGGTTTGAAATAAAAAGCATTAAATGCAGCGACAAAGTTGGGGATCACCTATTATAACTATCTATCCACTTTCCGCTTCCCGCAATTTGATTGTGGTGATGCAGAAGTGGCATTTATTCATGACGTCATTAGGAATTACGATAGCGAATACGCTTCCTTGCGATTTTCTATTCTCGTCCGCCAATATACCTTATCTTCTTAGCGTAGACCTATTCGTTGACTTGTCTAGGCCTTTCTGGTGGCGAGAAGCACTTGATGTCACTTCCAATGTTCATTGGCCGCTAACAATGACAATCCAGCCTGAGTGGCCTATTGTAGTTTAAGAGCAGTTGGGTACGTTCCGGGTCCTCTAATCATAGACTTCCAGCAGTGGTGAAGTCCTCCGGTATGCTCTTGTATGCTTTGGCAGTCTTCTTTGATCGGTTTTTGTATGTAAGAGCATGGCTGATGCTAGATTTCACAGTCTAGACATTGAACTTGTCCTACAGGAACACCGCTATCTCATCAAAATACAGTCGGGCTTTTTGAGGAGATGATCGCAAAGGGCTTCTGGTATAACTGATGTGATACTTCATGGACGCCTACTTTTGTTGGGCAGAGTCTTGACACTACTAGTACCAAATAACTGTATATTCCAGGAGATCCTTAGGATAGTATACTTGCTACAGCTGGCAGCCTCTACCATCTATGATGCAGATAATTCTCCACCGACTATCATGTCACGAATAAGCTCATGCTTCAAAGTGGCTAGGCTGGGCGTGATCCTGGGTTGACCACTTCTGATTGATTGTCGATGAACTTCGAACCAAGGGACAATAATCTCCAAGGCGGGTCATGAAGATGTCAAGCGTATTAATGATACATGTAATATACGACAAGCCGCTATTTTGATTACCGCCTGTATGACGCGTTACAAAACCCACTGAGCTGGTACTCCGGAAAAACTCCCAATGTATACTAGTGTATCTTGGCAATTGGGGTTGGACAAACAATCGAAGAGTATAGGTGGTGACACCAGTTACGGGACGTACTGTAGCGGTGTGAGTGGGCAGTAAGCCACGAGTAGGGTACGGAGTAGAAAGGTTAGGTACCTAATAGAGTACAAGCCAATACACCTCACCACAGCAATAGGTAAGTTAAGACTCCCATCCCGTCACTTGGACATAGGAGTACCAGAGGGAAGTTGTCAGGTTGCTAGGTTCTCGAGGCAATCCCCAGATCCAGTGTTTGACATGTTTGCATTTCCATGGAAAATTCTAGTTCGCCAATACTGTTACGAAACAAGGCGCTGTATTTAATGAAAGTAAATGATAGTATCGAGACTGTTACAGGAATATTGATATTCCGGAGCTATTCCTTTTATGCTCTAGTGTCTCTTGGCGGTAAGCCTACAGAGTCACTCGAAGAGTGGAGGCGGTTGCACCGGTTTCGCAACGTACTGTATGCCAAAGTAGCGACGTACACAAAGCCTTGCCAAAACTGATACTATCTCAATCGTCAAATCCCTCCTTTTAAGTAGTTATTGTAGTGATTCACAATCATGAAACATCATTTCAAGAATCGACAGCCTTTTTCCTCGCCTCCCACTCATGATCCAGAATTCCCATCAAGATGGTATCCCACCACCTCCCAGCCTTCCACAAAGACTCCCTTTTCCGCCCCTCAGCTACAAACCCAAGTTTTTGGTACACCCTTTGCGCCTTCTCGTTCCACTCAAAAACCGTCAACTCAACGCGGTGCAGCCCCGCGGTCAAAAAAGCCCAATCCAGCATCCACGAGATAGCCTCCGACCCATACCCCTTATCCTGGTACTGACGCGCAATAGTAATTCCGAACTCATACGTGCGATTATGTACAACCAAAGCGTCTTTCTTTTTTAACGAGATCACTCCAATTGTCTCGGGCTCCTTGTCGGAACCCTCGTCTGGGATGATACATATCACGACTGACATGAACATCATAGCGTCGACTTGCGTTCGCAAATCCTTCTGCTCTTTAGTGTTAAGCGGGCGGTGTAGGACGCCCGAGGCCATAGACGCGATTAACGGGTCGGAGTAGAGAGCTTGGAAGAATGCTTCGTCTGTTGGATTGTCCTCTGGTGCGCGGTAGAGTAGACGCGCGGAGCGGTAGGGATCCACGAAGGGATCCATTGCGACCGTCTAGAGGGGCTAGTTGGCGGGTATGGTTCAAGAAGTAAAGCTTCAGTGTCTTGGAGGGCAGTCAGCAGGACGAGATAGGACAATTTATAGCGGGTGTTTTCCTCGTCAGGAAGCCCTGGCCGCCTGATTGTAGGTGCGATTTTATTGGTGAGTCATCATCGAAATACGAACAAGATCGATCGCAAATCCTACGCTGGCAAGTTAACTAACTTGTTTAGTTACTAGTACCTTAGGGTTAGTGAGTGCTCACTGTTCAGTCAAATGGTCATTCTAAGTAGGTTACTAAGTCTAAGCATGCACTAAAATTGACTCAGTCCGACTCTAAGCGCCCTCATAAAAGCGGCTGCAGCTTAGAAAGGAAAGACCTACCAGCAGAGGAAATATGGTGCATAGAGTATCATACATAATCATATTCAAACCGTAGGTTACTGTACGCGCCCGGGGAAAATAAGCCGCAGGTCACTCTTATATGTGGATGGATGTAGATAGGGTGTGTAGTATTACAGCGCAGTTTTTGGGGGCGATAAACTACCGATCGCTTTGTCAAAAGATGAGGGTATAGGGGAAGCGAAGTACCTAAGCCTTGAGTCAGAGTCATACTAGGCGGGTATAATACGGAGGACAATGTGACTGTACTTGAGTTCATACTCCCCGTAGCTAATAGAACAGGCGGAGGGTAGAAAGATCTGCGTCTCTAAGCGCCGACGCCATCTACCCATCAGCAACGCCCCTGAAACTCTACTGGAGATCCTGACTCACTTTACACAGACTTTACTAGTGACTACAACATACGCGGAGGTAGGTAGAAGTAAAACGAAAGTGAAATGTATTTGCCGCTGCAGATAGCAGTTGGTATCAAGTCAAGTCAAGTCCCGCCAAGCTCAAGCTCAAGCTCACCACACGATCCAAAGATCAAAAGATCAAGAAAATGCAATCATCAATTCGTGTTGAGTGCACCAACAAATCCATCCAGCTCCAGCGAGTGTAAAAAATGGAAGCAAGAGCTTCAAGCCAGTGAGTGTGTTGTGCAGAGATAGTAAATATGGACAAGAACCAGTCAATCCATACCCAGACCAAAGCAAGCCAAGCCGAGCAAAGCAAAGCTCCGACACTCTAAAAACTCCCGCTGGAAAATGGAAATGTAGATACACGCCAACTGTTGTTCAAAAAGAAATCTTTTTTTGAAAATGGGGTTTGTTCGAATGGACCCTCTAAAGAAAAATTGCAGAATATCAAAGGCTCAGCCGTTGACATTCAGAAAGAAGAAGAAAGATAAAAAAAAAGCAGACACGAAAAGGGGATCCGATCGTCAGTCAAAGAGGGAGACTGGCGATCGGAGACGAAGTAAAAGAGAGAAAAGATAAGCACAGAAAAGACGTGGCATAACCCACGGAACTCGAAAAAGAAATTTTGGTTCGGGGGTTAGGTCAGTCAAGATTGGCGAGAGAGATTCAAATCAAATCAATGATTCGTGTAAAGACATCAAGCCTTCACACAGTATTGGTATCCCTTCCAGAGATTCGAGCAGGTATCATCCAGACCGGTGTTCCAGCTTTGCAACTGCGCAGCAGTAATGCCGTATTGCGTCTCGACCTTGCTGCAGTAGTCGCCGTCGACGATGGTGTAGTACTCCTGGCAGGGTGAAATGACGTAGGGGTACAGCGGGGCGTCAGAGGTGGATGTTGAAGCAGGGGAAGTCGTGGACGGGGCGGGCTGGGCCTCGTCAATCTGGACGGCTGTCACGGGCAAAGAGGTAGGGGTGAGAGTGGCAGTGGTGGTGCTGGTCGCAGTGTTGCTTGGGGCAGCAGGCTCGGGCAGGATGGTGGTCACGCCGCTAGGGTTGGCGGAGGTGGTAGTGGTACCACCGCTGGAGCTGCTTGACGAGCTGCCGCTCCAGGTGGATCCGGTGAGCGTGCTGATGGTGTTATCATTGCAGCTGCTAGTACCCGAGGACCAGCCGAGGAGACGGTTGGCGATATCCGAAGCGTAGCAGTGAGTCGCGATGCCATCGCCCAGGTTGCCATTGGAAGCCACCGAGCCAGAGTTGTAGCATCGGGCAGCCTTGTAGTAGGCAGTGACGTCTCCAGTGCCGCCGTTGGCCTGGATGAGCTGCTGCAGACCGTCACCGTCGGAGGTACCCATGGTACCATCACGGATCATCTGCTCGATCTCGGACTCGGGGCAGGGGTTCTGGACGTTCTCGGGGGTGCTGATACCAGTGTTGCAGCTGCCCTTGCCGTTGTGAGACTGCATGAGACCCGGGTTGACGACGCCATTGTTGGTAGTGTGGACACGGACACAGCCGTTGCTCTCCTGCATGATGATGGCCAAGATGAAGCGGGCATCGACACCAGACTCGCCGGCGATCTTGGTGATGGCGGTCTTCATGGTGGCCATCTCATCCTCGGTGGTATCGGCGACACCCCACTGTGCGCAGGAAGATCCCATGATCTCCTTGTTGCTTTCGAACATGTCGTCAAAGCTGGACACCCAGCTCGAGACGGCGGGCCATCCATCGGAGACTAGGCCGGTGCCGCCAAAGACGGCGGAGTAGAGGTTGGTGCTACGTCCACTGAGGGAGTGACTGGACGTGGATTGCTCGACTTCAACTACATCTGCAGAGGCGCGCGAGGACGAGTAGGCGACTGGAGCCCCATAAATGAGGGGGAGGCTGCCAGCAGCCAAAATGAGTGGAAGGGTGAAGTACATCGTGACTGAAAAAGGAGTGCCCAGCACGATAACAAAAAACGATGAAAAAGAGAGAGGAACGGAGAGAAAGACTTGCTTGCTGCTGAAGAGAAAAGAAAGAGAAGAAAAAGAAGGACAAAAGAGCAGCTAGCAAATAATTAGTATATGTACAGTCCGGAGTACTGTGCCCTGGCCCTGGCCTCTGATCGCATCTGAGTCGTCAGTCGAGAGCGCCCCGTCTTTGTGCAGACAAACTCCAGTCGATGTGGAGACCCAGCTCGCTCATCGGATTAATTCCCCTTGTGTCCCAGCCCAGGAAGTGGCCAAACGGACAAGCGAACGCCATGCTGCAGCGATAGAAGGGGAGTCCGCGCAGCAAGCGTGTCCCAAAGAGTCAAGATCCTCAGGAACTGGGTAGACCAGGCCCCCGGAGCGATCCAATGACGAGTGGGCGGGTTCCTTGCGTTGCAGAGGCTGAAACATGACCATCTCCACTTGCAAGGGAACAGGGTTTGTCGAGGTTAGCCATGAGGGGCAACGATGAGCGGGGGCGAAGTCGGTCTGTAGTTTCACCTGTAAAGAAGGGACCACCCTCATCAAAGAAACCCTGAAGGGACAAGGGGCCCGAGGGGAGTGGAATAGCCTTGCAGATGGAGGACGAGGTCCACCCCGAAGAGCAGTCGATGGCACCGGAGAAGAGTCTCATTGGGCGTCTCCCGTCAACCCTCAGCTGGTGCTCATCAGCGTCACCGCCCAATCGGATACTCTACAGGCGGGGGTGTCGGTGATGGCCCTAGAGGGGGGTTTTTTTTCTGTGTGTGATACTACAGTACGACTCTACAATCATAAAGTATAAAATAGATACGATCATTCTTCCTTTTGTCGATTTCTCATTTCCACTGATCCGCTTCTCGTATAATAAATTAACCATAACCGTGGTTTGGATATGTACAAACCACAGCTTCGGACGTGGACGACAAACCGCAGCCCCGACGAGGTGGCGGTTTGATGTGGGTCAGTCCCTTTTTTCCCCATGGCTTTCTTGATTCTCATTGGGTAGGGATTAATTGCTCGGCGACTGTATGAGTATATCATGGCAGTCCGCCATTCGATACATTGCACTCTCATTTCCTGCCTAATTAATTTACTGAGCAGGTAATATAATCTACTTTCGGTGCATCGTTAGTAGTGTACTCCGTCCGTGGTGTTGTATTCTTGGTAGATCTTACCGAGTATACGGAGTACAGAGCCTGCAGTAATTGCAGCCGCGGACGCCCAGCTGAGACCTCTGCCACCACTCGGCACCACTCCCATCCCTCTCGCAGGCTGGGCTCGTGAAATGTGAGACCTCAACTCACACCCAGCCAACACCAGCCATATCATTCTTAAACCATCATCATCCAGCATAGAGTACAGTCATAAGATGATCTATACAAAGCCCCCAAGTCCATTCTACCCAGCCGCCCTTCGTTACGTCGCAGCCGCATCGACCTGCAGCTAAACCACGGAACATACTCCATCTCGGCGCCCGCCTCTAGGACCCTAAATCCCAGGTGGAAGGTATCACGGAGATCCAGCGCGTATGCAACCCGGTCACAACGACGGAATATTCCAATCTCCCAATTAATCTACTATGATTGCAGTGGCACATCCCCGAGGCTAGATTTTTCTTTCTTTTCTTCTTTTCTCGCTTCTTTAAACCAATCATACTTCCCCTCACTAACTACTCCGTATAAATAATTAATAACCGCCCACACGAATGAAAAAAAGCGCTCTTTGTGTGTCGTGTCTGGCGAGTCAGATCATTCTCGGCGGGAGTTTCTCGTTTTCGGTCCAACGGGGGCGGGGCATCCTGAAACGCTGAACGGAAAGCCAATTTGTTAAGCCCTCCACTGAACGCCCGAGCGTTGTACACTGGCAGACTGGGCGGTTCAAGAGTCTGAAACTGGAGATCAAGAGAGAAGACCATTGAAGTAATTTTCAACTTCATGTTTTTTAAAGGTCTTTATAAATGTCTTTTGAAACGTCTTTCTAGATAGCCCGGGCATTATCCCTAGACTTAGCTTTCAAAGCATAGGGCTGATGAGGTGATCTTGAACTCTCTGGGGAGGTTCAAACTTATGGATTTCCACTGTACTGCTACTATATACTCGGTACTGTACATTGCTAGTGCCATCTCAACTACAGAATGAAAAAGAGTCGACGGTTAAAAGACCACGATTTGTGCGTGCTTTTGCAAGCAGGATCCTGGTCTTCTAAATTCTCAGCCAATTCCAGTTTACGCTTAAAAAGCTAAGCTAATTGTACCCCGGGCAGGACAAGGCGATAATATTCAACAAACTGTACTGAATGTTTGATTAGCTAGGATTAGGATATCGCTGCTTAGGATATAATGGTTAACATGGCCGAGGCCTTCTTGCAGGCTTCATCGGCAGATCTCTTGGATATTGCTCACTACGATTACCCACCAGATCTAAAGATGGCGATTGATCTTCAACTAGAACAGGGTCAATTTCTGGACCAGCGCGAGGTCTCGAATTGTTGTAGCGAACGAAAAGCTTTATCTTTTCATCGCTGTCCACGAAATTGTAGATCGGCGAAGATTGAACAAGCAAGGTACCGGAATTATCGAATCTAGCCCGTAAGAGACGCCCGTGCCTTGGCCCAAAGAGCGAGATGACCAGTACCGGGAAGAATGAGGTATCCTCGAATTCTGGCTGTTCGAGACGGCAGTAGACGGCATTTGCAACGGGCGCTAACTGGCCGTGGAGGAGTTCATTTCTTTCATTCTTTGCACCCGTGAGGGTCACAAGTTTGATGTGAGGGCGAGTGGTCTTCGGGTCATCGAAATTTTCAACCCATTGGCAAGTAGAAGGGGTATTCCTCATCGGAAGATCCTGAGGCTTCGAATGTCCAACTCGAACACCGCATAAGATTCCTGATGGGCCATCGCAAAAAGAGTCCTCGGCGGTGATAGTTCATATTAGCAACTTGTTGCATGAGCTTACAACGAGACCCACTTGATATTATCCCAATGTGTACGAGAATTCAGTGGAATTCCATGGAAGTCGATAGTGGGTCTCTGCAAACCCCGCGGAGAGGGCCGGGGGTCATTCGTATGTATAAATTGTCTTGGACTTGGCTGTTGTTCAGAAGATTGGAATACGAGGACACCATGGAAGACGAGGATTTCAGTTGCCCATTCCATTTCTTCGTCACGGGCCGCTTTATCGCTATCCACTACAATGGCGGCGACTTTGAGCTACACCGCGACCGTCACAGTCGCGGAACTTTATTCTATCTGTCTGATGACGGAGAACAGATAATCTGTAATCGCACTTATGTCGGCAGGCTCACTAGTCTCCCGGACTATCCAGACAAAGTGTTCTACATACATCGTGAACAACAGTACCTTTCCTCACAGGGGATATGGACAGACAGCATCGACAATGCACTCATAGTGCAGATTGACCCGGAGCCAAACTGGAGCGGTACCCCTCCAACCATCTCACCGCTCGCGAACCCGGTCATTAGCGCCGACCACCCTATCTCCGGCGATGGAATTGAACTCTACCATCCGGACCAACATTTCCAGATATATCCCGTCGGACAGCAATGGATAGGCAATGCTGAACACTCGCCCGAGGACATGCTCTTCTTCGGTGGCCATCCCTATAGCTACGGATTGACCTTCAAGATCTCCGTGTATGAAGGGAAGACACGGATCGTCTCCGACGACGGCATGTTTCTAACCGTTATGATGCCTACCCAGGAAACTGAGCATCTGCCAGAAGAATGTCGACAGCATACTGCGCCCACTCGGTGCTCGCACTGCGATAGGCGCTACAAGATTGGCTTTGTCTCTAAGCCGTGCGACTACCTCACTCTCGTCCCACGCGGACTGCCTAGTATGTTTGTTTTCTATGATAGTGTGTTCTATTATCAGTTTCAAGCTCTTACGGCTAGCTATGCCATGCTAAACCGGGTGGAGCGCATTGAGGATGCGTCGCTCTTCCAGTTTATTAGTTCTATATCTTGATGTATAGCGGGAAGCTACAGACTAGGGCATTCAAGTAGTTATTAGTATGAAATTTGAATATACCCAAGACTAAAGTTCCTCTCAGATCGATACCTAGTTACTGCTTACCCGATCCATGGAATCACGTGCCAGGGACGTGAACGTCGATTGCTGTTGGGTAGACTAACCTGAGGATACGGAGTAGCAGATGGAAAATGAGGCTGTAGCACCATAATTTTCAACTACGACTAACCTCAAGTTGTCCAGTGAAAGTCATTTTTTCAGATGTCTCCGCACTAAGTAGCTAGTGACTCCGTATTAAGTACAACATAAACACAGTTATCAACCCAGAAATCGGGAATTGCCACAAAAATCGTGCCACATCGATTCCTATATTCAGCACAAATCACCCACAGTGCAAGCCTCATACTAACTCGCTAATCCGACACCAGACTCTCCACATCCACCCCCTCCGCCCGATAAAATCCCAGCGCATCGAGCATCGGCCGATCATCAAACCGATACAGATACACCCCCTCCTCCCCCTCCGCGAAATGCTGATATCTATACCACGAAGGCACACAAAAGGTATCACCTTGCTCCCAAGCAAACTCCTCCTCTCCAATAGCCGACCGACCCCTACCGCTAATAACATGGTAAACAGCCGAGGTGGTCTCGCGACGAGAAGGCGAGGACGCACTGGCCGCGATGCGCTCGGCGCTACCGCCCAGGACACGGCTCACTGTTCATTTAAAATGATATTAGTGGGCGTCCTGACCATGCATGGGTAGGGAGGGATATGGGGGAGATTAAGCAATATAACTCATTTACTCAGGGTATCATTGCAAGCGAAAAGCAAAAGAAAAGGGGGAACATACCCTCTCGCCCATCATCCTTCAGATACCTCAAAGCAGCCCACTCTCCCGGCACAGCGTCAAGTCTTTCTTTCATCTCCACCCAAGGAAACACCAACGGCGAAGTCTTACTATCAACGTCCTCGGCCGGATACCGCGGTTGATCAAAGTGCTCGACAAAATGCACAGGGAAGTGTCTAAAGGTAGGTAGATCCAGCCCGTCCAGCCAGACCATCGGGCCAGATCCGTCCTTGCCGTGGTCGTGGTAGTTCCATGTCGGCGTGAGAATCACGTCGCCGCGTTGCATGGTGATGCGGCGGCCGTGGACGGCTGTGAAGCCGCCGGTACCTTCGATGATGAAACGCATGGCGAAAGCTGTGTGGCGGTGGGCGCGGGCGATTTCGTTGGGCATGACTAGCTGGAGGCCGGCGTAGAGGGTGTCTGTTGTGTAGGGGGCATCTACATTACTCGGATGGTTAGTATAGCAGTAGTTGTACATGCTGCAATGTAACGAGTATACGCACCACGGGCAGGATTGACGAGCATCAAGACTCGACGCTCAGCTTGCGATTCTGGGACGAGCTTCCCAGCACGCTCCAAATTCGGCCGAATGGACTTGTACTTCCACAGATAGGGCACCGTAGTTGGATTCGGTGCGGGAGGATTCAATCGTGCCATCTGTTTCCATAGAGGAAGTGTCTTGCTCGTCTCCAGATCCGCCAGGAGCTGCTCCTCCGAGTCAGCCGTGGTGGTAACCTCTGTAGTCGACATTATTGCGGTATGGAAGGTAGTTCAACAAGGATTGATTCGTTCTGATGGTTGTTCTTGTTTGGTTGTGACAACCAGATATTATATCCAGAGCTCATCCAGGTATCGGATGCTGGGTGCATGCGCCGGGTATACACCGGGAACGCATCCCCGGCTGCGGGCTGGCATGGCGGGGACGTATGATGTTATTATAAGCTATGCGGGCGCGAGAGCTCGACCGAATCACAATCCAAATCTAGCGTGTTCATTATCGTCGAGTGTCGGAAAATGTCGTCAACTAGCCAGCCTGATGAGGTTCTGCCGGGTGGTTCTTTAAAGGTCAGTTCTGCATGGAAATGAGCGGAAGAGCAAGCGATACTAATCTTGACAGACGCCGAGTTATCCCAGTAACTGTCTCGCGTTTTTGAACTCCCCGCCAACAGTTCTGCCAAGCTCGACAGCGGCAGTCCGTTTGAACATTATCATCGTCGGCGCAGGACTAGGTGGTCTGGCAACTGCCATCGCCCTCGGTAGCACCGGACATACCGTCACCATTTACGAGCAAGCTGCCGAGCTTGGAGAGGTATATTCCCCGCCCCCACCTCCATATATGTACATTTCACAAGGCAATCTCTAACTCGACCAGGTCGGCGCTGGCATCCAAATTCCCTCCAACTCAACCCGCCTCCTCAGCAGACTTGGGCTAGACCCGTATCTTGAAAAATACGTGACAGAGCCTGAAACAATCTCCTTCCGTCGCTGGGATTCCGGGAACGTAATCGGATTGACTAAGCTCATCCCTAATTTCCGAAAAACATTTGGTGCACCCTACTATGTTATTCATCGAGCGAACTTCCATACGGCGCTGCACCGGCGCGCGTTGGATCTGGGTGTGAAGGTTAAGCTTGCGGCGAGAGTAGTCAAATATGAGCCTCAAGAAGGGAGGGTTACTCTTGCGGATGGCTCGGTTGTGTTGGGAGATTTGATTATCGCTGCTGATGGTATGCAAGCCTCCACTTTATATATGTATGATGCTGACGTTCTGACCAGGAGTCAAGTCTATTGCTCGCAATCTAGTCGACGACTCAGGCCGTCCACCCTTCGAACAGACAGGCTTTGCAGCATACCGTGCAACAGTTGACGTTGCCAAGATGAAGGCTGACCCAGAGATCTCATGGCTCCTTGACCGGCCAAATCTGAATATCTGGTAGGTACCCCTGGTTCTACAAACGATCCATGAAACACCAAGCTAATTCAATCCAGGATCGGAGACCAACGACACGTCATGACCTACACCATCGGCGCAGGCAAGTCCTTCAACATGGTTCTGTCGCATCCTGATGATACAAACCCGTCAACCTGGGATCAGTCCACTGCTCTGAGCGACATGAAGCGCGAGTTCCATGGGTGGGATTCAAGGTCTGTATGCCAATCTTTCAACGAGTCAAAGACTTCAATTAACAACTACCAGACTCGAGAAGATCATCGGCATGATTGAAAACACCATCAAATGGCCCCTAGTCAGCGGCACACCACTATCACGCTGGACAACCGGCCGTCTCGTCATCCTCGGCGACGCAGCACACGCCATGCTTCCATACATGTCCCAAGGTAAGCCCCATCCCATCCACCTCTCATGATAAAACGTAATCTAACACCACGCACAGGCGCAGCAATGGCCGTTGAAGACGGTATCGCCCTCTCCCGCACCCTCACAAAAATCACCCACCCCACCCAGCTCACACACGCCCTGCACATCTTTGAGAAAGTACGCATCTCACGCGCCAGAAAAATGCAAGAAGCCAGCCTTCTAAATGGCAAATTATGGCATTTCCCAGATGGACCGGTACAAAGGGCTCGAGATGCAGCAATGAAGCCTGAGACGGTGGGGGAGGTGGTGAGTCATAGCCCGAATCAATGGAGTGATCCGGCAACGCAGATGTGGGCGTATGGGTATGATGCAGAAGGGGAAGTTGATCGAGTTTGGGGGGAGGAGGGGATGGTTAGAAGTCAGTTGTGAGGTTTGTGATGGGTGTTATTGATATATGGTGATCATGCATGGCTATTGCTGGGGATCTCCATCATGAGAACTGCCCAGCTGGCCCCTTTGTCTTCTGTCATACTTGTGGGTGTTCTATAAAAGAGCCTCCCTGTCCCCTGCTCTGGATAGTCGTCATTCTCCCCTGTTCATACCATATTGCTCAATATAAAGTCCTCCCTTTTACTTTCCTGTTGCACTTACACACGTCGCACCTCACATGAGCGTCTACCCCGTCTTGGGGTATATAATGAGCCACTATCCTTAGACCTGGAATCTTATATATGGGAGATCCATTCATTAAGACTCCCATTATGACATTGTTGAAGTTCAGAGTGCTTGAGTGGCATTGCGGCCACTTTAACGAGTCAGCGGTGATATCCATGCAGAAGACTTCCAGAAAGAACAAAAAAATATAAGATATCCGCGCGCTGAACGTTCTTACGTCCTTCGCATTCGGCTGCATCAACAAGCAGGATTTCACACGCATTGCACGAACTTCCCCCGATCCGTGAATTCCCTCAATGAGCACGAGCAACGGCATTCAGACAAGATATTGAGAACAGGAAAGGACTGCCGAGGATTCCGAGCATGTCTTTCTCAGGCAATCGGTCGAGGTGGGAATCTAAGCTCTGGGGAGGAACTTCAACCTTATTAGAGGTGGTTGATTGAGCAAAACGTCACGAAATACAGATCACGATTAATCATTCACCTTTGCCCACTTAAAGCACACACACTCTCTCTCATATAAGCCATTGCGTCCTCCAAATCGCCAAAAACCACGACCGACCCGGAGAGGATGGGGTTGCCATACAAGAGCTCCAAAGCAGCACGCCATGGAAGAAGCGTAAGCCGATGAGTCAGTTTAGCTCAGAGCGCTATGTTGACTCACATCTCGCCAGATGATACCTTGAGTTTGATGGAAACGACGTGCATACCTGGTCTGTCTCTAGCTGTCCTCTACACATGAAACGATGCTAACCGACATCAGGTACCACGCCGAACGAGCCATATCACAGCTGGCAGCAATTCTTCATCGCCGCGTAGGCCAGTGATTGTTCGGCGTCCAAATGTGCTTGAAACTCCTGTTCATGATCGAATGCTTGGGGCATCATGTCCCAGGTTTGACGGACAATGATTGTATGTAAGGGAATCTGCGGCGCCCAAGAACGTTATCCATATAACATCGATTTCACCTGGGAACCCCACCCCTCCTGGCCCATCTTCCCCCCGACTCCCCACAAATATAAGGCCAAGAAGCCCGAGAACCCTACGACGGATGGAACCAATAAAGCCAGGCCCAGCGCCAGAAAGCCCACCAAGCCGCTCACCCTGAAGTTCATCAAGACTCATGATGGCGACAAGCGCGATCGTGAGGATGAAGATAGTGATGGCACCGAGAATCATGAAAGTCAGTCCTCCCTGGCATTTGACAGATGAGGAAACGTTCTAATGCCTCTGCACAATGGCAGCATAGCACCGCGGTGCCCCTTTCCAAGCTGATTTCGACAAGCATGAGGAAGGATTTCTGATCCTTGTGAGTCCCCTGGGCCCACCTGTCATTCTTTGGGCAAACTTATTGCCCGTTTACCTGGTTTGTAAGGCGTTTTACGTGCTTTGCGGTAGTTGGAACACTGCCTCTTACTTGGTTGGAAACAAGTATCGCAAGAGCGCTAGAGATTTTTATATTGGTTACGACCGGTGGAGAATCCCTGGGTCTTAGAAGTAGATTGAAAGGGGCACTATTTAAATCAGAGGGATTTTGGTAACCTGCCTCCCTCTGAGCTGCCATCATGGCGCAGTCGTTCTGGTTACTGATACCACCTTGCCTCTGTAGTGCAACCTCTACGCACTTCCAGCTAGGACATTGTAATATAGACACCTAGCACACTATAGGCGATACATGAACAGGGGCCGGCTCTGGATAGTGCAGTCCTTGGAGGCAACCCGAAATTGTAGACCGAGATTCTTTGTGTCGGTCTCCTGACCCCCCCCCCCATGATATACACCTTGAATTCGGAATTCTCACACTATCTCGATGAGAGAGAACATTCAATTTCTTCTAGGCTAGTGACTTTCTTCATATCTCAAACCCCAACAATCTGCCCACAGAACTAATCCTTCACGATCCACGGGGCAGACCTCGAGCTGTAATAGCACCCTGCTTGCAAGGGATATTTCGGGTTATTTGTGGCGTAATCACCAATGCAAACATCGAATCCATAGGTCAGACAGCCAGCGTCAACGTGGCCCCCACGTCCGCCATTATTCCCACCTAGAGAGTGTCAGCGACTGTGATCTGCATGAAAAAGTGTAGAAATCAGATAACTCACAAGCTCCAAATACGTCGTCCTTGAGGATCTTGCTGCAGTCAATTGAGCCGTCTCCGAAAGGATCGACAAGGTTCTTCGTGTCGCAGCCTTGATCGCTATTCTTTGGTCCAACACTGAACCAATATGGTACGTCACCGTCTTTAGATTGGTAGACATAACTGCCTCTTCCAGCGTTGTTAAGGCCGCTTTGCTTTTTGAACGCGGCACAAGCTTTGTCAACTGCCTCCTTATATTGATCTGGGCGTACTGCCCCGTAGTCAGGACCGGGTCTCCGGGACTCGGGCCAGCAGGTGAGATCCGTCGGTGTTGGAGTGGCAGCGGGCTTCGTTGTGGTGGTTGTTGGTTTGGCGATTCGAGGGCAAGATGTAACAGATATCACTTCGGGAAGTGTAGGATATCCATGGCTCTTCTCGTTATCACTAGCCATCTCGTAGATCACAAGGTTCGCAATTATTTCATGTAGAAGGATTTGGGGATGGAAAACGCGGCCATAACTACGGGGTTTGTTAGCATGTGCTGTGTGCCAGAGCTAAGCTCAACTTTCTTACCCGTCAGGAAGGATGTTAGGAATCTCGAATCTTCCACTCAACTCCGTGTTCGTGGTATCCGCAACCTTCCTGTTAGCTGGAACAGAAAATCCAGTGACCGTGTTGTCTTGAACTTTATCCTTCTCAGCCAGGGTAGCGCTTGGGTCAACGAAGAGCGTAATCTGAGCAAGGGCGTCAATTGCACCGTCAAATGTGCCGTTGAGTGGTCCACTTGAAGAACGCTTCCAAGGAGTTGTGCCGAGCGGATCGAATGTGTTCAGCTCGTAGAACATAAGTCCAGTCCTATTCAGCTATTAGGCAAGTGAAAAACAGGCTTTTTTTGCGACATACTTACCGTGAGTTACTCTTAGTTGTGCTTTCGTCCACACCAGGCTCACAGTATCGGCCGTTAAAGTCACCAACATACGAATCATAATTCACAAATCTGACATTTGACCCAGCACGCTTCGCTGCAGCCGACTATTCAGTATGTTGTCAGTATACAGTACTCCGGATTGAGATGACGTCAGACAAACCAATTCGTCGTTGACTTTGTCAACAAGATCATTCATGGTTTTCCTATTGGCCTGACTGAGCTTGGCTTCAGCCTGGAACATGTTGGAAGCTTTCTAGAGTGGCATCATTATCAATAAATGTTCCCGGTTTCACGTCGAGTGCAACTCACATAGATCCATGTTGACCAAGACACTTTGTCACATTCGGAGGTCATGCTCGTGCTGAAGAATTTCCCATACCTAATTCAAGCTAATGATTAGAGGCAACTCACGAGTAGGAACAAGGAATGCAGTTACCCAGTGAGATAGATCATGCCGCTGATAAATGTTAGCTTGTTCAAGACTCGGCAGTGGGCAGACAATTACTCACTCCTTCGCCAGCTTCTTCTTTGCAGCATCAAGCACCGAGTCCAGGCTTTTACTGAACGAATCACTTCCAACCAGTGAAGCTGTACGCTTCAGCTGTCCAGCGCATCCACGACCGAGAGCATCCCAGTCAAGACCAGCAGCCCATTCAAATTTCTTGTCAAACTCGCTTGCAATCTTTCCAATGTTGACCTGTTGGTCGTTGAGCACGGCCCACTGGAAGACGCACTGGTTAAGAATATTGACCAGTTCAACATCATTCCCACCTAGGAGAACCGTCAGAACTTATTCTATACACATTATGCCTTTTTTTTTGGCGTACCAATGGATAGTAGTATTGCTTGCTGATTTGAATCCAGTGAAGGAATTTGCTTCTCTAGGACATCCTTGGTCACTGCTCCAGAACATGACACAAACTGGAATTTTCTCTTTGATGGATCACCCAATCTCTCATCGTTGTTAATCAAATATGGATAGGAATGGTCGTAGCGACTACAAGCGTAGTCTTCATGTGCGAGAATTGTTAGTCCCCTCGTTTTCAGCAGTGCTAAACAAACAGCAACAACTTACCACCTGAGGGATTTAATGCATCGAGTATAGAGCCAAGTCTGTTACCGGCGCCAATACCAGCTGAGTACGAGTCACCAATTGCCGCAAGCTTGTTGATCCAGGAAAGGTCCTCCGGGTAGAATTCGTCCTCGCGAGGGAGCAATTTGCCAAGGTTTGATGCAGCCAGTCCGTAACTGCCTGACCAGAGCGGTTTTGCAACCGCCGAGCCTAGGAGGGAAAGAAGACATAAATGGGACCACATTGCGTCTCCTGATGGGTCCCTGATAATTTGCTAGTGAAGGCTGAGACAGAGTTGGGAGATGTATCAGACAATCTGCGTGGGATCACAGGCGCAACATATACACCTAGCTTGAAGAACCTACTGGCCGACAATTGCTTACCTCGGATTTAATCAACTCTATTATCACCTGCCCATCCATCCTAACTTGCACAGTTCCTACATGGGGCCGCAAATTGATGCTTCCAACTTTGTACAAATTTAGCTCAAGGGTCCAAAATGTGGGTCTTACCCTGCGCCCAGGAACACCGTACTGTTTCACAGCACATATCATCAAAGTTTTAGGGGCCGCTCTGATCGGCCGGGACTATCCGAGTCAGATCCAAGGTATCATTTACAAGACTTACTCTCAGATAGATGACTTCCTTGTACGTAAAGATAGGGCCAGGTGCTGGGTGACTTGTGTTATCCCAACCATCTTACCTTTAGGTCATCTTGGCAACAATAATTACCCACACGCCCTTGGTAATGCACCGACAACTGTCAGTCGGAGAATAAATTAGGTAGGTTTGAGTCTCACTCTGTAACGATTCAGAAATAGGCATTCAGCCGTCTCGACCATGCAGCGAGTGTATGGCCCCCAAATGCCTATACGGGACCTACCGTAGCGCCTATCTTCGCCATAGCCCGCCCCCAGCCACGACGCTAGAGACCCTGAAATCGACTTTGTGTTGTCGCAAGCGTCTAATTACAGTACTTAAAATGCACCTAGCTATTACGGCCTATATTTTGGCAAGGCTCCGCAGCAGGGGCTGCTTAGATGTTGGTAAGAAAGAGCCCCCAAAGTATGGTAGCATTGAACGGCCCTGTGGCTGCTTACTGGCCCCCTTCGCAGGAGCATACATGGTTATTCAGTCTTATTCAGCATACACTCAGGACCGAATAGTCCCGGGGGTTTGTTATTGGCTTGACATAATTTTAGAAGTGTTCCGAGAATTTACACGGACACCAATGGTCATCTACCTAAGAAGAATGAGCCCCCATCAAGACACGAATTTACTTTTTCGCTCTGCAGGTTTCAATGTTACCTAGCGCAGAGAGAACAATATCAGAAATAGAACAGAATTTAACCCGAATATGCATATAGGTACAGGTCGGCCCCCAAATAGCTATCATCCGTGGGGGTTATGAAACCATCATTTCCTGCAATAACAATCCTAGGATGAAAAGAGATTCAGTTCCCTGTCAGCGAACCTGCCTCTCCTCAATAATTAATCTTCGAATTCGAGAAGCTAAAATACCCATAAACTTACCTGGGTCTACGGCGTGAGTATACAATATCTTGCGCTGGTGAGAAACCTCCTCGTTGGCGTACTTGGGAATTGTATTTGGGTGAGTAAACTCATACCCTACCACACTCGTTACGATCTTGTCGAAGCTGATATTGTCTGTGACTGGAGATAACTTGACAAATATCTCCTCAAAATGCGTCTGCCGTCTATTCAAAGCATAGGGTCCGTCGCCCTCACTCTGCTCGCCACATTCGACGTTGTATACGGTGCCGGTGCCAGTACCTATGATGTCTCCAAGCCGAAGGACCCAAAGGGAACGCTAAAAGTGGCTTTGGATTACTCTCTTGCAACAAGCTGGCCGGAACCTTATGATGCCAGCTATAAGGGCCCGCGTCCATGGACTTGGAGCAGTCATATCGTTTTCAAGGACCCCGTTGAAAAGGGCATCACCGATGGGCAGCTCTGGCAGATTGCCCGCGACGCGGCGGACGAGATGAGCGTCGATAGAGAACAGTATGGCATTGGACCCCGCGCAGAGCCCACTGCTATGGGCGTTCTCGCTTGGGGAGATGAAATCATCATCTCGTCCTCCGTTAAGGGTGCCGGGTCATTCTCTTACCAGTTCGAAGGCGGCAATCCCGAGGTCCTCAAAAGCTTGAAAGAATGTCAAATTATTTGGAGGGATACCAGTTTACCCGATAAGAACAAGGAGCACGAGCACAAGAACAAGGGTAATTGTGCGGAGCCGATGGCAGCCCACCTATACTATAGGAATAATGGGAAAGATTTGCCAGCACAGAATGCAAGAATTGGGACATGGGTCAGGGTCGGTGGAACCTGGCAACAAATTGATCCTTGTGGAACTGGCGAGGATGTAAGTACAACTTTTCCAACTTTCTAGGCGTCTGGAAAGCTGACACAAACGGCCTCTAGGACTTTTGGGGCTGCAACCTCTTCACTCAGAATCAGAAAATGAGAGTCTTGAAGAATGACATAAAGCCAGAGGCCTATAAGCTATCCGATATTGCGGGTGGCCCAGTCAAGCAGGAGCAGATTCAATTATGCGGTTCGAACAGAGAGTTCTGATTCTCTACAATAGCGCATCGGCGGTCTTGGTAGTTTTGGTAGGCTAGGAAAGCGATCACCGAAAGAGTAGAACTGTGAATATCATTTTTCAGATTCTTAGTGGCAGAATCCTGATGCATTACGCTGTGGTCTCTCGAGTATTTCAAATTTCATATCCACCTGAGCCGCCTGAAGCTCAACATCTCTGAACTTCTGGATTATATCCGGCACAAAGTCCCGTACTCTCATTACCTCAAGCACGAAGCGAATACCCCGCAGGCGAGGGGTGAACTGTTCCTTCTTCCCGAACCAAGATGAAATCACGTCCAAAAGATAATCCATCTCCCACTCCCATTGCCACTCCTCCTGGTAACATAGACGGTCGGTGAGACTGAGCCACTCGAGACTTTTCGGTAATAACTTCTCTAGTCCCAAGATATTAGAATCCGACCGAGAGAATCCAAACAAGAATGGAATGGGGACCTCCAGTGTCTTCAACTTATCGAGACCGGAAAACACGCTAAAGGGCCCCTTGAAGTATACTTCTGGAGGTGCAGGTTCTGCTCGTGAGACGTCTGCTCCTGCTGTGATGCTTAAGGAGGTAAGATTCTCGCGGACAAGTGCCAAGTCTGCAGCAAGCTGATCAAGATTGATGATGTCTGTTACCGAATCATCCCGAAGATCCGGTCGGTAGTACCAGTCCCATTTGAGTGATTCGAGTTTTGGTGTGACGGAAAGTAATTTGCCAAGATTTCCTTCCCTTATCATAGTCAAGTCGAGCGATAAAAGAGACTGCGCTGAAGGGGTGAATACTGCAGGCCATTCGAATATCACCGGGTTGTCAATAAAGACTCTTATTTGCTCGACAGTCGGAAGATAGAAAAGAGGAAGGACATCTGCTGTGTTCCTCGCCGTTCTGTAGCGCCGTTGGTCAAGACCGATACTGGGATACAGCGTTGAGACATCACGGAGGTGCTGGAAGGAGTGAAAAGAATCACTCTTCTCACAGAGCGATGACCTCAGAATATGCCCCACACAGCGGCTTTCTCGACAAAAGTTCTCTCCGAGGTAGAGGGATGTCAAGGTTGATAGTTGAGAGAGAAGAAGGGCGACGAACGCGTCCATCGTCCCGCTCTGTAACTCCTGAATCCATTCGTCACGATACGACACATTGAACCCAGTGGCGCACTCAATGAGAAGCTGTAAATCAATCTCTTTCACTGCAAGCTTGGGGCTTTGATGCTTGTAAGCCCACATATCTGCATCAAAATCCTTGCCGTCGAGGATGAGCTCTTTGACATAAGCAGCTAGCTCAGGCCTTCGTATAATGGTCCGCAAGAACTGGGGGACTGCAGGATTATGAGATTTGCTCCATGTGAACTTGACACAAGAGTAAAGCAGTGGTTCGATGGCAGGGCGTAAGCTGCGATGTGTCCGACTCAGCGCAAGAAGATCGGCCTGATCAATATGGACAAAGATTTCCCGCAGGATCTCTGTCGGACTTGCAATGAGCGCTGGTGTCATTTTGCCGTAACTCTGGGCTGGGGACAAGTTTCAAACTTGATCGAAAAGAAGCGAATTTGCAGGTGTACCAGGGGCCTTCTGTTGCTATTTATTGACTGTTGTCGTCAGATAGTCAGCCAGGTACAACATGGCGGATCCGTAATGGCCCCCAACTAGAACCCCACTAACTACCGCCTATGTCTGACCACATTGCCCCCTGTAAGTTATTTTACTGTACCTTTATCGCGCTCTCTGTATCCGTTCTTGGCCCCCACCCTGACAGTCAGTGGGAATTGTTGGAACGTAATGACAGAAAAGAAGATTGAGAGAGGTGTTCGTAGGAAACACAGTCACGTGCCCGTAGACTTTGCTACCCAGTCAAACAGGTATGGCCTTCCATGTCGAGGAGAGGGCAACTTCGTTACATGGGCCACAGATGAAAGACTTATGTACTTCACGCTTCATGAGCAAATGGTTAGTTAATTAGGATTCATAAATAATGACAGGAAATGTGATAAAAATTCCAATCTCTATATCCTAGCCAGGTTTGCCCACGATGGTATACTAAGGAGCTTCATGAGAATTGCTAAAACGACACCCCAAAATTGCTAACTAGGTGGGAGTAGTAGTTATAGAGATCCTACAATCTCTAAGAGGGTGTATCGGAAGATAGTAATTCAATTATAGCGTTTAACTAGATTTAGAAATCGGGGTGTCGTTTTAGCAATTCTCAGCTTCATAGGAAAGTTCCAGATATGGTATACGACTATGCAGCCAATCCCTGCTTGATATACGCAGAGAACCGCTCCTAAGCTTAGAAAGGAGCCTAATTAGAAGTATGTTCTATTAGATAGGGCCTAAATGGAATCCATGGTTACTTTTCCAGCAAGCCCCGAAACAAATACCACGGCACGCAACAGCCGGAAATATACCCGGCAACCCGATCTATCCCCGACCAGCACCACCACACCAACAAGATCCAAACCCCTCACAAAACCAATATAAGAAAGAATTCCAAAACAATTTCTACAGTTGTAACGCCTCTTTAGATTTTTCCAACCTCAATCGCACCCATCATGTCCCTCCCCTGGAAACGCCTAATCCGATTCATCGCCACGGACGGCCGCACCCTCCGTGGCGAACCCATCCTCCCTACTCCCGACACAGATCTCGGCTTCATCACCGAGGCCGATCAGCTACAGGCACGAGTCATCGAGGGCACCGATATCTATGATACCACCGGCGTGACCCGAGTGACGGATGAAGTCGTCACCGTAAAGACTATGCTGGGCCCGTTGGCGGCTGCAGATGTTCCTATACTTCGATGTGTGGGGTTGAACTATGCGAAACATAGTAAGATATCCCCCCCTCCTGTTATTTTTGTTCCATTTTTGTTCCATTTTACTACAGAATGGTTCAATTCAACCTGTTATGTTTCATTGTATAGCTAACATCCCCTCCCGCACATAGTCAAAGAAGCAGGCCGCACTCCACCCCCCTTCCCCTTCATATTCTTCAAACCCTCCACGACAATCCACGACCACAACAGTCCCGTCTCGATCCCCCGCATCGCCCAAGACTCTCAAGCCGACTATGAAGGCGAGCTCTGCCTCGTGTTGGGCCGCGACGCCAAAAACGTCTCCCAGGAGAACGCCCTCTCCTACATTGCCGCTTACACCGTCGGCAACGACGTTTCCAGTCGTAAATTGCAGCGCGATCCCGCCCTGGCTGGCCGTGTACCGCAATGGGGCTTTTCGAAGGGATTCGATACGTTTGCGCCGCTGGGACCGTGTTTGGTAGCGGGGAGTGAGATTGCGGATCCAAAGATGTTGTTGCTGAAGACTGTCGTTGATGGGGAGGTTAGGCAGGAGGAAGGGGTGAGCGATTTGTTGTTTGATTGTGCTTATTTGATTAGTTATCTATCGCAGGGAACGACGTTGCAGAAGGGCAGTGTTATCATGACGGGGACGCCTGGAGGTGAGTACAGTATTTATGTCATTCTGCTGCATATTGAAAGGCCTGCTCCTGCAATGGGCCTGGGCCGCTTCTCCGGATACCAATCCTGGGACGCTGGATTTTGTGCGAGTATCTTGGAGGAATTGAGCTGACTTGATTGTCTACAGGTGTTGGTGCTGGCTTGAATCCGCCCAAGTACCTTGTTCCGGGGACGCAGATGGACGTATCCATTTCGGGCATTGGCACTTTGCGGAATAATGTTGTTTTTGCAGAGTGAACTAGTACAAGCAACGTGGGAATTTTGTTTTCTATAGCAATTCCTCCACTCTCCATTAGCAAGGCGTCCATATAGCCTTCTAAGGAACTTCCGATATCATTGATAGAAGAAACATGCTATGATTTTCAGAAATTGAGAGAAATGCAACAATACCAGGTGGAGTAAATTTTCATCGAAGAGGTAGAATACCTGTTTCTAACACTCCAAATCGAGGTTCTCTACGCCCTCGCAATCCGGATATTCAAGATACTCTTCTCCAGAATATTACTGATCCCAATTTTCTTCCTCGGTGCAGTCTGGATCAAAATCCTTCTCCTCGGGGTGTTCCGGATAATCGAACTCGAAAATTTCAGCGCGATCGAGCCACAAGTTCGAATCCTCAAGTGACTTGTGAGGTGCGAGATAGCCATGCTCCTTCATTTTAACAGTGAGCTCCTCCTCAAATTTCCGTTTTGCATCTCCAGGTCTGCGGTACCGATCACGAAGGTCATCTTCTAGCAATCTTTTAACACGCACCATCTCGTCCAGACGGCGTTGTTTGGCGTCAAGAACAGCCTTCACCTCAACGGGTGTATATCGATGATAGAGCACCAAGTCATTGTCATGGGTGAACGAGGATCCCCCTATATGGCGCTTCACTAAGATATGTATCTTGAAGTCTTTCAAAGTGTGAAATTCCAAGTCCTTACACCCGGGATCTGGACATTCAATTACACTGGTTTCCGAATACCGCGCGTAAGTTTCCAGTTTCAACCAATTTAGAGCTTTCATTTCACGCCACAAGATACGATGAATTCGATCACTAGTCGAAAGGTCATTCAATAAACCCGGTGGGACTCTTTTCGGAGGAAGCAAAACTCGCATCGGGGTCCAGATATCTTGGACCAAGCTCCAGCGATGACGTTCAACCCGCCACAATCTGTGTCGCAAAGCGTGCTCATCCACGTCCACGTCACCTTTGCACTTGAAGGCCACAAATGCATTGATATCCGGAGGTGCCGGCGCCACCATTTGAGAAATAAAAAAGTACTGGCTAATATCTTTTCGTCTTGGCTGGCTTCCACTCAAGACCACATTACGCGCCGAGGGAAAGAGCTCCTGTAGCCTATCCCAGAAGGCCCGTCCAGTATACGCCATCCGACGGTGATCGGCAAAGTAAAGCGATATTTCCACATGGGTGATACGCGATGCGAATTCCGGGCAAAAGTCGATCGGCGAGTCTTTTTCATTAAACAGGTAATAGGCATGATCAGGCCGGTACCAGACGCGATTCCCTGACCCCCAGAACAATTCTGAGCATTCGGATCGGATATAGGAAGATGTATGCATGAGATGAAAAAGCGTTGGCGTATCACAGGCTTGAAAGATCAGCCGGTGGAGTTCCAGTGGCAAGTCCATGAATCGAGGGAATCGCTTGGGAGATGGAGATAATTCAGGGGCGACGAAGTGGCTGAACGGGGTAACAGGCATTGAACCCCATTCCATGCACAGTTGAAGGTCAGTCATGGCTGGTGGTAGCAGGTGGCGGCGTGTAGATTCTCTCAGGGACTGGGGAACTGGAGAAGGGGGTGGAGATGGTATCGAGGAGGGATATAGAAGTCCTGGAGAGACATTATGTCGAGATCCTGCGCCCTGTGAATCTGGGGTAGGGAGTGCTGGAAGTTGAGGTCCAGACTCGGACAGAGAGTCCAAGGGAAGGGACATAATGCTGGATAAAAGTGGACCAGCTAAGTAAGACTTAGCAGGAAGATATGAGATCCCATGAGATATCAGTGCCACCTAACTAAGACTGGTGTTAGTGTCTCAGTCGGAGAGTGTCAACAAGATGGAACTTGGAGGGGCTGACTTTGGTTGGGGGCCGAGAAACCTGAGGCACGGCGCTGGGTGCGATCCCTGCCTTTGGACTCTCTGTTGACGGAAAGTTCCAGCAACTTTATAATTATTCGCAGTTCATCTCAATTACTATATATGACTATATATTTAGGTAAAGTACCTCCTAAGAAGAGATCAGCACCAGCCTCGGCCAGTCCCGGGCCTGCTCCTACAACGAAGCTCCAAGCCGGATATAAATAGAATCATGCGATGCGCTGACCTCCATGCACCACAAAGGAAAATGTTCCTATCTAGCAGGCTCCAGACGGCAAGAAGCACGATAAGTTACGGACAGAACATACTTGGATCCCCTCACTATATAAGTACAGCAAGGACGGGTCATCAAGGCCCATACCTACCCAGCCCTCACCCCCATAGTTACTTCTATGCTGGTTAGAATCAACGTTGTACCGGAATCTTCATGTCTATTTCATCAGAGAATCCAAAGGGTTCCAGCTCTCGTTGAGGGCCGGCTGTCTATCATCCATTCGGAGTGCAATACCTCTTACGCTGTTGCTCTTTCGTTCGGCCGGAAGACTAGCATTGATTGAAGCATCGACTCGAAGGCCCTCCTCTCTTCCTCGGTCACTATCTCTAGACCTGCTTCAGCCCGAGGCTCCTGTATACAGTAGCCGAATTTCTTATCCCAGGTTCTGCGCACGCCATCATGAACTCCAGACATCCGTGGCTTCAAATCCATTTCGCCGTCTTCATTAAACCATTCCAGTCTTCTACTCCACTCTCCCCACCATTCAGGGGGTAATATGCCAAGCACTTCGACTTGCTCCATGGTAACGCGGTCCGGAGTAGGGAAAAACGCCTCAAACAAAAGCCCTTGCCCATAAATCTCCTAGATGGTACAGGCAAGTGTCTAGATCTCCGAAGCAAAGGAGAGCGGCTCATCAGAGAATCTGGCCTCGGGTGACTGGATGAGAGGAAGGGTCTTTGAGGAGAACCTGGAGGTTTTGTGTGGATTGAAAGTTTCTCCAAAGTCGCTAAGGATGATCTTCTCCTCTCCTAAAACGATCTTATCGCTGCGAACGCCAAACCAACGGGGAACGTATATATTCGCGGGTACGCTATTCGATAATGACCTGCTATTAAGACGAACGACGGCAACTGACTCTGGCTTCCGAATATCTTGTGTACCTCTGAGGTGGATAGACGGTCGATTACTTTAAAAAACTGGACTAGAATGTTGCCTAAATGAAGATCTTGGAGTTGAAGTTAGCTATACTATTCAGCTAGAATCGCTTATACGTATCGCATACTACCGTACACAGTATCTTTATAGTGAAGGAATGCGACGCCACGAATAAGCTGGGTAATGATCGACTGTGCGACCTTGGGCCGAAAAAGACCGAACGTCGAAGTCTCCTTTGCATCGAACAAGCTTTTTCGTGCCGGCGGGGTGACAATACACCTATGCTTCCCATTAGGACCGGTAACCCAGAATTCATCGATGAGAGACGGAATAGTCTCTCTTCCTAGTTTGGATAGCGAGTTTGAGAGAGAAGATAGAAGACCAGCCTCGGGCGTACAAGTGCTGGTATCAGCAGTAATGACTTTCACAGCCACATATCTGGACATCTGTAGGTCACGGGCCAGCCATATAGTCGAGTACCCTCCGTACCCAAGGTTGTCAATCAGTCGATAGCGGCCCTCATCTAAGTCATCCCCGATTTTCCACGGATGATATCCCCCGGGTCTATATCTGTCCAAGTCTTTGACGTATTCAATAAGTCTGTACTGGGTCTTTCCAGGTCTTGTGCTTGATGCTCACGTTTCGCCGGGTCCATCTATATATATCCCCACTCATCTTATCTGTCTGGAGGCGGGTGAAAGTAGACATTGATAATGTCCCTCGGACATAGAGCTGGTTTAACACAGAACTGCGTACCTGACTCAAGGGACCGTCGGACATTAACGGGAGTAAGTGTGAGCATCTGTACAGGTAGGACCTAGTACAACCAGCCAGTGCCCACACCAACGTGAGCGACGTGCCCAGATACCTGCTAGATGAGGGTGGGTCAAGGTCGTAAATTGCTGACTAATACAACTTCCGTCTGGGGAGGTTGTTAACCAACTAGCCACCAAATCAACTACCAAATCAACGGCAAAATCAGCGGCAAAATCAGTAGGAAGTAAGATATAGGAAGCTAGCCAGCAGGGGCGAGGGTACAAGCCCGAGAATATTGATAGGCGATACGCAGATATCCCGACGCATATAACATCGGTAATTCAGCTAGACAAGAGGAAGATTCGGCGATTTCTACAGTAAAATTCGAATGGCATCAGTTTCCTCGTTAGGAATAGTCCCTTAGTCGTAGAAACATGCGATCATCGAAGGGCGTATCAGAACATCTAATGCGCGGTGTGATAGACGAGAGATACAGTAGGTGGTGGTGGTAGTAGTAGTAGTAGTAGTAGTAGTAGTAGTAGTAGTAGTAGTAGTAGAAATCTTGCAATCATCAAGGAGGGTATTAATTAAAGGGTGTGTGGTGTCGAGTTAGTACATGATTAGGATAGGATGCCGTTTTAGCAATCCCAACTCAAGCATCATATCCCTTTCACAAGGCAATTAAAGACCTATGTTCCGGTCCCGTTCTCAGTAGTACTTTCCAGCACATGCTCGCAGAGGGTTGTGGTTTAGGAAAATTAACGTAGCGCACCAAGGCAGCAACTGTAAGCAGCTCTCTAATCGAGCTATGTCTTGTTTTGGATTCCCCCTTTTCAGAGTTACAGAACGGGGTAGTGCTCCCGTCCTTCGGATGCTACCTGCCCAGGTTCCCTCCGTGGTGTACAGCCACCTCCCTCTACCCAGCCACCGCGGTAGCTATACATAGCTACATTACGGAGTACGGAGTTACTCAAATTGAAACATGGGATATTGTATGCTGAAAACTGGGATATTCAAGTGCGAAGACGCGAGTTTTGTTTTGGTGGCTGGTGGTATTGGTTATTGTGCAGCTGGGTACGCGACACTCCGCACAGTACGGTGGAGCGGAGCTGGTTAGACATGTCTCGGGGTTCTAGGTCGAAAATGGGAAGATATGCAGACACAGCTCAATGCAAGATGAGTGAACTCAGTTTCAGAGCTGACCGCACTCCTGAATAGCGAGTCCAAGGCCGAGTCCAAGTTAAGAGCTATCTTACACTGACAAAGCTAGAATTTACAAATGTTTTAACGTTGGGATAAACGATTCCGTCGCAGGTAGTATTGTCACAAGACTCCGTAGAGAAAGGCATAATTCTATCAACATGAAAAGAGATAAAGGTGATAAAAAGGCACAACACCACTAGGGGCGCGCCACATAGAAAAACGGGGTCATTCGTTAAAGACAGTAAGAATAGCAAAATAAAAAAGGGGCCCGATCACGACACCCAAGCCCTCACCAATTGGCAATTGACAAGGATCAGGAAAATCGAAAAACCAGGAACGAAAGATAAGAAAAAAAAACAAGATAGAGAGCCATCTAGACTCTAGGGAAAACGAAAGACGCCTTGGGATCAATCTACCAGAGATCATGAATCTTTCCACCCGCGGGGGGAAGAAACACTTTTTGAAGGGCGGTCCAAAAGCAAGAACAAACTCGCGCGCGCGCATGCGATCGACGCAGCAGCTTACGCCAATTTAGTTGATGTACCAGTCAACACCGGAGATGCGACCAGCATCGAGAGAGCCGGCCACGGCCTCGAAGAAAGCGCGAGACAGGTCGATGGAGGTGTCGTCACAGCCCATGCACTTGTCGACGACGGTACCGGTCTTGGAGACGCCGTTGTAGGTGATGGTGACGGACTTGCCGCAGTCAGAATCGACCATGATGCCGTGGGGCAGGGCCAGGACGAGCTCGGTGGTGCCGTCGTTGGTGGTGCCGCAAGAGCTGGGGTTGGAAGCAGTGGTGGCAGTGTCGTAGTAGGTGATGTCACCGCTGCAGGGGGAGCTCTCGTCGCAGGAGCCGTTGTAGCCAGAGCTGGTGGTCGAAGTGGAAGCGGGAGAAGCAGAGCTGGTCGAGCTAGAAGAGATGGTCGAGCTAGAAGAGGTGCTCGAGCTAGACTGGGCCACAGCAGCGTTGACAACGGGGCTGGCAGTGGTGGACGGGCCAGCGGCGCTAGTGCTGGCCGCCTGCTCCTCGAGCTCCTGACCAGCGGGGGTGGGCTGAACCGTGGGGGTGGTCTGGACGGTGGTGGAGGTCACAACGGGGATGACGGTGGCCTGGCCGGGGTGGATGGTGGTGGTCACATCGATAGTCTCCCAGACGACGTCAGTGACGGTCTCCCACACGACAGCGCGCTTGTTGACGGGGACAGCGAAGCCAGAGATGGCGAAGAGAGCGCCAGCGAGGGCGAGGGTCTTGGTGATTGGGGCCATTGTGAATGATTGATTGGATGTCTGAAAAGACGGTGGGTTGATAGTCGCAAGTTTTGGCGTGAAGCGAAAAAAAGGGACTGATCAAACTGCGCAGCAGTAGTGAATGACAGTGCAACACTCGAAAAAGAGCGCGAGTGTGTAAAGAGAGAAAGACGGTAAAGGAATGACCGTTGTTTGAGGATGGAATGAGATGAGAGGAAAGGGAAGGGACCAGGGGGGTGGGAAAGGAGGATTTAAATAATAAGCCGATCGCGAGAGCCTGGACTGAACTTCTGCCTGAGGCCGGCCAAGTGCCTGAAAAAACGGGGAGTTGGGACCCACCACGTTTTTTTTTGCTAAACGAACCGTGGAATGCGATCAAGCCACCGGCCCACATTTTCATGGGTTTTTTTATGGATTTTCTTTTTTTTTCCCTTCGGTCATCGGAATGTCATATCGGCAGAGCACATGGAATATCGCAGTCACTTTACAATCGCCATCCAGGAACCACCCTCGATCCAGCTCCGAATCACCGTGCGACGGTGCCTGTCTGGGTGATTCTCGTACCTGAACGCCGGACCCCTCGGAAACCGCCATCAGGCCCACTGATTGGAACAACAAAGTTGCGCCGGCGCGAGATGGCGCAGGGGCGTGCCACTCCGCGCGACTCGTCGGCGCGGGCGTTAGGCAGACTTGGGCCTGGCGGCTCCTTCAGCCGATGTGGACTCAGCCAATGGGTTCCCCATAGAATGACCAGTTACCACTCGGGAGACACCACGCCACTCCAGGAGTGACTCCGCTCATCCAGAGATTCAGAGTGCCAGACAGTGCCAGACACGTCTGCGATGGAGCATGTGTGCGGCAATGCCCCTGGTGCCCGGCGCATTGGGCAAGGGCCTAGAAAATCGACCAAGCCCAGAAGCCCGGGACCTGGCAGCCGTGCAAAAAGCCTATTCCGCTCCACCGCGAAGGCGAATGGCAAAACCAAATCGCATAATCATAAAAATCTAAAAGTCTCGCCAAACTTCTTGACTTTCTGGAACTTGCCTATTCCGGGGAAATATGAGATCAGAAGTTCAGAAAACTCTGTATACTGAATTTTCTGTGCTTGTTGCCCCGGCGCTTCGTCGGCCTTGCAATCATGCCCTATGCCCTATGCCACGTCCGAATTCATGCAGTCGCCTTGTAAACAGCAGGCCTGCGTGATACGTCCTCCCAGGATGCATCGGTGCATTAGGCGGGTCCTTGCCAGTCTATACAATTGGCGGCGCCCGTGAGACACATTCATATTCTACAGCGCAGCGGGCATCTCAGTGGGCGCACAGGGGGCCCTGTTCATAAGCCTGGCGAGGGTACGACAGGTTGGCAGGTCATGGTGGAGTTGTGTGTGTGTGTGTGTGTGCGGATTACATCGCCGCTGTATCCAGCTGCTGCCCTACAGTACTGAGTGGACTGTACTGGCAGGACTTGCCAGTGACGTGAATGTGGGGTGTCTTTCTTACCATCGTTCTGGCCCACCCGAGGCCCAGACGAATCTCACTTTCACCGAGTCGATTTTGGAGCTGTGTGGGCTCTGGACAAAGAACCAGTCGGGTCGTGGGCTTACTGGTGGCGATCGACTTTGATGAAACGGCTAGTGCAGGTACGGAGGGCCTCCGTCCGCTCCGTACAGTGGTACGGCGCACCGTTCGCCCAAGTCGAGTACGCGGTCAATGCCCTTGCCCTCGCAGTACGCAGTACGCAGTGCGCAGGATGTATTATCAAACAGCGTATCACCTGCAATACTGCAAATACAGTCTATCACGTTCCCCGACTATTTGAAGTCGCTCAAGAATAGAGTCAACCAGATCAAACCTCCGCGGGGCTTGCGCTTCCCCTCCCACTGCTTTGTCACCATCCCAGATCGGTCGCAGACACATGAATGATGAAACCCATTCCGATCTCCAGCAGACACATTCTAGACTCGACCGAGAGGATCCAGGGTGACGCTGTCGCAACCAATGACTGCTCCAGGCTGGGACGGATCCATTCGGATATCTGGTTGGCCTCCATCGGGATCCTTCTTTTCTGGCCTTTCTCATTGTCCAGTCGTGGTCGCTCCACCCCACCGGACGATTACCCCAGAAGTAGAGCGGACAACCACGGGTTCAACGGTCGGCACTCAAAAGGAAGCTGTACCGAGCACTTTGGCTGTGGTGAGAGTCGGGCGCTGTGCGTGATGTCGGGGAACGTTAGGAAGAGGAGTCGTGAGGGGGCAAATGTGGTACTCCAGGCAGATGCACTTTGTCTTGAGGATGAAAGCCTTGGCGCATACAGCACCAGATGGTGTCTGGATCAGTTGCCCCTCATTCTTGCCATCGGCGAAACGCCCGTCAGAATGTGAGGATCGCGATTGACTGTACATTCCTCGGGAACTTGCGATGAGGAATGCATGCGTGGCAGACTGACATTCCCCGCCGTTCGTTTTCAAGTGCACTACCACTCACTCATCTAGGATCCTCTTCTCCGCGACCCTTCTCAACACGCTAAGCTCCACACTAACTACTTACTACACTATGACGGCCCTGTATAGGAACAGGACAATGCTCGACATCATCCACCCATCAATTCTCTGTCTTCGTTCTTCTTTCTTCTTCCTCCGCCACAACGCAAATTCTGCGCAAATTCTGATCAAGTACCAAAAAGAACCAAAAAACAACCCCGAATTCTCCCCATCCAAACACCCAATTCAGAACAAAGACTCAGCCTCCACGGCCACGCAAAAAAAGCCCTCACCCAGAACAAGTTCACCCACAAGAACACCCTCACAAAAAGAGAGATTCCGAAAAAGAGAGATCCCGAACTCCAACCCGCCGCAAAAGGAAATCCCAAAGAAAGGCCTAGAACAAACAGAGAAGAAAGAAAGCAATTCCTCCGCGTGGCAAGTCATAGAATAAGCAAGACCCCCCATCGGCACTGACGGAACCACATAACCACATAACCACATAACCACACCCTCATCCTCACCACCGAAACCTGGAAAGACCTCGTACGGGGCCATCCATTCCAGGGTCAAATAAGTTATCCAGTCAAAGACACCCCACGAACCGAGCCCATTCTTCCATTCTTCCATTCTTCCATTTTCCTGTAGAGTTTTCTTCGCTTGTTCGTCGGGGAGTTTGGTTGAATATGTCATCGCCGGATTTGGAAGTGGACCTCCGTTTAAACTTCTGGGTGGGTTGCGAGGCGAGGGCGGGAGATGTCGGGTTGATGGAGTGAGTGGTTAGTATGGTCGGAGGGTAGGTAAGGCGAATTGGGATGGAATGGGATGGAATGTCTGTCGGAAGGGGGGGAAGTGGTTGTGGTGGTTGAGGGGGAGTTGGTGGGTAGGTTTTTGGGTGGTGGGAGTAGTCTACACTCACCTTCTGAGATTAGATTTGAACGGCTATGATGAACTTTTTCTCCTGGATTTGTGTCTGCTTCTATGTATGAATTTGTATTGTGTCCTAGACTTTTTCTTCCTATCATTTCTATACTTGGTATACTGTAGAAGTCGGGACTGATGGTAGTATATCACAGAATAACTAGAGTTACTTGGACTGTCGTGATAATAAACTCACAAGTCAATCAGCAAAGGTCTCTATTAAGAATTCTCCATTGTTCATTATTTCTTCTGCCCAAGACAGGTTTCCAAGAAGATATCTCTATACCTGAGAATTTATTCTAATCGTCAAAGAATGCGACGCCCTCCACACGCACCTAATCCAACTATGACTCTGACTACCGAGTCAAGTCTTCTTGTCCTAAGAGTACTGTAGTCTGATCTGTATCTTAGTTTTTTCGGTACTGTGCAGTCGATGTAAAACGCTGCAGCAGTCCGATTTCAGTCACAGGACTAAGTTGGGGTAGAACCGGCGTTATTGCAACAGATGTCGACTAGTATCCATTTATGGAGAATTCTTGCAAAGGGAAACTGTCAAACAATCTAAAACAGTATAGATGGAATTAGCCTAGTGTAGCTTTGACCTTTAGACTACATACTATTGGAGCGTCTTGGTAAATATAGAATGTACACCGAAAATCTACCTAATCTAATATCTAAAGTGCTCCCTTCAATATCCGATCTAATGTTCATGAAATCACTTGCTAGAAGTCAGCCACCAGACAAGTCAAAGGACCTCACTTACTCTCTACAAGTCCAAACAACTCTCTCCACAATTCATCCACTTAGAACAGAGCCGAAATATGACCCCCAGGCAACACTTTCAACCTAGCAGACCTATAATTCTCCACAATCCATTACAACTCCCACCAATATAATCAACACTCGACCCGACAACAAGCACAGGTTTCACCGCATGCTCCTCATCAAGCTCCTTCGGCTCAAACCCCCAATCCGAATGCATCACATCCGCCACCTCCATAAACCCATCCCAATTGCCATTACACCTAATAACCTCCCCAGCCATATTCGCAACAAAGACATCCTCACTCAACCCCTCTATCCCAAGCCACTCCTCAAACTTGATTCTTTCCGCACTATCCATCTTACCAAAAATACATTTTCTCAGAAATTCTTCCGCACCGTCTTGACTCTTCATACTCGAGCCCACAATACCCCGGAAGAACCACTGCAGCAAATGGAAAGGAATCAACTGCATAGGCGGGCCGAAAGAAAACCAGTTCTGCCAACTAAGCGTTCCCACATAACCGGCATGGTATTTCACCGGCGAAAAGCCAGACAACAAAAGACACCCTACAATCTTGCGTCCGGCTGGGAATAGCTCATACGGCGCTCCATATAACATCTGCGCGGGTACCGTGCCGTAAGATCCACCCGATAGATACAAGGCATCGAACGCGTCTGTCGGGTAGAGGTGGGATAGTAGGGCTGATATATCCCTCGCGAGGGAGACGTGGTAGGGCACTGATTTATCGCGGGTGCTTGTATTTCCCATTCCTGGGAGAGTAGGTGCGATTAAATGTGCTTGGAGCGCGCGGCATGATTGTGATACTCTGGCTGCGCTGCCGATGCCAAAGAGGCCTGGGAAGAATATATAATCACTGTCCTCGAGGTGATAGGCCCGTTGTGGGCGTAGGCTATTTGTCTGTTGTTTGGTAGGGGGAGGATATGCTCCTCTTCTCCGGAAGTACTGTCATAGACGTCTTATTCTGCCATTTTATTTGAAAGTAGGCGATACATGCAGTACTTTGAGGTTACTATCTTCAATATTCGTCTTGAGAGCGGGTGAGGTCATGTGACGGCTGCCTAGATAGTCGAGACCGACACTGGGGACTGGATTTAGAAAACATATTGCCTTCCACATGGGGTATATTATGTAGAAAGGGACTGCGCCATACAAGGCACATCTTACATTACCTCTCAGTAAAGGAGGCCCATTTAACAAAACCCGAACTGAATTGGCAGAGTTACGTATTGTATTGATCAAACCAATTTCAGGAATGACAGTGGACCACAAGAAAGAACAAAAGAAATCTTGAAAAGAAAAAACAAGCATCAATCTCATAATATGGATACATAAATCACACAAAACCAGTGCGAACAGGAGACAAGTCAACAAGGGCAAGCAAGACAGGAAGCAACATATGAAAAAAGGGGGATCAAACATGAGAATCGTGTAAAAACAGAACAAAAAACGTTTTAACCATTCTAACCCTGGCACATAATGCAAGCCTCCTTGTTCTCAATGCTGCACTGGAGAACCTTGTCCGAGAAGATATCTTCTTCAGACTTGCCCTCGGTCTCACCCTCAGCAGCCTCCTCCGAGTTGGCGCCGTTGGAGGCAGTGGGGACGATGACAGTAGCAGTAGGCTCGACCAGAGTGCGAGGGCTCTCCAGGCTAGGGCTGGCGGTGGCAGGGGTAGCAACCGCGTCGGAACCGTTGGTACGAGGCACGGCCGAGTAGGCGGAGCCAGCGGCGCCGACGGCACGCTTCTTATACGCAGCATTGGCGCGGGCAACGTTGGTGTCCTCGACCTTGAGCTGCTCCTGGTCGACGGTGAACTGGATAGGGGCGGAGGCGGCCATGGTACGCAGGTAGTACATGCCGGTCTTGAGACCCATCTTCCAGCCAGCAAAGTGCATGGAGGTGATCTTGCCCATGGTGGGCTCCTTCATGTGGATGTTGAGTGACTGGGACTGGTCGATGAAGGCACCACGGTCAGCGGCCATCTGCAGGATGGAGCGCTGGGAGATCTCCCAAACGGTCTTGTACAGGGCCTTGATGTCCGCGGGGATGTTGGGGATGTTCTGAACGGAACCGCCATCGGCGATGATGCGGTTCTTCATGTTGTCGGACCACAGGCCAAGGTCGACCAGGTCCTTGAGCAGCCAGGGGTTGACCACCTGGAACTCACCAGCCAGGACACGACGAGAGTAGATATTCGAGGTGTAAGGCTCGAAGCACTCGTTGAAGCCCAGAATCTGGGAAGTACTGGCAGTGGGCATAGGAGCCACCAGCAGACTGTTGCGAACACCAACCTCGGCGATTCTAGCCTTCAGAGAAGCCCAGTCCCAGAGATCAGTAGGGGTGCGGTCCCACATGTCGTACTGCAGGATACCCTGCGACACGGGCGAGCCAGGGTAGGTCTCGTAAGTACCGAGCTTGGCGGCCAGATCTGCAGAAGCAGTGAGAGCACCGTGGTAGATAGTCTCGAAGATTTGGATGTTCAGCTGCTTGGCCTCGGGAGAGTCGAAAGGCAGACGCAGAGCGAGGAAAGCATCAGCCAGACCGTTGACACCGACGGCAATAGGGCGATGACGGAAGTTGCTCTTCTTGGCCTCGGGGACAGGGTAGTAGTTGACATCAATGATCTTGTTCAAGTTGCGAACCAGAACCTGAACAACCTCGTGGAGCTTGCCAAAGTCATACTCGCCGCGAGCGGCATCAACAAAGGTAGGGAGAGCGAGAGAAGCCAAGTTGCAGACGGCAACCTCATCGGGAGCGCTGTACTCGACAATCTCAGTGCACAGGTTGGAACTGCGGATAGTACCCAGATTCTTCTGGTTGCTCTTCTTGTTGCAAGCATCCTTGTACAGCATGAAGGGGTTACCAGTCTCGGTCTGAGCCTCGAGGATGGCATACCACAGCTTCTGAGCCTTGATGGTCTTGCGGCCACGGCCCTCCTGCTCGTAGCGCTCGTACAGAGCATCGAACTCGTCGCCGTAGACATCAGCAAGACCAGGAGCCTCGTTGGGGCAGAACAGGGTCCAATCACCGTTGGCTTCAACCCGCTTCATGAACAGATCGGGGGTCCACAAGGCATAGAACAGATCACGGGCACGGACTTCCTCCTTGCCGTGATTCTTGCGGAGATCGAGGAAATCGAAAACATCCGCGTGCCAGGGCTCCAGGTAGATGGCGAAAGCACCGGGACGCTTGTTACCACCCTGGTCAACGTAACGAGCAGTGTTGTTGTAGACCCGGAGCATGGGCACGATACCGTTGGAAGAGCCGTTGGTTCCGCCAATGTAGGAACCAGTGGCACGGATGCGGTGAACGTTCAAACCAATACCACCAGCAGTCTTGGAGATCATGGCACAGGTCTTGAGAGTGTCATAGATACCCTCAATGCTGTCCTCCTTTATGTCAACGAGGAAGCAAGAGGCCAGCTGGGGTTGCGGGGTAGCAGCGTTGAACAGAGTAGGGGAAGCGTGAGTAAAGTACTTCTGAGACATCAAGTGGTAGGTCTCAATAGCCTTCTCAATGTCCTCACCGTGAATACCCACAGCAACACGCATCAACAGGTGCTGAGGACGCTCGGCAATCTTGCCATCGATGCGGAGAAGATATGAGCGCTCCAGAGTCTTGAAGCCGAAGAAGTTGTAGTTGAAATCACGGTCGTAGACAATGGCAGAGTTGAGCTCTTCGGCGTGCTTCTGTACAATCTCGTAGATGTCCTTGGAGATCATGGGGGCGGGCTTGTTGTTCTTGGGGTTGACATAGTGGTAGAGGTCGGAGATGACCATGGAGAATTGCTTCTTGGTCTGCTTGTGGAGGTTGGATACGGCGATACGGGCAGCCAGGATGGCGTAGTCAGGGTGTGTGACGGTCATGTAAGCCGCAGTCTCGGCAGCCTAGTAGAAAAGTGAGTTGTTAGCTTCTGTTCCACTCATGGGTCTTTGGCACCGTGTACGGCGGTGGCGGCAGCAGTGTCACATACCAGGTTGTCCAACTCAATGGTGTTAACACCTTGGTACACACCAGAGATGACCTTTTGCGTGATGGCGGCAGCATCGACGTGCTCCGGGTCAAGGCCATAACAAAGCCTCGACACACGGGCCGTGATCTTGTCGAACTGCACGCGTTCTTTGCGTCCGTCTGCGAGATAGTCGCGTCAGTATCAATTTGACGTCAGTGGCAAAGACAGCTGCCATGCATGATTGCATTCAAACGCGTCTACCCCGCGGCTAGAGCCACGCAGTTTCCGGTACAAGGATTGATGAAGCTTACCTCGCTTGTAAACGAACATCTTGAAGAGTGGGAGGAAGGGAGGGATGGGGAGAACAGATTAGAGCAAAGAGGTATAAAGAGTTGAGAAGAGAATAGAGGATGTATTAGACTTGGGAGTTTGGAGGGACAATAATATGGAGAGGGAGGATCGGTGAGGAGGGGAATGTAGGTGTAGAGAGGTGGGATGGGAAGAAGAGAAAGAGTGGAGGGGCGAGGATATTTGATGTCGCCAGGGCAGACGCGTTTTTGTTCGTGAATTTTCGCGTTTGGCCTGATTCGGCTCCCTTTTTGCTTACCGCTTGGCTACCGCGCTGAGTAATATTAATAATTGGATCGCGCTGGTCACGTGAACACGCGATGGGGTCCACTGGAAGAGGCCGCATGGCATTGGGGCTACTGTCGCCGGGCGGACGCCCGCATTCCGGGCTCAGACAACCCGATGTCACTCGGGTTACGGAGGATTATTGAGGTGTACATTATGTATCGAGTATTCTATCGTGTTCATCTGACGGGTCCATCATGAGTCACCATTCCTCCTTACTGCTGGACAGCCCAGGCAACCATGCACCCTCCATGCACGGTCAATAAAGGGGGTCTAGGGATGTATCAAGGAAACACCATAGCAATCAATTTTGCCTTCTAAAATGACAGGCGGTGGAGCCTAAAAGCGGAAAACATGTGCAGCAACGCAATTCGAACAATCCGACAGTATTCGAATCGGCTTCTCCGTGGACAAGACGGTAGATAAGACACAGATCGAACGATCAAAACAAAGCATATCAAGAAGCCAATTTACCTAACAATACATCCAAAAGGCGCGTTGCAAATCTTCAAGCGACAAGACGGAGATGCAGTCTTACAGCAGTGCGGCGGCACCGACGAACACCGCAGCAGCAAGAGCAGTGCCCTGGAACTGGAGACCGGCCGCAGCGTTGGCGGTAGCCTTGGGGGTAGAAGCAGAGCCAGAGGCACTACCGCTAGCGCTAGAGCCAGTAGGAGAAGTACCAACGGAGCCAGTGGCGGAGCCAGAGGTCGCGGTGGCAGTAACGAAGCCCGAGGAAGTGGCAGTGACGCTAGAGATGTCTGTGGAGAAATTGATCAGTTAACCGTACTTCTAGATCCGAACGGCGAGCAAGTCCTGGCAACAATTCTCATCATAGATAGGATCGGGCTTCCTCGTGATTCATCGGTGATAGGTGAGGATATCCTTACCAACTTTGTGACCAGCGGCGTTGCAGGTGTTGGCGTAGAACTTCAGGGCCGACTGGGTATTGTCTCCGCACTTGTTCGCGATCTGGGATTCGATGTTCTTCATGTCGGAGCCGCACAGGGTAGCCAGGTCGGCGGGGTTGGACGAGGCACTAGGGGGAGAAAGTCAGCGTTTCCAGAACGCGATCGGAATGTTGGTCGAGGGGCTTCGGGGAGAATGCCCATCGCAATCGCGGCCCCATATCGACAGAATCCACATACCCGATAACCGACAGAAGACAGGCAGGAGTCTGGCCAGCAGAGACGAGGTTGGCCAAGGCCACGAAGGCCAGGGCGAGGGTAGACTTGTTGAAGAACATGGTGAAAAGCGAAAGGGTTGACGAGAGTTGGAATTGACGGAGATAGGATCGCACAGCGATTGTAGGGGGTAAAAATGGAAAGAGGAGTTGGTAGTAGTGATTGGAAGTATAAGGACCGTGGTAATGCTAAAGAGCGACTGGGTTTGCGACGTAAACGAGGGTGCGCAAAGTAGAAGACAAAGAGTGACGAAGGGGAAGATAGAGTCCGATCTCGAAGAGGTCCTTCAGGGTGGGAAGAGAAACAGGGTCCCGTCGAAAGGGGAAAAGTGTGGGTTTTGGGCTCCCGTTGCAGGAGGCGCCCAATGGATGAGCTGCAATGGATGGCTCCGCTGTGGCACTGCATGTATGGGGGCGGTAAGGTGTACTACGATGGAAGTATAGGCTATATGTGGATTACATATAGATTATACTTTCGAACCATTACAATACTATGTAATAGGACATACGCCTGTCTGAAACCTACCCCATGTCCGTACCTTAATTAGGACCTAGCGTCAGGGACCCTGATCCCGGAGGAGACACTGGCGAGTGCTTGTTCATAATCATCCAATACAGTATCTATCACCAATAGCCCCAAGCACAGATCCTTCGCCCTTTGCTAATAACAGGCAAAAACCCTATACAATGTATGATGGGGCTGATGAAACAGGGTCTACCAGCAGTGCCCAACTAGGCACGGGCTTCCGACCCCGAAATGGGACTCGGCGAGCTTAGTGAAGCCAAGCGAGACACGGATATTTGACCTGCAATACCCATGGATACCTAAAATGCTATAATTAGTGTGTGTTGAAAATGTTATCAGATGGGGCTGTGTCATGATTGCTATTGAGATCAGTACCGGGCAATTGTGATACCAAGGCTATATAGAAGGGTGAGATGCCTGACAGTGAGTCTGCACTTGTATAAGCCATTTCAGGAGTGAGGCAACACATTTATAACATTAAATAGTAATAGATAGTAATAGATAGTAATGTGTTTGCTCAACAAGGACAACTTATAGAGTTCACCCCGTACTTCGGTCCCTTCAGACATTCGTATGCTAGAAATCCTTTTAGGATATGGAATCAGAGTGAATGAGAATGGATGTTACCGAGCAGGAAATGATGTAGCAATAGAACCAGACTATTAGATAAGCCTAAGTTAACTAATTTCAGAGTATTTGAAGTCCTAACAATAGAGTTATTATGGGCATATAGTAGAACGTGGTCACACTAAAGTTGAGCGTGGTTACAAACCCGCCCAATATTTCTGAGCACGATGAGCCTTCGAGGCTTAACGTGCTCAGAATCTTTTAATAACCTAATCAAAATCTTATAGATTGAATTCATTATATTCAAAATATACGTATTAGTCTTGAACACAGCTCTATCCAGGCCATCGCGCGCACGATAGATAGCAACAGGCATGATTCGAGGTAGATAAGAAAAGGTTGTAGTAAGGTCAATAAGAAGAGAGAGTAAAGCCCGATAGAGCGTTGAGAGATCATTAGGTAAAGATAGGTAGTCTACAGAGACAGGTAGAGTGAATATATATGTTGATAGTACTGAACTCTGCCACCTTTACACGAAGAACTTAGCTGTACTGAGGTCCACATAGTCTATTTTTAAACAAAGAAAAGTACGAGGAAGAATTTGGATACTAGATATACTTCGATTATATAACCTTATAGAAGTTACCTAAATTAATATTCAACGAAAGAGATACAGAAGAACGTGTTGAAAGACACATTGCAAGACGTGTTGAAAGACGTGGTAGAAGATTAGTAAATAAGATACTAGTAACTGTGTAAGAAGCATCTTTGCGGAGGGTAATTATGTAGAGATCGAATAAAATAGATAATTGAATGCATAACTTTCTGGCCATATGAGGGTTCAGGAGCTCAACCTGGTCAGAAATAGTGTGTAAAACCTAGGTAACTTTAGTGTGACCACGTTCTACTACAAACCAAGTTGTCATGGTTGACTTTAGCACCTATGCACTCGCCATAGACTCCCAGACGCACATATCTAAAGTTTAGACAAGCTCAAAAGATCGAATCAAAATTCTATATCTATACTTCCAGCTCAAGTAACAAAGATATGCAAAAAATAAAATATACGAGCCATATCAGCATCACAGCAGGATATCATCTATAGCGCAAACACATGCACGAACACCTTTTCACGCTTCCATCTCGTTTACAACCTCTCCCAAGCCGGATCATAAATACTCGACACCACCTCCTGCACCGGCAACCTATACTCCACAATCTCCTTCCCATTAACCAAATCATTCTCCCTCACCCGAACATCCGCCTGAACCTCATCCGCCGCAATCCCGGCCTTAACATGCCTCCTAACCAACCTCTTCCTCGCAACCTCAAAGTCCACCTCGACAAACCACAATTCATCCATCAACCGCGCCACACAATCCCATGGCTCCTTATTCAAACTCAAATAATTGCCCTCGAAAAAGATCACCCTCGTCGTCGGCGCAATGGCAATATCATCCTCGACAGGATCCTTAACCGCATGATCAAAACTAGGCGCGTAGATGGGTTTCGTGTCTGGCGTGAGGGGCTCGCGGAGGGCGCGCACTAGGTGAAGGAATTTATGCGCGTCGAAGGTGAATGCTGCGCCGCGCCGGGCGAAGGCGTGCGTTGGGTCTGGCATGGCGGAGAGTTGGGCGCGGGTTAGGTGGTAGCCGTCCATGGGGAGGGAAGTGGCGATGGGAGTTTTGGAGGAAGGGTTCTCGGAGAAGTGGATTTGGTTGATGCGTTGGGACGTTGTACTGGCGAGTTCGGTTTTGCCGGAGCCTGGGATGCCGCTGACTGCGATCATGAGGCGGGCGTTGTCTGCGGTGGAGCAGTATTTGGCTGGGGGAGAAGGTGGTTAGTCTGTAGTTCTTGAATGTGTAGAATGTATGGTTTGCGAGGAGGTAATTGTCTTTTCGCTGGCATTGGGTCCAAGCCAGCCCAAAGGGGTGGAGGGTTGGTTAGCAGGTTTATCCCACTTACCCCAGATCTTCTTGACCAGACGGTCAACCTGCTCGTCCATAATGTCCGAGGTGACTGGCGAGCCGACAACAAAAGGCCCAGCTCCAATTTGCGTATCGATGCAAGACACTATGGGCGAATGCCTACAGGCAGCCACAGAGGGATGTTCAGATGAGCAGTCGTTTTCGTCGCGTGCACAGGTGATACGAGATCTCCGGCGTGGGTCCGCTCAGTAAATCCCACAAAAGCAATAGCAATTGGAAGCCAGCGGTAGCACGAGGGTGTCGACTGCAATGAGGACGAATTGCGGTCTGTTCTTGAGGATTGGGGGTTGTTGGTTTATCGGGGGGGAATGGGTACGAAATGCGTTCGCGATAACGGATTTGGCGGGGCTCTCCATGACTGATTTCCGGTGGGGACTGCTGTGCTCCGAGGCTGTTCATACGTCACAAAATAGTGGGAAAACATAGGCCGCTTGGCCCTCCACGGCCAAAATATGCCAAACAGGGATGTTGGGATGATATAGAGAGGATGAAAAGGGTGTGAATATGTATGCCCGTGCTCGTTAGATCTATCTCCTTATGCTACAAGGAAGCTTATCTTAGGCTGACAATGACATCATCCGCTTGCCATAATCATTGCAAGCATGTGCTTTTATTGGACGCAACATAGCTCTTAGATCAAGCCCTAGTCAGATATGGATACATGAAGATGATGTCCGAGTTTTAGTGACCTGCCCGGTCGACAACAATCAGAGACCAGACCGCAAACCAGCACAGTCGTAATGGGAACAACCATTCCCGGGGGTCAGGAAAAGAAACAAACTCTCCCGAAGAGATCAGTGCAGATGAGATGAAGGCCAGATTACCTGGTACACAAATCCACTATCCCCCCAACGCCGATCAAAAACAATCCATCAAAAAAAAAACGCCATGTAGATGACCCGATTCCCGAAAGGTGAGGAAGAAAAACAGAATAAGAAACACGCCGTCATTAAAAGTGTATGTTGCATATGTAGCACCGATATTATCACTCGGTTCCCTCGGTTTCATTGCGTTCGCCACTAGCATGGAGGCCGCGAGCAATGTTGCGCGAGAGACCAGCCCCAGCCCACCAATCATCCGGGATATCCTCTCGACGGGCCAGTCGGTCCAGAATGGCCCGCATTTGCTGAAGATCCGTGTCGCCCGAGTCGGAGAAAGAAAAGGAGATTGTAGGAATAGGAGGGTGGCTGCTCATGGTTGAATACAAGCCGGGGGAGCGACGCGCCGAGCTCTGGATACCCGCGGAACCCACGTAGCGATGATAGCTGACAGGAGTATCATCCTCGTCGTCATCGGAAGAAGAAAAGTCACAAGGGTGAAGGGTGCTGGGGTACGGATCTAGCGCCAGGTGGACGGCGCGCGAAGGACCCGAGCTGGGTGGGAGCAGAGACGAAGCCAGCGCAGACGCGTTGCGTCTAGTCTCAGCCGCTACCAATGACGAAAAGGACGTGTCGGTGGAGGGCGGGTTTGCATCCGGAGTGATGGTCGACAGTAAAGTTTCCCATGCATCGTTTTCGCGCTCCACATCAGGGCTCAGACTCCGCTGGCGGTCTCCCAGGCCATCGACAGTAGAGTCAGCAGGGGGCATAGAATCACGGGGCACCCGACGGGGCACATTGCCAGTACGATAGTCTCGCAGTGTAGTGGAGCGCACGCCATTGTAGTGAGGCCGGCTCTGAGATGGGCGCATCAATGGAACGGGAAGGGGGGGAGATGAATGCTATCCGACGACGGCCGCGGCGAACTAGCGGTGCGATAGGCCACTGCAGGAGCAAAGCCCGGGGTCAAATGAGGACGGTTCGAATTGCGCGACTGAGCATCAGCTCGAGCAGCTAGGTATTCTTGAAATTCCCGAGCGCTGCGAGAACGTTGACTGGCATGCTCGCTGCGGCGGTGCGACTCCGAACGCGTGGCACCACGGCTCAAAGCTTCGCGCCGACTGGCATCCAGATCTAAGCCATCCTCACTAACACCCAGGTTCAGCACAGGTGATCGAAGACCGAGCTGAGGGTCACCCACGCCGCGCTGAATCTCTTCAAGCATCTGGGAATGGAATGTGGACATCAGTCGGCGTGCGCGGGAGGTAGAGTGCGATGACGGGTGTCGGGTCGCATTTGCACGGCGAATCGAGGATCTCGCTGCAGCAGTAGGGTCTTTGTCCAGCGCAGACTTGAGTGCATCGGCCTCGGTAGGCTCGCGCCACATCCTGAGATCATGTTAGTCAACGCGGCGACGAGGTGGCGCGTGCGACAAGAGCCAAGCAACTAAAAGGAGAGGAGACAGGCACATACGGAATACCCATTTTTCAAGAAAGAAAAGAATAAGAATAGATTAAAGAATGCGAAAAATGAACAGCAAAGATAGCAAAAATGATTAAACGCGACCCCGGGATATCGACGTGGTGTGGGGGGAGAGATGGAGACCGATCGGAAGGGGAGATTGGGAGAGTTCGGGTTTTTCGACGGGGAGAGGCCTGAGAACTGGTGGCCTGAGGCCATAGTGGCTGGGAAGGTCACGTGATTTACACATGAGGAAGTTGCGGGCAGCTCTCCGCTCGACAATGACAAGCTGGGTCCAGACTCCAAACACCAGACAGGCTCCTTTCCGACTCGTCTATATTGAGACATTGGCTCTCGACGTCTTCCGCATTCATTACTGAACCTTATGGTCTCGCTGATATGCGGATCATTCCTGTCAAATGCTCGACAGGGCTACCCTCGCAGAGACCAATACACAGCTTATGCTGCAAACATAACTGACGCGAGAACTGACGCTGACAGGATGACAGGACGAGTCTCGCACAATGCCTGAATCCCCAAAGCAAAGACCGCTATTGCATTTCCACCCCTCACAAGCTTTACAATACCGTGCGCATGCTCTATCGGCGTTTAACCAGAGTGAGGGTACTCTGAACTCCGCGCTTCGGCGACCCTACAACCCCTCCTTTACGTGTTGAGATCCCGCTTTATGATGGAGCGATGCATGTGGCATATTCGGATACCACTGGGAAATTTGGGTTAATACTACCTCCAGCTCATACAATTGCGTGTCAATTGAACTTGAATCGATTAGTCAACTGCGTAGCTCTGGACATTGCCCATCTATTTCCAAGTGTAGAGAGGCGGCTACAACATAGGCCGTTCTTGGGTCGTCCTCCATCCAGCACAGTGGATATTGAACTTTGGCGGCACTTTGTGGACTGGGTTTTTATGGGTGAAGCAACCATTTCCATGGAACCAGCCCTGATTGTACTGTGTCCTCGATCGCTTGGATGGGGCGAGTGGAGTTTCGAGTGCGATGGAGTGGGCCAGTGAAGTGGCTTGAGAATGTGCTCTTGCCATATCCCAGCAGCTTGCACTTGATGGCGCCTTTTGACCTCGGGGAATATCGTCATCTAATTTTGCCGTACGTGCAATGCGGATAGTCTTAGTAATTTGAGTCTCAGCTATCGTTCTACATACAGTGGTGGCTTGGTCGAGCAAACCTACACTGGAGGGATACTTAATTTCATATGACCTGAAATTCAGCACTATGTAGATTTTGTCGCCCGAGTATTCTTCAATCGTAACCTTCATTGTCAGAGGCCAAGAACTGTCGAGGATTGAAGACCGTACGCAGGGGCTCTGTAGGGCTGATCGGCGGGCGTTCTGCACAGCCGCAGCATCATGCGGCGGCCTGTGGAGAAGGGAAACTTCAAAACAACCACCATTCGCACCCCAACCCTCTTCACGCCTATCCTCGGTCTCTCTTGTATGTTGGTCTGGTCTAGTCTCACCCCCGTATTCCAATATCATCTGTGCTCCTCGAATGCGCACTGCCCCTCTTCGCCATCATCCGTTCGCTGGGGCATGGCAGCGCAGTCCCTCCTGTAATGCTCGCTTGGTGAGGCCCGATCCCTCCCCCAACACTCGCGCATACGATCAGCGGCCTCTCACGCAACACACTCGGGTCGTTTGCAATCCGATCGATTTGAGATTGACTAACAATCCGGGACTATTCAGACACGGCGGACATGATCTTTGAGACTGTTGCCCTCGGCTCCTGCCTTCACCCTTAGCTTCTCAGCTCCCACCCCACCTCCGTCTACCTGAAACCGCATTCTGAGGCCGGCAGTCGGATCAACATCATCCTGGGCCTTCAGCTGGTCCTAACCTGCTGCTGTGATGGTGTCCCGCTCCAGCGAAGCCAGTGAGGGGCAGCGCCCCCTCACCCCCTCCAGGACGCCCGGCACACCCATGAAACCGCGATTGGCCCGAGTCAGCAACAGCCCAACGAAACGAGACGAGAAACCGAAGGAAGATAAAGTACTGAAATCGTCAGCCATGGATGTTGCGGAGCTCAAGGACTACGTATGTTTGGGCCCCGAAAGCTGCCTCTCGTCGCGTGCCCGCATATTGGAGGAAATGCTAACAAAGGGTTTCTCTCCGATAGCAATTGGGTGACTGTCTGGGGAAAGGTGCCTTCGGATCGGTTTATCGAGCATTGAACTGGAATACTGGTGAGACTGTTGCAGTGAAGCAAATCAAGTTGACGGACCTCCCCAAAACTGAATTGCGTGTTATCATGGTATTGTGGCCGTTCAGTTCCATGTGCGGGACTCGCTGCTAATACAAAGCGTCTTAGCTGGAAATCGATCTGCTGAAAAACCTCGATGTGAGAAATCCAACGTGCCTCGCGACAAACTCCCGCTGACCCGGACAATAGCACCCAAATATTGTCAAGTACCATGGATTCGTGAAGTCGGCGGAAACCTTAAACATTATCCTAGAGTATGTACCTGAATGGTGATGAATAGCGCTCGTGATACGGAATGGCTGATTTTGGATATGCAGATACTGCGAAAATGGCTCGTTGCACTCCATCGCCAAGAACTTTGGCCGGTTTCCCGAGAACTTGGTTGGTTTGTATATGTCCCAGGTTCTGCATGGACTCTTGTATCTGCACGAACAAGGTGTGATCCATCGAGATATCAAGGGGGCCAACATCTTGACCACGAAGGAAGGCCTTGTCAAGCTAGCTGATTTCGGCGTGGCTAGTCGCACTACGGGGTTGAGCGAGTCGAGCGTAGTCGGGACGCCATATTGGATGGCCCCGGAGGTCATCGAGCTGTCGGGAGCAACAACTGCGTCGGACATTTGGAGCTTAGGATGTACTGTCATCGAGTTGCTCGAGGGCAAGCCGCCTTACCACAGCCTACAGCCCATGCCCGCGCTGTTCCGCATTGTCAACGATGACCACCCTCCTCTTCCCCAAGGTGCTTCGCCGGTATGTCAATCCTCAGCCATAACCTGTGATCAGTATACTAAGATTACTGTTAGGCCGTGAAAGACTTCTTGATGCAATGCTTCCAAAAGGATCCTAATCTTCGAGTATCGGCTAGAAAGCTTCTGAAGCACCCGTGGATTGTCAATGCTCGCCGGAGTGATTCAGTCGTCCCTAAGAAGTCTACAGAGTATGAAGAGGCTGTTAAGAGTGTTCAGGAATGGAATGAAGCTTTGCGGTCTCCCGGTGCTGGTACCTCAAGAAAGTCTAACAGGTTTGATCCTAATTCGGGACCATTACCTGCTGCCCGTAGCAGCTCCCTTGTGGATACGCTGCCATCACCCACATCCATCAAGACTGCTGATCGATTCCGGTCTCCAGCCTCAAATGAGGATGATAACTGGGACGACGACTTTGTCACCGCTATATCCCCAAGTGCACTGCAGCTGCCTCATCTGAGGCCTCATGATAACTTCGGTGGGAAGCTTTCCTCCGAGAAGCTCAAGGCGTTTGCATCCCTGGATGGAACTATGCTCAGAACGGACGACAGCTTCGATGAATTTGAGGATAACTCGCATGGGTCAATCCAAGCTGAGAATGATCCCCTACAGACAATTCGCCCATATTCGGCCAAGGCAGCATCGGCTGAGCCGACCAAGTCTCGCGGCTCTACAAGGCGCCAACCCAGCAAGGTGCAGCAGGCATCAGCCCTGCAAAATGTTCCCATCTTGACTCAAACCCCTGCGCCTCCGGTAAGACGAACCCGTCCAGCCGCTCTCTACAAGGAGAACTCTGTGGAGGATTACACCGACCTCATCATGGCCAACGAGGATGTTCTCGATCGGAAGCTAGGAGTATTCCAGGTGCGCAGAGTGTGAAGTGAAATCATTGATCGTCGACGTACTAACCAATTCTAGGAGCTTGATGATGACCCTGCCTCGCCAACTCACGACAAAGACTGGCACTTTGACGATGAGTTGTCAGGCCATCACCCACAGTTGCGGAAACAGCTCTCTGTGAAGCGTGATCGTTCCGCTATCGAGATCCAAAAATTCGCCGAGAATGAGAATGATGAAGACTTCTCCGATATTCTTGGGGCTGATCAGGTGGCCCTAGATAAGCCAGAGAGTGATGATGGTTCCGATCAAAGTACTCTCATGCTCAACTCCAAATTGTCGAATAATTCCTGGCTCGGCGATCAGGACGATGACGACGATCCTTTCGCACAATTAGAAGAAGGCTTCGACGAAATGGATTTGGAAGCCAACATTGCCCGTGACAAGTATGCTCGTCTCCGGAATCAAGTTGAAGGGCTGGTGGGTTCTCTAAAGACTTCTCAGGATGAGGATGTTCTAGCAGAGATCTCCGAACAGCTGCTCACGATCTTCTGTGATCTTCCGGAGACAAAGAACATCATCATTAGCGCTCACGGCATGCTTCCTATCCTCGAGATTCTCGACACCTCACGTCGCCGTGACATTGTTTTCTGTCTTCTCAGAGTGGTGAACGCCATTATCTACAATGACTATGAGATTCAAGAGAACCTATGCTTCGTCGGTGGCATCCCGATTGTCAATGAATTCGCATCGAAGAAGTATCCCCGCGAGATCCGTCTGGAAGCGGCTGCTTTTGTGCAGCAAATGTACCAGACGTCTACCCTCACACTCCAGATGTTTGTTTCTGCCGGTGGTCTCAATGTCTTGGTTGAGTTTCTGGAGGATGACTATGAAGATGAGCGTGACTTGGTGCTGATCGGAGTGAACGGTATCTGGAGTGTGTTTGAACTTCAAGTAGGTCGCTTTTAATCGTATGGGTTTCTTGTTGCGTTGATACTGACAACGACTGTTAGGGCTCCACGCCGAAGAACGACTTTTGCAGAATTTTGTCCCGCAACTCTGTGCTAGACCCGCTTTCTCTCGTCCTGAGTCGAGTCCTGGACGAGGAAGGAGAGCTGGCCGAGGTCATCGAGGGTCGAATCGCGAACATCTTCTTCATTTTCTCGCAGGCCGAGAATCATGTGAAAGAGATGGTGGCAGAGCGAACTGTTTTGCATCGTAAGAGACTTGGTCATCAATTTGAATTTGAGACAAATAAGCTGAGAATCTCCAATAGGGGTCTTGAAAGAACTTCGACGAATGTCGCCCGTCCACCAAGTCACCATGTTGAAGTTCATTAAGAACCTGTCCATGCTGTCGACGACTCTGGACTCGCTTCAGAACTCCAACGCCATCGACGTGCTCACCGAACTCCTCCAGTCCACCATGAAACGGAGCCACTTCCGCGAGGTTTCGAACCAAATCCTCAACACGATTTACAACATGTGCCGTCTGAACAAGACTCGACAAGAAGATGCCGCTCTCAACGGCATCGTTCCTCTGCTCCAGAAGATCGTCAAAACCGAGCGGCCCCTGAAAGAATTTGCGCTGCCCATTCTGTGCGACATGGCGCAGTCTGGTAAGGTCGGTCGCCGAGAGTTGTGGCGCAATAAGGGCCTCGCATTCTATATCTCTCTGCTTGCGGATCCGTACTGGCAGGTCACTGCTTTGGATGCTATCTTCACATGGTAAGTTCTCGAAAATAATCACAGCATGAGCTTTTCAAACTGACGGTTTTCATAGGCTTCAAGAAGAAACTGCCAAGGTTGAAGAGCATCTTTTGGAGAACCAGCATGACAAGACGTCTTTCACAGATGCTATCGTACGATGCTTGACACTCTCCAAAGCAAATGCCTTTGAGAACCTTCTCGAGCCACTGCAAAAGCTTCTGCGGCTGAGTCCCCCCGTGGCATCAACCTTGGCTCGCGCCGACCTGTTCACCAGACTGGGACAGAAGCTCCACCACAATAAAGCCGCCATTCGACTCAACCTCCTGCGTATTATCTCCAGCATCTGTGATTCTAGCGAGCAAGGAGGCGGCCTATTGGCCACCTATGGTCTTCTGGATGCGATCCGGGAGCTTGAGAACGATCCCGCCATTCTGGTGCGAGACATGGCTGGGAAGCTAGTTCAATCTAGCGAACGGAACAACAATTCCCTCGGTCTCATGCGCAGACCTACTAGCCGCCGAAAGAGCACTTCCACATCCAGCCCCAATCCATTCGCCAGCTCTACACCTTCCACCCCGTCAGCCAATCGTACGAGCCAGTCTCGTGCCTTTCTCGAGGGCCGTGAAACACCCCGCCACCCTCGAAATGCCCTCAGTGCCTCTTCTCTGGCTCTCCGACCAGGTAGCCGTGATGGCAGTACTTCGTCTCTAGGTTCCGCTCTCAATGGCGCTGCTCCGGCTGCTCGTCCGCGAATGCCTCGTGGCATGTCCAACCGTCTCTCGCAAATTGAGATGCTTCAAGATGAGGAGAAACCTTCAAGTTCTCTCAATCGCCGACCGTCTATCATTCCTCGTCGCCGACGCCCTACTATTGCCGACTCCGAGTGGACGTGATCGTCTGAACTCGTGTCTCCTGTGCCATGCAAGCTTTACTCTCTTTATCTTTTGTTTCCTGCTTTGGTTTTTCTGAGAGAATAGGCGGCGTCAAGAAAAAAAAAGATGGGGACCGGGTTACAGGGTTTATTTTCCTTTGTTTTAAACTGTTCTATTTTCCGCTGCTCATGTTGAAGCACTGGCTGCTGCACATGGAGCCTACATAAACTTTTCAATGACACATAATTACTCGTTGCTATACATATGATCCTGAAACATCAGACAGAATAGAAATTCTAGAAACGTCTACGTCTTCCTCCATCGCCACCTCGATGCTCGGGTTGTGTTCCTGATTCTCGTGGCAATGACGTCGCTTGTATGGAGTATAGATCTCGGAATCACGTGCAGCAGGCCATGCGGCCCGAGACCGGGCAACGCATCAGCCGATTGGTGGCGACCGCTTCAAAAAAAATCTCCCTGATCAACAACACGACCCCCCAATGCTCCAGACGATGGAGTGAAGCAAACGCATATCAGACAAACTGTCCTTACCATATTGCGCTATCTCTCTTCGCTGCTAGGATCGCATTCGCTGGAATGAGCGCAGCGCTTCGCGTACCGCTGCGGGCCTGCGCCAATCCCGCCACGGTTATTGGGCAACCGCTCAAAGGCTCGTTTACTGCCTGCGCATCGTTTCATACACACTCGAAATCGGTCGTGCGCAACTCGCCTTTCTTGTTTGGAAATACTGTCAAGTCATGGAGTCCACGACAGAATTGGGTAAAGCCGATTTCGCCCTCTTCGCAGCGGTCGTTTGCCTCGAGAACTGCGACGCTCCTTTCCGCGGAGGCCTCGAGCTTGAAGGGTAATGCCTCGGAAGTCAAGTCGAGCCCCGCGCAGAGGAATTATGTCAAGTATTTGGTTGTGCTAGGATTGCTTGGCGTTGGAGCGTTCGCCTTCTCGGATAATGTCAAGCATATCTATGGTGCGGCGAGGAGAAGTGGTCGCGTGGTTGGTACTCTCGCCGTCTGTATCAATGAGTAAGTGGATGGAAGCAAGTACAGCACGTACGATCATGCCACAATGGTATACTAAATCAATGCCAATCTTATAGCTACCGTGTCACCCTCAACCAAGCCGCCGTCGCATCACCGGAAGACTACGATGCCCTAATCCGCGCATGCCACAAGCGCTGTGCAGAGCGCACCCTGCGCGTCTTGGAGAAGAACGGGTCAATCTTCATCAAGCTTGGCCAGCATCTTAGTAGCATGGGCTACCTCCTCCCTATCGAATGGACCTCGACTTTCATCCCGCTCCAGGACAAATGCCCTGTCTCGTCGATCGAGTCAATTGCAGAAATGTTTGTCACCGACACCGGCCAGACGATCGACGAGCTATTCAGTTCGTTTGAGCCTACACCTATTGGTGCCGCCTCTCTTGCACAGGTGCATATTGCCACGCTGAGAGAAACCGGGCAGAAAGTTGCGGTCAAGGTGCAGCATCCTGCTCTTGCGGAGTGGGTGCCGCTGGACCTGTCGTTGACTCGGTTTACGTTCTCGATGCTCAAGCGCTTCTTCCCGGAGTATGATCTTGAGTGGTTGTCGAGAGAGATGGATTTGTCTTTGCCTGTGGAATTGGACTTCCGTATGGAGGCCCAGAATGCTACCGTTGCCAGCGAGTATTTCAAGAAGCACTCCGACGCGCCATTGGTTATTCCAGAAGGTAAACAATATTCTCACTGCAGAACCAATGAAACCCCAATACTGATAATTGTCTAGTGATGTGGTCTCAAAAGCGTATCCTTGTCATGGAGTTCATCTCTGGCCGCCGCCCCGATGACCTCGCTTTCCTGGACGCGAACAATATTGACCGCGAAGAAGTCTCCGCCGCATTCGCCCACATCTTCAACGAGATGATCTTCGGCGACGAGGCTCCGCTGCACTGCGATCCTCATGGCGGCAATATCGCTATTCGCCCGAACCCCAATCGCCGCCACCCCAACTTCGATATCATCCTGTATGACCATGGTCTTTACCGCAACATTGACCGCGATCTGCGCCGCAACTACGCCAAGCTGTGGCTGGCTGTGATTGATGCTGATGTTCCCCGGATGCGCGAGTACGCCTACAAGGTGGCAGGTGTCACGGATGAGCAGTTCCCACTCTTTGCCAGCGCCATCACCGGTCGTGACTACAGTGTCCTGACCAAGAAGAACGTCGCCTCTGCACGGACTGCTGAGGAGAAGAAGGAGATCACTGGTGCCCTGGGCGAGGGCATGTTGCAGCAGCTAGTCGTCTTGCTCGGCCAGGTCCCTCGAATCATCCTGCTGATCCTGAAAACGAACGATTTGAGTAAGTCACCGCCCCTATGAGCGCGATGTGTATTACAACCTCCAGTCCCTAACACCCCTTCCAGCCCGCAGTCTCGACGAGAACCTCCACACCCGCCAAGGGCCCTTGCGCACATTCCTCATTCTCGCGCGCTACGCCACCCGGACCGTCTTCGAGGAGCAAATGCAATCGATTCGTGAATCGGGAGGCATCTTCGTGAACTTCTTCCCGTTCCTGGCCGCATGGGCTGGGTACCTCCGTGTCGAAGTGAGACTCTCGGTCTACGAGACTGTGTTGTCGTTGAAGAGCCGTTTTGGTCTTCGGACTGGCTTCTAGATTCTAGATTCAACTGGTGCGGTGCGTGTGGTAGGTAATGTGGGTTGGTTTGTTGATGTATATATTACTTGGGTTTTTGAAAGGCACGGATTGTCTTGGCCGGTCTATCTGTGCATCAGCGATGGCGTTTACTTGGGGGGTTTTTTTCTTTGTTTGGACTGTTATCGGGATGATTCTCGATTAGTGTTCCCCCTTCTCTTGTTTATTCGGCCTACTATTCTGATCTGATGTAGCTTGCGATGAGCTACAAGTGATGGATGACTTGTATAGATACATTTGTTCATAGACACTCAAAAGATATAGACGATTACATCTTTTCAATACCTCCAGCTGAGCATTTATCCCAGTTACACTTCTAAGACACTTCCACTTCTGCTACAGCAACAGAAATCCAAGAAAGTCCTGATATCATCGTTTCATTGAAACTATCATGGCACCACGCTTTTCAGAATTGAGAGTATCGATCGAGGATCCCAGATACCAAGGCGCCACAGAAAAAAAAAAAATAAGAAAAGGATATTCTGTGAACCATAAACGAACCAAAGGGAAATTCTGTACAGCAAACAAATTTGCAAATTTGTTTGAAAAAAATGAGATCCACCCTATCATCCCAAGACAGACCCAGACTGAGACTCTCCACCCGGCTGGCTGTCCGATGATCAAAACCAACTCATTCTCCATCCGATCCATTCGTTTCACCTGCGCTGCATTTCGGAATAGGAGATGTGCATGTGTATGGTGCATACTACTCAGGGGGAATATCCTCGATCAAAAGATTGTGCTTGGAGATAACGTTCCCGAAGGACAAAGGGGATCTCGGGTGTGATCAAAGCTCGTGCTCGTAAAACAGTAATGAGTGTCATGTGGCAAGCCTATCCGCTTACAGAGAAGCGGCAGGGCTGCCGGTGGAGGGCTGGTCGATTTCGACCTTAACGTTGGCCATGGAGGCACCCGTCCCGGAAAGATCAGTGGATCGGGCCGAGGGGTTCTTGGTGTAGTAGTCGGAGATAGCGGACTTGATGGCGTCCTCGGCAAGCATAGAGCAGTGTACTAGAGACATCAGAGTTAGTATAAAGCACGTCATCGACTATGAATTTCACGGAAATGAGAGATCGGAATCACATACGCTTGACAGGGGGCAGGCAAAGCTCTTTCGCCACATCAGTGTTCTTAACCTTGCCGGCCTCCTCCAGAGTCATTCCCCGGACGAGCTCAGTCAGATACGACGAAGAAGCAATAGCACTACCACAGCCGAATGTCTTGAAGACAACATCATCAATGCGACCGGATTCCTTGTTCACACGAATCTGGAGCTTCATGACATCGCCACAAGCGGGGGCACCGACGAGACCGGTACCAACGTCCTGGTCACCCTTCTTCATGGAGCCGACATTGCGGGGGTTATTGTAGTGGTCCAGGACCTTCTCGTGGTAACTTCTCCGCTGAACCGGGGCAGGGGTCTGACGCTGGACAGGCTGGACGGACTGCAGGCCTGCGAGGGGAGCAAAGGCACGGGGCGCCGCAACGCCGACGCGGGGGGCGACGGTGACGAGACGCTTGAACATGTTGATGGAAGTGTTTTGAGAGTGTCTGAGTATTTCGATGAGTATTTCGATGAGTTTTGGATGGGTTGTGGTTGATGGTTGAAGCGAAGTTGTGAAGGTGTGGTGGATGGCGAAAAAGCAGATCTGATACGGGAGGAGGTGATGAATTCATTGCTAAATAATCTGATTCTTATGTAAGCCAACGCCCGCTGCGACCTCGGATCAACTGGCGGGCATCGGAGCTGACTCATCGCCGCCGGCCAGAACAGGCGATTGATAAATGAGAGGTACGAGCTTGAATTGTGATAGTATTCTCTTGTGCTATTGATATCTCGATCTTCAGTGATATTGGTATCTGATGGCTTATGGTGGTGTGCTTGACCGGGCATGTGGAAGTTGTCCGCACTGTCTCCGCGGGATCTCGCGAACAGCATCTTTTCCCGAAGAAAGGAGCCTGGGCCAATTAGATGCCGATGATATGAAACTATGGATATTACGTTCACGGTAGTGATAAACATTCCAATGGGCCTATGATTTCATGTTTGTGAATTTCATATGCGCTTGGTCAAGGTACATTACCTTTCTTCCTGCTTTTTCGAATACTCCGTAGCGCATCATCCATAAACAATATCCTCCGTCATCCCCGCTCCGAGGGCATGTTCGGAGATAGCATCCTAGTTCGGCAAATTCAATTCAGCAAGGTCCGAGATCTTTATGTCGGGCACTTTGTCCGGGGTCCGATCAAATGACCGGCTGAGTCGGAGAATTACTGGCGACAGGTTCGGCATTAGAGGAAATTATTATATGTAACATCGAATGTGTGCCGGTCGCGGGACTTTTCTCTAGACGCTGTAACAACGAAAATGAGAGATATAGCGTTCTTAATCACCAGCTCATCTGTAAATTGATACGCCTCGTCATAACCAGGCTGCTTTTTCTTAATTTTGGGGTTTACGATAAGCTTATTCCATTGCCAGCCCAAGTTATGAGAACCCTGCTTGTTCGGTTTCTGTACTTTGAGTACGAAGTACTAAAGAGCTTCTACAATACTACTAATTTTTGAATATCCACGAGCATGAGTAGCTAGTGTAGTTTGATAAATAGATATCCAAATAATGTCCAGAAATAATCTTCCCATACGTTCGCCATCTACCTACTCTCACCAAGTGCTATGGAAGCTCGTCAAGAATACATTGTTCTCTTGATGGCCTGGAACTTGGTCGAGCTGATGACAAACCCCCCAGATCAGGCCATCGGTCTTGGCGCTGTATCCTTCCCTCCTCTAACACTGCGCCGCACCTCAAACCATAGGCTAGAACTGGAGGAAGCGTCCATGTGGAAGCTTCTTGCTCAAGCTTAATTCCACGCAACCTTAAGCCATATTCGATGCTTCCATCGTTGACTTAAGCGTTATCATTGCCGCTTAGGCGTACGGGAGGCTAAAAGGTAGGTTCGATTATATGCCCTCCTAACAAATCTAAACAAATGAGATCCTACTGGATGCTCATGCTGACTGACTCATTCTAGCCTAGTCTTCCAGCTAAACATCTGAAACAAAATGTCCCCAAGGAATACACCGGATCCCAAGACACTGGGCCGATCCGCAGGGGTACGTCGACTTGTCAACTTTTCTTCATGCACAAGCCAAGCTCCAGACCAGCCATTCCATGGTCATCATTTAATTCAACAGCTTTACAAGATCAAACTTACAGATGAACTAACACTTGACAGTCCATCAACGCGCCCATCGCAGCTTTCACTATGGCCGTCATCCTATGCTCCTACTGCTTCAGTTCTATCCGCACAGCTAGACGAGAAGCCCAAGAGTCCGCAGTAGTGCCTAGCTCACAACAACGGGTATCTCAACGGGAAAGGAAAGATTCCTCGTGGATTCAGGAGGCCCTTGAAGAGAGTCGGGCGGAGAAAGGGAGGTGAGGGAGATGAGAATGCGCCGATAGAAGGCTGTTTCTGGAGAGTATTGTACGTGATACTGATTTTTAAGAGATCCGCGATTTATATAATGAAATCTTCCATGGCATTCGATAGCTAATAAGATAAAAGGGGAAAGCAAAGAAGAAGCTCTGGTTCTCGTCGAGAACACGCAGATTCTCCATCCATCAGTGGAAACCCCCCAACGGCGAACAAGTTAGGGCAAAGGGTAAAGGGAATAGAACAAAGCTTCAATTTCATCATCAATCAGAATTTTCAGTGTATGAATGATCATACCCAGGAGTTCAAGTGAATAACAACCCGGTTCAATCAAAAGAAAAGATCATCATATGAGTAATGAAGAGAGGCATGTCACGAAGGCGTCAGAGTCAAATCGACCTGATGAAGACTAAAATGATAATGGCGGTAGAGCCAGAACACGGTACAGGATAGAGCTTAGGGGTATTGAGGTATTGACAGGCCAAGGGTGCTTGCTGCTGAGCATATTCGAAGGCATGTGCTGGAAAGATTAATTGTTAGTCAACGGCGTAAGCCAACCCGAGTTTCCATCATTGGAAAGAAAAGAATAGAATGATGACCAAGTGCGCTGCTAGCATCAGTAGCATACAACACGGATCCAAACATCAAGATCCAATGTTGCGCAGAGGATGATGGAACATGCAGAAAGGAGGAAGAAGAAAAAGTCGAGCGAAGAAAATTGTGGAAGGGAAGATGGTCACGTGATTGTGCCTGTGTTATTGTGGGGCGCTCAGGCGAGGTCTCGATGCTGGACTGGGCGTCAAGTTCAGATTTATCCACGTTAGGAGTCGAGGCGATGGATGAAATTTTGATGTGAGTTTCATATGAATGAATTGAAACCCCATTGTTTTTGAATCCAGATATTCATCCTTAGCTGCAGATTCACCAGAAATATTAATGTATGTTCCCTCGCAAGAGTATGAACGTTTTGTAAGCCATCTATAGACAATTCGATAACCTACGACATCTTCGAAGATTAAGTCCATAATTAGACAGTTAGGAACGACCACCCGGGAGTCATGAACGTTAAGAGGAGAGAGATACTTGGTTCCCAAGCATTGATTCGCGCAAAGAAAAGAAAAATCAGACATCGTGATCTGGTAATGTATGTACAAAGACAGGACACATGCAACAGCCATGCGAGATAAAAAGAAAAAAAAATACGCTGAACAACAGAGATCTCCCGACATCTTTTCTCCCACTAGAAGAAAAGAATAGTACACGAAGATCCCTGGCATGTGATTCGAGGTATCGGCCGCGGAGGCTTCACATGCAAAAGCCTTCCAGCAAGGAAGACTGCTATCTAATGAATTGTTGAGAAACCCTCAGACAAAATACAAGAAAGATTTTGGAAATGCTATGGGGGAAACGAAGCCCATTCGCTGAAGAAGCCACCAACTGGAAGCGTTGCACCATGCATCCAGGTCTATACAAGCCGGGGAGAACGAAAAAGGGTGGTGAGTTTGGCGCGAAATGAAGAGGCACTATGTCCAAGTGCGAGCTCGGGTCGAGGATGATTGGGGGGTATGAGGGTAGGTCGTGGAGGAAAGGAGGGAAATATCTTTCTAGAAAACGGTGGCGAGTCGTGGGTCGTCAAATCATATCGGTTCACCCGCGGACTGAGCTTCTGCTAGCTTGAGCTTCAACTCGCCTTCATGCTGATAATCGTGAATCAGCTTGCGAAGGTACTCATAGCTGAGCATGGTCGTCATAGCGGACGGAACGGCCCGGAACAAGTTGGTACCAATCCCGGAATAGAATGCACGCCAACCTTCCTCCCGGAGGATGGTCTGACATGTGCGGATGACTCCACTGTAACGGGGACGATTGGGCATTCCGTCAGAAGAAGACACACTGGGTGGTCGGCCGCGATCATGAGGGTGTTTAAGGCCACCTCTGAAGGAGATTTCTTCGGGTGATGGCGCAGGTGCTGTGCGTTGCTGTGTTTGTAGTCGTGTTCGTAGAACTTCGTGGGGATAGGTGACGGTGCTCGCGCAGATCTTGCTCAAAAAAGTGGCGACGGAAATGCCGATCCAGTGAGAGTTGCCGGTATCAGGATGTTCTCCGATCCCGTAGCCAGTAATTGCCATCTTCAGATATTCATAGAGAGGGAATTGAATAGCGACGTGGGTCAATCCCAAAAGAGCGGGTGTGAGACCGGAATAGAATGAACGAATGCCCTCAATTTGGTACATCTTGCGGGCAGCATCCCATGTGCTGGAGTACTGCCATGGGGCTCGGACACCTTCACTATTTTGCTTGAGGCTTTGCGACATGAGCCTGGTCTTGATGACCCAGATGGGGTTGGTGACAATCGTTGAGCAGGCTCCGGCAGCGATGGAGGCATAAGCGCGGGATAGCAGCCAGCTGTCTGTAAAATGAGTTAGCACTCTGTAATTGTCATCACGACGTAGAGCTCGAGACATCACGAACCGGTGTGTTCATAGAAGTATTCGCGGGAACGGTCATACACCGCTAGATAAACCGCCCATGTGGGAAGATAGCCCAACAACATGGGGCCGAGTCCCTGATACAGCCCTCGAATACCATCCTCACGGAAGATCGTTTTACCTGTACCTAGCATTCCCCGATACAGGATCTTTGTCTCCATATCCTGCGCTCCCCGCCGGGTAAAGCCACCTTGGGCCTGTAACTTGGTCTTGATGACATCGAGTGGGCAGGTGACAATTCCCGAGGCAACGCCAGCGCTGGCTCCACAAAATGGAGCAATGTACCAGCTGGGGATCTTGGTCGAGAGAATCTGTAGGCGAGTGGTGAAATCGGAAGTCGGCGGCGCATCGGCGACGGGCACGTGGGAAACGGACGGGGCAGCGTTTAGATGAAAACTTTGAGGCTGCTCGGTGGTGGTACTGGCAGCTCCATTGCTGCCATTGCCGTCGGAGCGCATTGTTGGGTTGGCAGGCGCTCACGCTTGTCTGTCCGTCTTGATCACCGGGGGCTCCGGGACCCGAGCATATCGCGATCCGGAACCCAAGAACCCGATTTCAAATACTGGAAAAGTGGAAAGCGAAGGGTAGGGATGGGCCGTCGAGGTAGATGAGTTGAAGAGAAGTGGCTGAGAAAGAAGAGGTTGGAGTGAGGGGACTTTTCTCAAAGCCGATTGTTGCCGAACCCGTCTGAGTTGAATGCGATGGAGATGTGCTATAACTGTGCAGCACGGACTGCGGACGGAGCGGGGGGTCGTTTTCCGAACGAGCAAGCTCCGCTGTCAGGGCACAAGGATCAAATAGCGTCTTCAAAACCACCAAGCCCCATATTCCAAAATCCAAAGGAGGGTTCGGAAGGAGGAAGACGGGTGGAAATGAGGTTCGTTTATGACATGGGGAAATATCGGGAGTGGTGCGAGGTGGAGTAGCGATTATCATTCCTCCTTACGGCCTGAGGCAGGCCTTCACAACCATCACGTGTGCATGAGGAGACCCATGCCTCAGGCATGCAGGCATCTACATTCCGCTTTGGGACTAGCGCGACAAGCTCCGTTTTGCACAACCTCGCAACATCGGGTCATCTCGTGTTCAGCCGGACCGCCCTTTCCTCCTCCTCCCCCGATCAGAACTTCCTCTTGTCAATCGGACACCCGGGTTTTCAAAATGTCTGCCCCTTCGATCGCCAACTACGTCGTCAAGCGCCCATGGCTCAAGCGCTGGATGACCCCCATCGCCCAGTGGTACACCGATGCCGCCGGCTACAGACGCCTCGGACTGAAGTAATTATCACCCTCCCCTCAATGCCGCCAATTCCTGTCTACCGCGAGCGATCAACGACCGCCTGTGTGTCTGCTTTGTGTGCGATTCCAAGACATTTCCTTGTCCAACTGTTGCCATTGGCGCCCTGTCGCATTCGCCCGCCGCGGTCACTCCGGAATTCTCCTATGGGTTACCACCTCCAATCACAGTCACTGACCCGGTCCCTATAGGATCGATGACCTGATCCCCGAGGAGAGCGAGACTGTCCAGAAGGCCATCAAGCGTCTGTCTTCCAAGGAGGCCTACGACCGTGTCTTCCGTATCCGCCGTGCTGTCCAGGTTCGATCCGCCCGACCTCCCCTCTCCCTCCCCAGTTTCCGGCCTTCAATCCGCTAATACATGCCTCAATTGCAGTGCTCCATCTCTCACACTCTCCTCCCCCCTCACGAGCAGACCAAGCCCGAGGAGGTGAGTTCTCCCTGTGTCAAATCGTCCTCCTCGCAATTATCCCCGTCCCAGCCAATCCCGTTGCGAGGATTTGTCACTTTGGACACTTGACGACGAACATGACCATACACCACTTAAGCAACGTTGTACTGATCAGATTGAACTTTTTAGGACGTCGAGTACCTGAGCCCCATCATCCGCGAGATCGAGAAGGAGGCCAAGGAACGTGAGGACCTCGACAACCTCGTCGTCCGCAAGTAAACGCTTCGGTGCGTGACTTGCAATTGACTTCGCAAAACTATAAGATTTTCAAGGCCAAAGGGCTGTCTGCATGAAATAGACGTCGGGTTTTATTTGGCGATGGATGCGCACCTGCCGTTGATGGGGGTGTCTGGTTAATCCAATGCGTGTGTACTGATACTGTACAAATCGATTCTTCTTTGTTCAACCAATATCTAATACGGCCAACTCACGTATGACTGGCCATCGTGTAATCTGCGCTTGTTGAGGTTCTGTGATGTTGTGACGGCACTATTGCTGTACTCGAATACTACATCCAGCACAGACCGTTCGCTACAACAGTGAGATAGGATGTCCCCCTGTGCGTTACCAGAGGCACCTCGAGAGTTTCATCTGAGCTGTCATTTACATTGCCCATAGATACATTATGTTGCATTCATCCTTATTGACTGCTTTCCACTGGTTCCAGCCACGTCTCATGAGATAATAGGGTAGCCAGAGCAGATATACACTTGTTCATCCAGTGAGAACGGCTATATCAACATTCTCAACCCGCCACATATACCACATAAAAAGACTCCTGTAGATCCACAGTCAGTCAGAATCCTCGGACGAAAGAAACAATCAACATTGACCATACCTATACGGCGCGAACTTGGCAGCCAACTCTAGCATGTCCTTCTCCGACATATATTTGAACTTACCACCCCCTTTCCCCTTTAATTTACTTACATCACGACCAACAAACGCCGCACAGCCTCGCCTAGTAAATGTCAGCATCACGCCAGACTCGCACCACGGCTATCCCGCCTAATACGGAGCTATAGGCCCCGAGCAAAGCAAGAAGGAAAACACTTACTGCACACCCAAATCCCCCGTAGAAAAAACATCAGTCCGCTTCAGCGCAAAACAGGCGAACATTTCAACAGACCACTTCCCCAACCCCCTCACCGCCGTAAGTTTCTCCACGAGTTCCTCATCACTAGCCCTCGCCAACATCTGCGCACTCAACTCCCCACTGGCAAACTTCTCCGCCAACCCCTGGATATACTCGGCCTTTCTTTGCGAAAGACCCGCCGTCCGCAACGTCGGTAAATCACACCTCGCAACCTCCTGCGGAGTTGGGAACCGCAAATGCGATCCCTCAGCGGCAGCAGCTGGCAAGTCGAACAGACCCAGAAACTTATTCCGGATAGACTTTGCCGCTGCGCCGGAAACTTGTTGTCCGATAATACTGCTGACAAGACTATTGAAGGGATCGATTTGTTCTGCCAGTCCAGTGGGCGAGAATAACGGGCAGGGATGTTGCTCGATGACAGGTGCGAGACGGGGATCCATTGCGATGAGGTGGGCGATTGCTTTTTCGAGGAGTGTCCCCGTTGTAGCGGTTGGTCGGGGCAGACCTGTCTTTGAGGGCGAGGCATCTTCCAGGTTCACTGGGTAGGCGTTTACTGAGGAGCCGTGGGGGGTGAGGAGGATTGCGTTTGTGCGATGAGGATCGACGGGGCGGTTGAGGGGGGGAGGTGTGAGGGGTCTGTTGACTGTGGTGGTGTGGCTTTCGTCTGCATTTTGTATTGGTGGTTGTGCTGGTCCGGGTTCTGGAGACCAGTATGAAGATGTGGATGTAGAGGTGGTTGTGCTCTTTGCTGGGCCTGTCTTCTTGGTCTTGGAAATCTTGCGAGGTTTGGCGACTCCGCTATGTTGGACTCGGGGTACACTCGGGACTGGGGTTGGCAGGAGGGGTTTCACGGTTGGGAGGACGCGCAGTCGTGCGGAGCGTCTTAAAGACATGATTAGTGTTGAATCTGTTGTAGTCTTGTAATATGAATCCCTCGGGATATATGTTCGGGGAGGGTTGTATGTACTCGTGTCCAGGCATGCGGAGTAATCTCCTTGGCGGCTCTGCGGAGTCAGAGCGGGCCCTGACCCTGACTTCTCCAGGCAATACTAAGCTTGGCAGTTCTAGACCTCGCCAGCATAACGGCATAACGGCATCTCGAGGCTTGACCATGAACTGTGAGACCGGGCTTTAAAGATCAATTGCAGTAAAAAGCATATCTTGTTATGCACCTGCGATTGAAAACAAGTAACTGCCCTTGATACCTCCGTGGCTATATATAACCCCTTCCTCGGGCCATGCAAATACGGACGAGCTGCAGCATAGATTGGATATGTCCATGGCTTGTCTCATTCTGGGTAGATGATAGTTAACTTACCCCGTAACTAATGCTAGTTACATAGAATCACATAGAATCGATTGGTATGGAGTTATAGATGGACGGCTCGTTTGTGTATTACGTTACAAATTGGCTGTTTTTCGATGTCTTGAAATGCAGAGCTGTCATCATCCAATTACTCAAGCCTATGTTCTCGAAATCCGGTATCTCTAACTTCCAATAGTTACCACTGAACCTCCCCCCCCCCCCCGGGGTGCCGAGTCTACCAACATGCAAAGAGGTGGGAGGGCACGTGATTTTGTGCAGTTTTCGTTCGAGTTTCCATTCACATCCGCACTCTCCTGCCACCAGTCATGAGAGGAATTGAAGATAAAAGAGTTGATGTGATCAAATGACTGTTCTGATTCGAGTGGTACCAAAAATATTGTCCTACAAGAGTCGTGGCTCGGGTGGTTAGCGTCTTGATTGACCACCACGTGACCATTGTCGAGGTTTTTCGTCTGAGTTTCTATTAGCCGAGGCCGTTTCGCCTTCCCTGCCACCGGTTGTGAATATTTAAAAAGATGAAAACGGATTTGGAATCGGGTGTGGCGCTTTCCAACGGTCCCAAAATTATGTCTGCGACCGGCATTTGGCCCGTTAGGAATGGTCATTTTCCCGATCGCACCCCATCTATAAACTCATTCGATCCCAAGGGGGACGTCCGTGGTTCACCACCTTCCGCCACATTCCCCGAGGGCTAGAGGCCTAGAGATTTGAGGGAATCGCGATCCCACATCGGCTTACCAATATATCGAAATTTGACGTCGACACGACCGGTCGCAAGGGAACTTCGACGATCTACCACCATCACGCTGGCAAGGGTGTACCGCTATATCCATCCGTACGATAAGGGTTGATCGTCGACCCCGATACCGCTTGTTACCCGGCGGTACCCGAGAGTAGCGTGCTCTCTTATAACACACATAGGATATATATCAATAAGACATTGGCCCTATTCAGTATATCGAGCTATACTTCTAGACGTAAAGAACAGGAAGGTCTAAAACTCTAAATGAACTAGGCCCATGGTCTCCATAGCGAGGTAAAGGTTTTAGGATAGCCACAGGTTCTAGACTCTTTAGGTTTCGTCATCGACCATACCACCCTGCCTTAGCCCTAGTGACAGAGGAAATTCTTGCCCAGCACTGACCTTGTAAATCACGCTTTTACAACCTGATTTTGATCTAACTTTACGTATTACAATATGTACAGTGACAGATAGAGGTTACAGTAGCATTTCGCTTCCATTCATCACAAGTCAGAAGTCGTACCATGCTATATAACTTACTATCAAGATTAATTTAAATAGAACCAACTCGACCGTTTTTCCCCTCTTCCTTGCACATCGAGTATCTCAGCCCTCTTGCTCTTTTCACCATGGTAACCGTTTCGGATCTCGACGCTATCAAGCATCTGGTGTCATATGCTGAGAAAGCATACAAGAATGACGACGGCACTGAATTTCAAATGGCCTCAGCGGACCTGACTGGAGAACCTTCCACTTGCCGAATGCTTCAAATAATAACTCCTGTGGGGAAAAGCACTCAACCTGGCCTTGTCTCTAAAATAACCTCTAACACGTGCCTGCACTTGGGTATCCGCAATGGCGACACTCTAGTTCTTGCGTTCAGAGGAACCGACTTGCCAATGAACTTAAACGACGTTCCAAATCCAGAGCGATGGAGAGGGTTCTGGAGTAACTGCTACACAGATATCTGCTACAGCTTAACAGCCCTTGATTTTGCACATGCAGACCGCAATCCCAATCAAACCAACATTCCGGACCTTGCAGATGTGCTTGTCCACGAAGGCTTCTTACTAGCCTTCAACAGCTTGCTGGATGATGGCAGGCTGCTACGTTGCATGAGTCACCTTCAGGAGAGCATTAAGGGTAACCAACTTAAAAACATCGAAATATGTGGCCACAGTCTCGGCGGAGCATTGGCGACGTTATGTGCCTTGTGGTGCAGTCTACGTTTTCCATCTGCCAAGATTACCTGCGTTACCTTGGGCTCACCTAGAGTTGGAAATGAAAATTTCCGCGCAGTGTTTGAGAGTCGCGGAATTGACTGTTATCGACTTGTGAATGCTTCCGACCCAATACCAACGATACCCGATAGATATACCGAGCTCATTCCTCTACGGATCAGTCCCAATAATCCGAAGTCGCACATCAGGCAGAGGTCTTACCAGCACACTGGCAAAGCAGTCTGGCTACACGTTGGCCAAGAAATAGTCCTCGAGCAAGATCCGTACAGCATGTTTACGACTAAGGATTCGCCTGAGATACAGCGCGAAGAAGATGGAGAAGAGGGCGGGGAGCTTGCTTCGCTCCGCAGGTGGGGAGTACTCTCTTGGCGATGGGCTCCATATTGGACATGGAGGGTTTGGCGAATCCTTAGGAATCTCCCGGACCACCATCCTACTAGGTACGTCATGGCGGTGGGGAAAATACTGAACGCTTCCAGGTAGGGCTCCCACACTTAAATTCGAAATAGTCTGCTAATGTATAAAGGCATCGTCAGTAGTCAGCACTACATTAAGCCTAAATAAAACACCACAATGCGCCGCCCGGCACCACATTGCTGAGCACGCTGAAGTCTTTTATCGTAAAATATTTTAACATTTTCTTTAAAAAGCTACCTCTGGGCGCGAAGCAGATAAGGGTACATGTAGGTGGTCGCAGAATCATAAGCGGTGTTACGGTTCGTTCCCGGCCTACTCGACTAAAGGGTGCGTGGACGCTTCCAAATTGCCTTAAATTTCTGCGAATATTAATGATCGCAAGCTTGCTGCATTGAGCTTCTTCAGCCATCTGAGACGTGGTCAGCGACTAGCTCTCTATCATATCACGGATGAGATGGAGCTTTAAGACAGGGAGCCTTAGAGCCATGATGTGTAAAGGTGATGACACTCAAAAGGTTACGAGTGAGGAAGCGTGGTTGTTGCCTCGGTAGGGGAGGTGCTCAATAATCTCGACTAATTATATACTGTGAGATATAGGGCAAGATCCTATTCAAAAGAAGGCTCTCAGAAGCAGTACGGTGTCTGCTCAATTGATCAATAAGTTTACAATACATTAGACAATGGCTTTGTATACTATGCTCCATGGGCGGGGGCATACCGGCATCTACCACCACCAGGCAAGTATTCACTGACTCTGTTGGTTAAGCGTTTGATATCCCTCTAGCCTACTTGCCAGGCCTATAAGTACCTTCCATCTCCCTTTCTCCCTCTGCTTCCCTGCTTCTCCTCACATTCCACCATGATATTTATCATCGCGATGCTCACGATGGACCTTACTATATACTTCATTTGCATACCGCCAAGATGCCTTTCTGACCGGAGATATGCTCTCTCTACGTCTATACTCAGAGTACACAATACACCCGGCCAGCTCTAAACGAGAGGAGGACGTGAAGGGTCGTCACAAAGCTGCCAAGGACCTGGTGACCTCTCGTTTCTCTTATTCCTGCCTTCAACGCTTCGCCAAGTCCTTGGAGTTGACCACGTACTAACTCTGGTCTTGGCCTCTCTTGCGTTACTTGATATGGTCTGCACGAATGTACGAGAGCGAAATGAGCGCTTTTTGTTCGGCTTCGGATGACCTTAAGGGCGCAAACTTGGTCCCGCTGCCGTCACTTCTTCACTTCCCTTTCTTGTAAGGATCCATTTTCGCATCATTTTCATGAAGCCCCCCCGCTAACCTTTAACTCAGATATGTTAGACTGCTGCGGCTGTCGCGAGAGCTTCAAATCAACGACTTGCATAACCCTTCCTTCTTTACTACGATATTTACACTCGGCCATCTCGTCTTCAGGATCCTCTCTAGTACCAAATGCTGGACACGTGAATCCAACAGGATCCGCACCATACTTCGTAGATTCTTCTTGACACGACTCTCCCTCAGCTACCTCATTTGGACTATATTTATACCCCTGGGAATTCTGAGCTGGACCATCCTGATAGCATCTCATTCGTGATACATGATGGCCTTCTTGCTCATTCCCGTGGGAGCATGCGGTGCAATTTCATTCCACTGCGAACCTTCTGCCCCGGTCTAGTGGAGAAGAAACCAACGTCAATTTCAGTATCTCTTCCAGCAACACTAACCACGGTGCAACGTCAAACACACCGTGCTTGGCGCCCTCGTCACGAATGGCACAAGTGACAAATCCACTGCGTTGCACAACAATGTACCTACTCAGCGTAAGAGCCTGTTATCTTGCTCAACGGAAAATATGTGCGCAATGAGTCCTCAACTGTGGCTGCATGTTGTACGCGAACGAAGCAAGACGACAATTGCGTCTGCCATGAGTACTGGTTGGTGGAGTCCTTCAACCTTGCTCCGTTACTGACGCATTCCACAATGGCTACGCAAGCTGGAAATTGAGATCCCTCCGCTTTCCACGTGCAGATTTGAAATCTTCCACAGGTTCATCTTCTTCCTGCAAAACCTGTTTGACTAGTTTGCATGGTAGATAGCCTAGTTAGATCTCTTCCCCATCTTCCCAACTTAGCTCCTTACACATCTCGCCATCTCTTTTCTACTATGTACTATTCCTACTTCGTACAGGTTATGAAGCCCTTTGCGCAACAGTAAGCTGCCCTGACAGATGCTTACTGCCGTGCGCCCTCTCGCTGTAGCCCTCGCGGGCTTGCAGCTGCTCGAATCTTCGAATCTCGCTGCCCTTCACAGGGTAATTCCCATACAATCCTCCACTCGACGGTGGATTTCCAAGCCGGACCAAGGCTCTTCGCGCCGCAGTGTGCCAGATCGTGGCTCTCTACGCTGAGCGCGATCACTCTGCTGCTTCTCGCTACGAAGCTCTCTCTACGAAGGTGTCCCTCGTCAGCGGAACCTTCCCTTTTGATACGATCTTCTCCCTTTACACTCGAAGCCCCTCTGCACTGGGGAACATTCCGCCGAAGCTCAACAGCTTGAGCACGGCATCCCATCCCCTTCTTTGGCGGGCAACATGGGGGCAACAGGAGAGTGCCACTAGGAAATGGTGAGATTCTCATTGGCATGGGCCCTGACCTAAACATTGCGTCTAACGATGCCAGCGGTTGGATCTCCTTGAGCCTATCGCTGCAAACACACTGCATGCATGCTGTAGCATCTACTATGCCTGGGCTTGGAGCAGTTACAGAGATCGGCAAACCTCAGGCACTGTAGAATTGCACCACTGCTGTACCTGCATATAGCCGGAATGAGCATATAAGATGGCAGATCGGCCCTCCTGTGCCATTGATTGGGATGCTTCTTGCTTGATGCAAAAGCAGAGACATACTCGTCGTTCTTCGAGTCCTTCTCGGCAAGGTGTGCATCTACTGATGATAATTCTTCCAATGAGGGAAGCAGAAAGAGACGAGCACCTTCAATCTGTCAGCGTCAGAGTCGGAAGACCTCAGTACTTGGAAATAAAAAGGAATATGATGACGATTTAAGACTTTCACGGTGACAAAGTTCTACATGGAACCATCTAAACTTATGATGTGAACAATCTCCACCTCGATAAGATCATATTGTCATGTATTGGCTCGCCCAAGTCCACTCTATACAAAAGTAGACCCCTGGAACGGGATATACCTCGCAGACTGATGATTATACGCGGAAGTCGTATTATAATTCCACCAAAAAGACAGATACTGCGGCTGGGTGCTATTAATCTTGCACTCCGACACAAAATCGGGAAGCATCTTGTTGACCATGTCAGTGTAGTTGGCCAGCGAGCATGAGAAGCCAGGTCCCCCTGGCAAGAGTTGTATGGAACCACAGCCTCGTTCAGTACAACTCGTACGTAGAGTCCCTTCTCGGTAGCTGCTGTGGCATTGCAGCTCAGTCTTTCGAGGGTAAGATGCCCACCCATTGGCATGATGTTCCCGATCTCGTATGATGACGGGAAGGGGATTCTGTCGAGAGGGAGATCTTCATCAGGTGATGAGATACCTAGCGCTGCTAGGATGGGAGTGATGTTTGTGTCATGGGCACTGTCATATGTATCAATAAGTTGAAGCCATCATGGCACAGAGATGAAATTCCTCACAAGTTGAAATACATGGTGCCAGCTTTCTCGGGTCCTTGATTCAACAAGGTCAACGACGCATTGGCGTATACAGCCCCCACGGCTTTAGCATATGGATCACCAGGTCTGTAAAGCGATAAGTTAGATTTTAGTTCTCAACTGAAGGCAGGAATCGAAAGTCGGAAACTCACCCAGCACAGTAATAGAACTGTAGATCCTGGGTATACCCGAACCATTTCCACTCGTCCATGGTAAAAGCATCGGTCCAATCAGAGTATCCGCGCACATTGAGCTCAAAAACTGACATAACTGTGAAGCGTCAGTATTAGCAAAGTGGGCTATCAACGAGGTCATTCTCGTGGCATACACATCAACTGGAAGACATCCGTCGAATTAAGATCAAGTCCGGGATTCTGCTTGTTGAGGCGATCGGCAGCAACGCGGAATGCAGGCAAGTCTGCACTGAGACTCTTGCATTTCTCGGGTAGGTTGTCTCCTGGGCAGACGGGCGTGAGGCTATTGGCGCCCATATCCTCGCTCTCAGAAATGACATTCAAGGCGACAGAGTCGGTATAGTTCCATCCAAAGAAGCCCTCACCTGGGGTTTGAAGAAGCATGAAATCAGAGAGAGCCGTCATCTGAAAGACAAGTAGTTTTTACATACCAAACTTGCGAGCAGTCTGCACAACCCGCTCAAACTCACTGGTCCACATTGGAACAGTCTTATTTGAATTTTGATCCCACAGATGACCATACCGCACGCGATACTCAGCACCGTGCTTGTAACTCGTTAATAGCCCGTTATAAGGACCAGACTCAGTCTCCAGCCCGTAGAGGCCTTCACTATCCACAAAGTACTCCCACGAATTCAAGAACGTAAGATCACCCTTCCATTCTGTGATCTTAGAGCTGTAGAGTTTATCAAGCGCAGCCTCGATCTTCACCCCATCGCTGCCCTGGGGGTACCGCTCACCATGACGCCTGATCATGATGACTTGATCAACAGCGCAGCCATCGGGAGGGTCTCGATCAATACCGTATGACATGCGGTTGCTATAGGGTCCTAAGCCTCCGACATGTTTCAAGATCGAGTAGCCCTCCAAAAAAGACTGGTCATACGGCGCAGCGAAGGTGAAGCGGCTCGCAAAGTCGGGCCTATTGCTGTAAGAGGCAGAGGCGATAGCTGCCACACCGAGTAGCCCACACAGCTGTCCGCCAGGACCCATTTCGAAGACTAGAAAGCTTGGAATGAAAAGGCGCGTGGGCAAAATGGATGAACAGATCAACAATCAATGCGGTCGCATTCCAGGAACGAGTCCAGTGATACTGACGCAAGGGTAGACAGTGATGGGAAATTCCATCCCCTGGGCACGCGACCTCATGCCTTTATAGGCCTTGTACAGTAGCAGGATTTCTGCAAATAATCCCCACTTCCCCGCTTCACAAATTGTAACGTCAGGCCACTAGGTACAGCCAGATCATCGCATCTAATCTAAGGAATTGATCAAAAGCGACGATTGGGCGGTTACCCGAGGGATCAGCTTCTCGAATTGCTTGAACAAGGGTTCTAGTGTGATTTGTTGGGATACTGGAGTGGCTGGATATTGCTTCCCCGCACGTAGCGAATTGACCAGCATAAGAAGAAACAAGAACGGGCCGTAGGGCGGATGGATACGAACGATCAAGGTTACCGATGTTTTGCCGACGTTCAGCCATGCCGGGGTATCCGAAGGGTGCCTCGGAACCAAATACTCTCAGGTATACGGGCACTGCTGTAGATGCCCAATGTTTGGTGGAGGGAACGGGGGTCACTCAAGCGAGATGAAGAGTCCCTTCTTTGTACATGCCGAGGCTCTCACTTAACTTGAAGTTAATGCGGGCACAAATGAGCTGGCAAAGTCAAAGTCTTTGTGTTCGAAGGTTGGTGCTATTTGAGTTTAGTGCGATATATTATGACTATGAGGAAGTTAAGAATCTGGAATATTCCATAGCGAGCGGAAATCCCGGTTAATCTATTGCAGGAGCTGAATTAGATTAGTTCAGAATCTCCTAAACATCATAGTCTCTGTATTATCACCACATACGGTCCTTTGGCAGCTTAAGGAATGTGCTATTTTCAACGAAGAAAATACAAAAGTTCTAGACATCACACAGTTGGCTGCTACCATAGGCATCAACAGCAGGCATCGAGCATCCTAGACACATTCAGGCTTTCGAATGGCTTGCCCTGTTGATAGATTCGGAAAGCGGTCGAGCACAAAGTGTCTTATGTATGAGCTTGCTAAGCCTTCTCACAAGACGAATTGGTACAATGGCAGATAAGGATGGGAGTTCTGAGTTTGGTTAACGATATTCAGGGTATTTCCATGATGCGTTCTAGCTGATAAAAGAGCACTGCTCAGTGTCAGTGTCACGGGCCAGTGTCCGATATTGGCGACGTATGTCACGATTGGCTTCTTGACACGGAGAACAGGCACAGAGAGCTCCCCGTCTGAAACTTTTTGTACAAAGTTTGTGGACTAGTAAGATCAAATTCAAATCTTGCTTCAGCTCTTCACAGGTAGTATCGTATACGCAAGCCGAATTGGAATTGCTTACAATCGCGGTAAGAAATCTAACGAGCACCTAGATAGGAAATGAATGGGACAAAATTACCTCTCCAGGGCGTCAATTGCACATCAAATTCAATTCCCAAGCAACATGCTAATGCCAAGTCACTGACCTGAAAACCAGAGCCATTCACTGCAAGATCCAGAAACGGTGTACCAGATAGGCGCACCATTCTGTGCCTGCAATTCAACCTGATCCAACCAATGTCAATAAATGGTGTCCATCGCGATTGGCTCATATCTACTCCGCTATCTACTCGTACCAAGGTTCCGTACTCAACAACGCGAGATACAATCGGATCCACGGTAGCCCACAAAACCTAGCGCGAGAACCAAACGCCTACCCACTACAGTAAAGTCGATTCAACTCGAGAACAAAGAGACGAGGTTGCGGCCAATTCTTCCGATCTTATTCCATGGAAATATCCCTACAATCAAGTCAGTAGTGTGCATGTGCATGTTCAGTATATATGGGAGAATCAAGCTCTGCCAACGCTAGGCGAGCTTGCGTCAGCGGCCTACGCCAAGTCAACAGCTCGTCGGCATTGACCAAGTTCCCCGAGAGAAAAATTCAGCTCCGAGTGGGGGTGGAAAGGGAATCTTCCAAGGCATGTCTTTGTTGATCCGCCAGTCACAGGGAGGCATCATATTCGTAACTGGGGAATTGAATTGCGGCTGGGTAGATCCTTGGAGGGACGTTGTGCATCCACCGAGTTCAAGTTTGAACCGAAGTACAAAGTGCCAGACACAAATGCGCGGTTCTTGCTCGTGCGACACAGGACAAACCTTGAAAGGAGAGGATTCGCAATCATGGCTTGACTAACTTGGTTTGAAAAAGCTTCGCATCAACTCTCATCCTGGAGCCTAACCGGAATAAGGAGTCTATCGAGACCATTCCAAAGTCCAAGCCCATTCAATCCCTAGAGCAAATTACATGTAAATCCCTCTCATACAACGACAATCACCTTCATACTGCACTGTCGTAGGATCTCCAACCCTCACACAACAACATCCAAAAGTCCGGACAAGGTCTCGTGTCCCTAAGAATGCTCCCAGCCTCCTCCCTCCCTTGACAGTACGTTCCCGATTCCTAGCCCTGTCATCCCCCAAACATCCCACGCATTCCTACCGACGAAAAAAGAACGGGCCGACCGAGGGAATCTCTGAAATGTTCGTCAAATGCCATGCGGTGGCTAGTCTTCACGATCGCAAGTTTACAGCTCTGTAACGACTCTAACGAGAGCTCTCTGAAGCTCGCCGAGGCTAGCCTGGAACTAGGCTTTTGCAGGCCGCGCGGTACCCATATTGACCCATATTTGTGGCGTTCAAAGCAGCAGGGCATGACGGGGGCAATACATACGTAGCTTGTGGCCAAGTTCTGGGGAGCATCTTCGTCGACATTGCCGTTTCGAAAGGGGTATAATCCTATTATTTTGCAGGAGCCACGGTGCTCGATGATGATGTGGCAATTAGCAGTACAGTAGTTGGTTTGAAATCATTCTTATAACTTACAGTATCTACCGATGACTTTTCGGCTGCTCTTCCAAGCTGCACAAGCGACCAGTGGAGACTGGAGTTGGCTATGGACTGACAGAGTGGAGAGATGCGCCAGGCCCAAGACCAGCAAAGCGGAGCAAGTCGGGCTCCGCCCAGCGATCTGAAACAAATTTACCGTTAGTTACAGTACAAGCTAGATTTACACGATTACATACCAATATCGTTTTTCTCCAGGGGTAATTTTGGAATCGCGCGATGTGACCACAACCCCAGCCAGACCTTGAACATGGCCAATTGAAATATATCGGGGGAAGAGTAGCAACGAGAGCGCAGTAATCACAATAAGCATCGTGGAGTAGTATGTCTTACTGACAAGCACCGTTCATCGGTCACAAAACCGTAGAGACCAGGGACAATCTAATTGCAGGTCGAGCGACCGGGAGAACTTATAACAGAGGAGACGTAATGTACAAGTACCTGGATTAGCGTCGGCGAAGTTCTAGATGAACTATCGTCGCAATTATTCAAGTGACAGGAGCCTCCGGCGGATCTGAGCTCATTTAATAGTCGCGACTTGCCGGGATTTGAGTGTCAACGATACGACCCAGAGTCAACGTATGATTCATGATTCGATACAGTCCGGTCAGGAGTGCAATGGGGCCATCACAGCAAAGCAAAACAAGTGTTCGCAGCTGGCAGCATAAACATGTATATTACATTACTACAGTTCAAATTCTGTACTCTGTCGCTGGCACTGCCTACGTATTAAGCGCAGCTCGACGATCGCATTTTGCCACTTCACACTATCACTACGATCACCCGTGCAGCGGAAGACTAGTTCGCGATAGCGTCTAGTCGTTGCGTTGCTCAGGGGATACTGTAGGAATACACAGGAGAGAGCCACACCCCATTCTCATCGCACTCGCCACATCATCACTCTAATACAGTACGCTATTTCTGTACCTGACAGTAGCGACATGTACTCAAGTGTACCTAACTCAAACGTCTCAAACGTAGTAACTAGTCAGTCCGTGGATGACTCGTCACGCCTCAGATAAAACGATAACATGACGGCACACCGCGAGGATTGACCCTTAATCCAGGGAGAATCATTCCAGCGTGCCAATCAGAGGCCGGGCATACCGGGGCCCGTCGACGATAGCGGCAGGGAGGGGGCGGCGAGCGGGGTCCGTGAAAAGGCTTGAATTCCTGCAAATTTAGATCGGCCAGCCACGCGTAGAGTGCAGTGACCTGGGAATTGATCCTGTTTTGGAGGGCATGCGACCGGTGAGTTGGGAGGTGATTGGGGCTGGAAGAGGGAGAGAGCGGGTTTTTGATCGGCTTTTTTATTGAAGATGTGAGGTAGTTCAGACTTTAGATACCGGTCTTCTAGTGTTGTCTGTGGAAATAGTGTTGATCAGGGGGTATCAGCATTATCATGATTATTATATACTCGGTTTTGTCGTTGAGAATATAGTCTTAATCATCATGTCGAAGTTGGGGGTATGGATGACGACAGCTGGTTGATAGGGACGCGAAATGATACGTAGATGGGGCCGTTGTTGAAGAATTGTCTGGGCAACTTGACTCGTAGCACAGACTGTAGTACAGTACACTGCGTACAGTAGTGTATTGTGTGCATACACAATTGCACTAATGATGTATGATGTATTGTGATATGTACATAGACACTGCGGTGGGAAAGTATTGCGAGAACAAGGCCATTGTATCGTCAATTCCAAGGAAGAAGCATTTGGATCGAGGACAATCGCTGAATGATTGGCTGTGATTCACTAAATCCGAAGTTTATGCGCGGTACCGTGGTTGATATGGGGAGAGCAGTTCTGGTAGTGTTGTCCAAGCTACCGATGCATACTTGGATAATTTGTAGCAATTGTCTGCAACAACATACATATATACGGCTGGCCTCATTCAGATTCAATTATTATGAGTTACACCATCACACAGTAGTCCGTACGAATGCCAATTAAAGCTTAACTGACACTGAGAACAGCGAGTTCTAGAATGCCATGTAATAAAAGATGTCCATGCTGCTCGCAGGTTAATTAGATCAATGACGAGTATAGTCAAGTAAAGTTCTCGCTCGAGGGCCAAAATTAATTCTCCAAGCAAGCCCTCCAATCAGAAATTTTTCATCACCGGGGAAAGGAGCCACGGAAAGACATCAGCAGTGAGCAACACGTGTGGAAGGAAATGATACCAGTTGAAGAGTGGCTCCACTTGGGAAAGACCAAAGACACCAAATAGCGAAAGGGGGGCAGCGCACGGGCGAATCGGTGCTGGGGACGGCGTTACGGAAACAGCACTAAACAGAGCCAAAAGCAGGAATTGGGGGTGGACTTGGTTGGTTTACAGGGCCATACCTGCCAGAGACAATCCAGGTCCTGGGCGGATACCCGTTGGATACCCGTTGGATACCATGGATTACCATAAATTACCGTAAAGTACCAGTCAGGTACACGCCTCTCCTCCTCGTAGCGCCGGATTCGGTACTCTGTGTTGATGAACCGTCTGCCCCTTGTACTTCCCTTTCGCAATGGCGTAATTTATATTTATTTATACACTGCCCAGACCCGAAATCCCACACCAAAACCAAAACCAAACCAAACAGCCCCATTCAACGGGGTCTCCACTGCAGGCCTCCTTTCCCAAACTCCCACTTCTTATTATTATTCCCTTCTTCTCTCTCTCCTCCCGCCCCATCCACCATCCACCCAGTCCATTCGTTCTTTCCCTCCTGCTTCTTGCCCTCCCCATCGCTGAGGTGCTCACTTTTTTTTTAATTCTTCCACTCGTTCTCCCCTTCCCTGATTTCTAATTTTCCATCCTCCATTGGTACGTGAACCCGTGCTCTGCCCTGCTCTTCCGACGCGACAAAACTCTTATCTGCCACCTCCTCGCCCCTGGACCCCATCCCAAAAAAAAAACCTCATAGAGCCTACGAAGCACAACTTCAATTAACCATCCACTCGCGCGTCAAACAGAATAAAAAAGATTCGCCATGTCGTTCGCCAAGTACATTCTGCCCGCGCTGGCTGCCAGCCAGATGGCTTTCGCCGCTACCTGTGAGTGATGAAAACCTTCCCAAGCTCCAGTGCCAAGGATATCGAATACGAATGGGAACAAGAAAACTGACCCCAATTTCTTCACAACGTTAACCAGGTGGTGACACTACTATCGACGCCCAGTCCGATGCCGATGGTATCGCCTCTTGCTCCAAGCTGAAGGGTGATATCACCATCTCCAAGTCCTTCTCCGGCTCCCTCTCCCTCGCCGGTATCGAGACCGTCACCGGTTCCATCATTTGCTCGGGTGGTGAGAACGTCACCGACATCACCGCGGCCTCCCTGACTTCCATTGGCGATGCTTTCAACCTGGAGGGTCTGACCCGCCTGACACAGCTTGCTTTCTCGGAGCTGACCTCCGTCGGCTCCATCAAGTGGAACGCTCTGCCCAAGCTCCAGTCCCTCAACTTTGACGCTGGTGTCAACCATGCTGGCGACGTCAGCATCCAGAACACTGGTCTGACCTCCCTGGACGGTATCTCCCTGAAGACTGTCAACCTGTTCGAGATTGAGAACAACCGTGATCTCCAGAAGATCAACATCAACAACCTGCAGAACGCCACCGACCTGATCAACTTCTCCGGTAACTACGATGCTCTCGAGATTGAGCTCCCCAACCTCGGCACCGGTACCAACATGACCTTCCGTAACATCTCCAGCATCTCCGTTCCCTCTCTGGAGAAGCTCACCGGTCAGCTGGGCTTCTGGGGTACCGAGTTCATGACTTTCTCTGCTCCCAACCTGACCTCCACCGGTGACCTCGTTTTCATGGACAACTCCAAGCTCTCCAACATCTCCATGCCCGTTCTGACCAAGGTTAACGGTGGATTCAACATTGCCCGTAACGACAAGCTGTCCACCATTGACCTGCCCAAACTGGAGACGGTTACTGGTGCCATTGACTTCAGCGGCATGTTCAACAAGTAAGTCTACATTACCTTGTCAATGATACTTTCTTTTCTCATGTGCTAACTCATTTTCTAGTGTTGACCTTGATGGTCTGACCGATGTCGAGGGTGGCTTCAACCTGCAGAGCACTGAGGGCACCTTCAACTGCACCCACTTCCAGAACATCCGCAAGACCGTTATCAAGGGTACTTTCCACTGTGACGCCAAGACCAACAACCCTACCACCTCCAACGGCAAGTCCGGCACTACCTCCAGCACTGGCAGCTCTACCTCTGCCACCAGCTCCGGTGCTGCTGTCGCCAACGGTGCCAGCATGGCCGTCGGTGGTGTTGCCGCCTTCTTCTACACCCTTGCTCAGCTCCTGTAAGGGAGTTTTGATCTGTGTGTTTTGAGAGGAGGAAAGCAGTGTTTTGTCTTCTTTTTTCTTGTCGGAAAGATTGTAGATGCAGAGTTTCCCACCAAGCAACGGTTTCCATTTTTCGTCCCTTACACTTGCCGTTTTTTCTCATGATAATAATTCCGTCTTCTTTGTGAGGAAAAAATTCGCAATCTTGAATTTTCTGTCCTCGGAAGACTGCCTCGTCCCCGTCTCATCGGAAAGGAGTTTCTCTTTGTTTCCTCTATTTATTACCCACCCCCCAGTCCGTCTCCTTCCTTGTCGAGATATGTTTTCTTATCCCCGAGCACGCTCGTGCGAATGTATTCGGTTTGCAGTTTGTATGGCCTGGATGCTTTTGTGTAGGTTTGTAGATTCGTAGGTTCGTAGATATGTTCGGAGTCGGTAGTACGTAAGTGCGGGCTTGGATCTAGTCTTTCCCTCGTATGATCAGATCTGTCCTGGTTTGTGTCGGGGATGTTCACTGATCTATGTGATGGTGGGCTTCGCCATTGTTTGTATTGTCTTTTGTTGATGGTATGGATATCCTCGTATATTATTCCTAACTATGTAGATTTGACCCCAGCTTGCTTATGCCTACTATACCTGGCTTACCTCCGTGTCTGAGGTTGAGGATGACGCTTGGGCGGTTTCGTCTTGAGATTCCCAAGTCCGCTCATTGTCGGCATTTTCGGGGTGGTTTCATGGGTCGTAACCTTAGTATGTCTTGCTCTCGGCACATGTTGACACGCTTTGGATGGAAGTGGTGATATATATTGCCGCGATGAGGCGGTAAAATACTACATTCCCGTAAATTTTAAAGGGTTTCGAATCGAAGCGATTATTTCTTTTTGTTGGCCTCATCATAACAGCTAGTGCTGAAGTCTCTTCGGTAGCATAATGGATATATAGTCACAGTGGAAGGGATCTACTCTCCAAGCCTACCAGTCCAGATAACCCATCCGCCTACTTACCTTCAAAGTAAACCTCACACTCGCAACAACGACATCAACAGAAAGCACAAGTACAGCTATCACACTTTCCAACCTGATATCGAAAAAGCCGAATGAAACGGGTAGTATCGCCCCGACGTAACTCTTACCACCGGCCACCATCCATCCCGTTTCCTTAGATTTCTGGGCTCACCCCCACCTGCACCTACAGAAGGAAGAGTAGGTATCCAATGGAGCGATCCGCCACATCTCACCGCACAGGTACAGACAGACACAGGTCCAGACACAGGTACAGGCACAGACACAGCTGAGGTCAAAAGCACCTCCAAGCAAAAAAAGCCACAGGTCCGATTCGTCGTATCCAGGTATTCGGGATCTTGACTTGACCTGGACAGGGGGCTAGGCACGGATCAAAGCCCGAGAGGAGAGGGTTGTATGTAGGTAGCTGTTACACTAAGCATGGCTTAGATTAGAAGGTGGATTTGATGAATGTGGACTGGAACTTCTTATGCAGATGGACTGTTTTGGAGGATTGGGTTGGGTTGAGTTGGGATGTGATGGGATGGTCAGGGGTGCGCTGCCGCGTGGGCTGGACCAGGTGTCTATCGCGTGGAAGGGTTACACAGGAAAGTCAAGCTCGTACTGTAGCTAGGATAACCATATCGGTAGAGGGAAAGAAAGATGACGGAATTTATCACTAACATTTGTCGAGTTTTGCTTTAATACCAGCGAGTTCCCAACTACACTCCCCGCCCTGACGAGCAAGAATAAACCAACCCTCTCTATCACATCACTCTGGTCTAGGCTAAGCCCTACACCATCACAAACAGTACACATGTAGACCCCGAGCACACTATCCCGAGACAAGACGCCCAATGAACAAGAAAAGGATAGACCCCGAACAAACGAGTAGCTACAAACACAAGTACCGGAAGTTAATCGCAAGCTAGTGTAGTGCGCGAAAAGTCTTTTCTATGCAGAGGTGGTGGAGTGGAGGCACAGAGGCACGGACGAGTTCGTCGGGCAGATGAACGCGAACGCCAGTAGATTTAAAGTGAGTGGGAAGGCAAAATCAGAGTTAGAGTTATAGTCAGAGTCAGGGTCAGAGTCAGATTTCGGAATCGGAGTTGGGTGCGCCTGTGGATGACGATGTGAGATGGGATGGGGACTCGATGTATCTCGGTGTCGGCGTTGGAGTTTGAGCAGGTAGGAAGGAAACTTTGGGAGAAGTTGCCAACCATAGAGATAGAGATAGAGATAGAGTGTGTTTGGATTGGGAAGATCGATGTGTGGATTACAGTAGAATACAGTAGTTAGTACTATAGTCGGTGCGATGATGGCGACGATACAGTTCTGTAGAAAGAACCAACTAACAACGATTAGGTGAGACCTACGAAGTACAGTGGGGAAGACCTTCGGCCGGGACTTACTGTAGTTACCACTACCGTAGATAGTTAGCGTAGTGAAAGAAAGTACCAGAACTACCATAAGAACAAGCTAAAAGAAAAGAAGGAGTCATGCGAGAAGAAAAGAAAAAAAAAGTCCGAAAAATCTCTGGATGTATAAACCTTCCCCGCTCCCGAATCTCTCAAAAGCGTTCATTTCGAGCCATGTGCGTCTCAGAATCGTTGTCTTGCAGCTACGAAATGAACATCGCGTGGCGCCGTTCGCTGTTTGAAACTTTATATAGAGCAACATAATTGGATGAGTGGGTGTGAGTAGATGTATCAAGTCGTGCTGAGACCGGGTGGGTTGGGACTTTGCGTCAGAAAGGGTTGAATGTTCCGATTCGGAGATCAGATGGGGGATGATGATCGGCGTGGGTGTGGTGTGTCTTAGTACGCACTTAAGCGCGACGGACGGAGTACTCTGTCTGCATCTTGGATTCTCTAGCTATGCTATTCAGATTTCGTAGAGCATGCCTGGTATGGAGATACAATTCTCGTAGTTGTGATTGCTGGTCGGGGGCATTTGTTCCTATTGTAGCATGGTGGGACCCGGGAGGGTGGTGATGTGGCTATGGCAAAGTTTGGATAAAGGCGCATAGGTTTCCTGCAGGACGATCCAATAAGAACCATCAAGTTGAGAATACGGTGGACGCGGTTTTTTTTTACTAAGTGGGCATTTGCGATCGTAGTGGCATCGACTCCATTGACGATCGATAGGTGGCGGAGCTTTGCGCAGGGAAGTGCAAGTGCAAAGTACGGAGATGTTTACTATCGATGCTTCAGGAGGGGAAGGAATTGAGGAGGCGAAATTTAAGACAAAGTACACTATGGCGATATCAGCATATTCCCGGATAGGGGGTGTTCGCGATCGCAATGATCTTATCTTGCATGTGGCATGTGCAAGAAGCAGGAACAGGCTGCGGAATGAAAAAGCGGAGGTCTTGCAGCGCGATGGGGGCTGATATTCGTGGGTGGGGAGCGAAAGCAGATCGGGCTTTTGGGCTTGGGATTGGGCTTGGGCTTGGCCCTGGAGGGATCGAGGGGTGGTCACCTTGCTTTGGCGGGCGGGGGCCTTAGTTCTAAGGAACCTGAGTGACAGCAGGCAGCGCATTTAGCTCAGTCAATCGAAGTTAACTTCACTAACTCGATCATCCTAGCGCGAACCAGATCCATCCAGCCCTTAGACAAGCGCATGGTCCCTTCCCTCCCCCCCCTCCCCGAGAACCCTCGTACGTGGCTCCCTGCACGAGTCAAAGTGCAAGGTCGAGGACGAACCTAGCACAAGGTTAGCGACAGATCAAACATGCGCTCATCCTCGGTTTACCTTTGCCGATAATGCTAGGACTGGATTGTTTCAATGGGACTCAACTCGAACATCCCCTATGATCATTCTCCAGTTCACTTGAATCCGATTTGTAGGGATGGTCTTCCCACGATAAAAAGTTCCAAAGCCCTATTGATTATTATTTCCCTCGACGAATCAAATTAATTCAGGACTGCCCAGATGATCTCGCATTCCCATTCATCGGCATAGCTGAGTTTCCTACCCTTATTCCCGGGCCACCACCCTTGTCCATCTAGGGCCCAGCCTCGTCTCCGGCGCGCGGGGAACCGATTAAACTTTCCACGGTACTTTGCCCTGTGAGCTGGGGGAAGTTGTTACTCTGCGGGTGATTGGCCGGGATTCTCGGGAGCGATAGTGATCGTCGTCTAGAGTAGTCAGTGCTAGAAGAACCCTCGATCGCGAGACTGATGGAAAGTTTGGTTCTTGAAAGTTAGGGCCGAGGTTGTTAGTTTGGACTGGGGGTGCCAAGAGGGGGTTGCCCGGCGGGGGTCTTGACAATCAGCAGCGATTTTGTGCATTGGAGCTCGAAAGAAGTGGATATGGGTGTGTGGTGGGGTTGTGAGGGCCATGAAACGTAGAATTCATATGTGAAATTTCTTTCTTGCAGTAGTTTGATTCTTGAGGGGATCAGGCTGGCACGAAACAATCTCACCCCCTTCATTTCTCCAGGAGATCCAGCGGGAAAGTATTGAAGTTTCTCGACCTCTCGTGGACAAAAAACACGATACGCAGGGGCAAGATGAAGTGGCAAGGGATAGAGCACAGCACAGCCCAGTGCCGCATGTACAGTACTCTGCGCTCTTCACCCATAAACTCTCCACTTGCAGTTCTGTTTCTCCATCGATCCCGCTGCATACTGTATGTGGGTGAGGGTATCTGAGTGGAAATTTGAAGCGATTACACATAATTCCAACCTACCAGATGAATCTCTATCCCAATGGACCCATTAACATACATTGGCCTTGCATTGGAGGCAACCAGTGATCCAGGTACTGGGGAACAAAGCTAGGATGGCAAGAACTAGGATTCCGGGATATTGTTGCAGGAGATGATGTCTTGAGCGACGGGAGGATTGCGCAAGCGCAAGCGCACTTGTCATACACATATACATGTACAGCACACGGATGCATAGATCTCGCACTATGCAAATGTACCATGTAGGAACCCATAAACTCTCAGTACGAACCTGCGCGAACCCCACGGGCTACGAAGTTGGTGTGTTCTTGTTGAGGAAGGTTGGCTACC